GCGAGGGTGCTATTAAATAACCTTGCAAATAGGGATAGTTAATCGTTTATAGATAAGCTATTGCGTACTTAGTAGAGGGACGCCTTTGCTATCGAGCGTATTAATAAGCTTGTAAGTAGACGGGCGACTCGATCTAGTAAGAGTAACAATAATTAGTCGATCGACGACAAAGGTTACTTAAAGTTTAAGGGTAGATACTATGTCCCCGCTAAACAATCGATTAGACAAGAGCTTTTAAAGAGGCACTATAATAGTAAACTCGCTAGTTACTATAGTATAGAGAGGTCGCACGAGTTACTATCGCGTATATACTATTAGCTAAATAGTAAGCGGTATATAAAGGAGTATATACAGACCTATATAGTATGCTAGCGAGTTAAAGCACTAAAGCACTTACTATTTAGCGAGTTGTCTTTACTTCCTGTTCCTAGGAAGCTATTTGCTAAGCTTATAATAGACTTTATTATAGGCCTTCCGCCTACTAAGCGTAGGGGTAGCAAGGATGTATATAATGCTATCCTTATTATAGTAGATCGATTTACTAAAGGCGCTCGATATATCCCGGCGCGTAAGGATTAGACTGCTATTAATATAGTAGAGGCGCTATAGACCGACATCTTCTATACCTATTAGGGAACCCCTAAGGGGATCGTGTCCGATCGTAGATCGATACTAATATCTTACTATTAGAGCGAGATTTGCTTACAGCTAAGACTAAAGCATCGGCTATTAATAGCCTTCTATCTATAGACTAACGGTTAAACAGAGAGGCAGAATGCTACCCTATAGCAGTACCTGCGCAGTTACATTAACGAGAACCCTAAGGATTAGGTTAATCTCCTATAGCCTATAGAATTCGTATATAACAATAGTATGCACTTATTAACTAAGGTTTCGCTATATATAGCTATAATAGGCTAAAACGCTACCCTACTATAAGAGCTATTTACCTCGCTTAAGGCCGAGCGTAAGGAAAGGGAAGCGCGTTAAGTACTAGAAACACTAGCGGCAATAGAACGTATCTAAAAGATGCGAGAAATCTATACTAAGATAGCCGAGAAGTTAACAAAGGCTTAAGAGTACTAAAAGACCTACTACGACAAGCACTACACGCTAATAACCTTTAAACAAGGCGATATAGTTATACTAAGCACTAAGAACCTCCGCATCTATAAACACCTATTACCTAATAGCAAAACAAGGCCTAAGCTCGCACTAAGATACATTAGCCTATTCCGTATTCGAGAAGTTAAGGGCTCCTTTGCATAGGCCTATTAGTTATAGCTTCTACCCTATTATACTATCTATAACACCTTCTATGTATCCCTCCTTAAACTATACTACTAGCGCGAAGGCGATAAAGCGCCTACTAAGTTAGAAGAAGTCTTAGCTAATAGCGAAGAGCTATAGTCTATAGAACGTATCCTATAGCACTAGACTAGGAAAGGTAAGAAGGAGTACTTGCTAAGATAGTAGGGCTATTTACTAGAATAGGACTTATAGGAAGCTAAAGGTTCCTTTAAAGACATAACCGAGTTGTTAGATAAGTATTAGACTAGCGTAAAGAACAAGAAGAAGGCTAAAAGCTTATAATATTACTATCTAGGCCTAGGAACAATACTACCCCTAGGGTGCTATTAGCTAACTAATTAGAGGCCGGCAAACTAGGACAATAAGACTATACTAGGCGCGCTACGACGCGTTAATTAATTAATCGCATGCTCTTTTAAGGGCTCTACCTCTTTACTAATGCGCCCTATAAGGCCCTTCTCCTAGTATTTAGGTCCCCCTCTTGTTCCCTTATTCTATTAAGGCCTAAGGCCTAGGCGGTCGATAGAGGCGGCGCGTACGTATAGGCGAATAGTATTAGTAATAATAATAGTAACGACGGCGTTACGCTTATACTAAAGGGCGATACAGCCGGCGCGGCTATGTTAGTAACGGTATTGCCGAGTTGTTGTTAGTTAAAGAAGGAAATTAGAAGAAGGTAAAGTTAGCGCTAAGACGACTAGCGCCGCTATTGTTAATATTACTTGCTATTATTACTGCGCCTACGGACACAACCTTACCTGCACTATAAGCCTAAGGCACCTTTAATTAAAACTTTAATCAAAACTTTAAGGCTAAGTTAAAACTTTAAGCCGCCTAAAAGATTAAGCGACTAATAGACTAACTAAGGGCAAAACTATAGAGCTAAGCTAGCTGGGGTCGATCTTGCGGACAATAGGTTACTCCTCGATCTATCTAACCCTTTAAGCGAGGCGAACCTCTACTACTGCACTTATAATAGCCTTTACCTATAGAAACTAGACGAGCTATGTTTTTTCTAAAAAGATAAGATAAGATTAACAATTAAAGGCTACTAAACCTAACTAATTAGGGCTAGCGAAACTACGAACAATAATAGCCCTCGTAATAATAAGAACAAACCCTCGGAAGCGGACAACCCTCGGAAGCGGATATAGCTAGGTCTTTTAGAGTAGACGCAAAGAACTCGGTACGATATTACGCAGAACGGGGGCAGTGCTACAATACCCCGTATACCTACCTATTATAGTAGGGAAGGTACGCTTATATTGCAATTAGTCGATAGTCCTTAATTCTTATAGTTATATATTACTTTATTATATATAAGGATAGCGTAGTTAGAGTTAGACATTGTATTAGAAGGTAAGGTTTAATACAGTTATATAATCGGTAGTTATACGTTCAATTTAGCGCGGACTAAGTAGCCTATTAGACCTACTAAGTTAGTAGTAATAGAGGTTGAGACTAGAATAAAGACCGGCTACGAGGGCGCGGCCTTTAGAAGGGAAGCGTGTATTAGGACTAAAGAGGTTATATGTAATTAGTATATAACCGGGCTCGAGTAAAGCTAGGGTCTTAATGCCTCAGGTAGGGCTTAGCGCTTAGTAATAGGCTAACTTGCCTGCCTTCCTCCCTCTCCTCTTAGCTCCTTATTAAATACTACCTATACCTACTACTACCCTATCTACCTGCTAATATACCCTTCTTATAAGCACCTTCTCTTAGATCTACACAATAAACGAGTCGCTATCGACACTGCCTTGCTTAATAAGTGTTGCTCCTAGAAGCTAGCCGTCGACTAAGTATACTAGTAAGATACTATATCGCTATAGACGGTATAGATAGTCCTTTGTAATACAAGGAAATCCTTTAGGTGCCTATCTACGCCTTCGGATAGCAGAGCGCTTACTACAACAGGTCTTATCTACGAAGACAATCTACTCGCTTGTCTAGTGTTCTATATTAACTAGGTACGCTATTTCCGCCTATAGGTCTCGCTAAGAAGCCTATTACTAAGTTACCTTATAGGTAAAGTCCTTATTCCTTATATACCTCTAGATAGTAGTAACGCCGATATATACTCTAAATTTAAGCACTATCTAGTCTTAAATCTTATCTATCTAGGTCGTGCCCTTAGTAGCTAGAATATCGATTATAAAGTCTCTTATATGCGGCAGCACCTTCTTCGGTCGTCCTAGTTTGCCTTAGAAGCTATTAACCGTGCTATATCTCTTTAGATTAGTACTATAACGCTTTACAGTAGTAAACGACCCTCTCTCGTTCTTCGAGCGCTACGATAACTATATATCCTTCGCCGACATGCCTTCTATTAATAACTAGCCGATAATTGCCTTGTCTTACTCGGTAAGGGGCGCTATAGCGACGGCGAGGTCTATAGCGTAGGGCGGCGGTAGAAAATCGGTAGAGCGACGGCAATAATATAAATAAGTAATAATACTAATTATTGGAACTATAGACTAGATACAGCGATAGCAATAGTTCGGTTTACCACTAAAATTAGTATAGAAGGCAAAACTAAAGTGGTGCGGCTCAAAAAGCCCGGGGTTTTTGAAATTGAGAATATTAATACAACTCGTCGGGCTGAGAAAGATACTGGATATCAACACTCAGTTACTAATCGTCGATCCTTGCCGTGAATGGCAGCTCATGGCTTGGCAATCACAATGCATGAACAGCTCACAGATTCAGAATATGCACAGCAGAGCCATTATTGTCGTCCTGTCAGGGCTGTCGAAAAACCGCCGTCAGGCGGAATGGCCCTGCCAAGACGCTAGGCCACACTGCACGTCTTGCTTCGATCAGGTTTTGGACCAAACTTCGACCTTTACACTTCCTTTTGCGATTGACAATGATGGAATCGACATCATGTTGGCGTTCTGCGTTGGCGGCCTGGACGAGTCGATTCGAGGCCTGACCGACCTGACGATTCTGACCTCAGCTTTCGCTGTCTTGCCGCAAGCGTGGTAGTGTTCGGACATGTTCGGACTCGGACGATCCTCAAGTCTAGAATCCGGCAACAGCAATCAATTTGTGCGCGATTGAGTTGACGGAATTGTGATGATTCCGATCACGTTGAGGACGTCACAGTGCGGCAAGGCGGTGGTAAACAACATTAAATGAGTGACGAGCGGAAGCACCCAACAGTATGTCCAAACGACCAAGAACAACTTCTCTCGAGGACAGAACTTCAACTCAGAAACTCCAACCAACATCATGTCTACTTACTTCAGCGCCGAGACTTCTCAGAGTATGGGACCAAGCGCAGGAGACTTTGAGCATCTCACTGCAACTAGCGCCGACAGCGAGGGTGGAGCACCCGTTCCCGAGTCTGCAGACGAAGCTTACTGGACCATCTGCACCTCTTTCGGTCGGCGCTTCTTCGAGTTCGTCTTGACGTCGCCAACGAATCACGCTACCACGACGAGTGCTGTAAGTTTGCGACCACCAGTCCACTGACTTCCTGACGTCTGCCACGTGGCTCACTGTGCTGATTTTGGGACCTGCAGACCCAGCTGAACAAGGTGGTCGGGAGATTCAAGTATGCACAATGCTTAGAAAAAGTCACCTCGATGCCGGAATTTGAGTCAATTCCCGATACGGAACACCGCACGGCGAAGACACGGGAGGATCGTCTCATGGCGAACATTGGCGCTCTCATCTTGCATGGAGGGATCAACACCTCGCACACTTTAGGCTCTATCATACAATCCTGTCGTTCCGATCTGGATAGCGCTCCTCGAATTCTCTATGGGTTGCCAATACACGCAGCAGGGAATCCCTCTCCTCCGCGATCTGACGTCTCTGACGAAACCGAAACCATCATCCGTGGTGGCGCTGTCAGGCCTCCAAACTTGTGGAGACGCAATACCGGCCGTGAAATGATTCGACGCGACGAGCCACATCTTGGGTCCTATGCTAGTCGCCTGAAAGAGCATCTCGATGCGCGTCACGAGCACATGGACCAACCCGCTGCCACTCAGGTCGCTGAGGTCCAGCCGGAGTGGCGTCAGACTATTCGAGTGCAGGGAAGAACTTTCGAGGGCCGCGCACCCACGAAAAAGGAGGCTTTTCACATTGCGTGCCGGGATGCATGCATCGAGTTTGGTCTTTGAGCAATGTTTCTACGTCAATCACAGTCATCGATTCATTGCAAGTGTGTCCTGCAAGCGCGAGCTTCGTTTTTCACTCTCTAACGAAGCTTCCGCATAAATCTGTACATCGTAGTGCACAACCTTGGTTATGACTCGGCCTATCTTTGCCAACTGCAATGGAGACGGAAAGATCAAATACCAAAGCACATGCCTCATACATGACACGAAAGCTTTACAACCACATCTTTGCCGTTGCACTTTTACAGCATGTCTCATTTGAGTATGTCGAGTACTCTCGACTCCTTCCATCCCGTTCGACGTTGAGGCCCGATCAATCAGATTGGCATCGATTCCAGGACGAACTCGCCCTTCTCTGTGACCCGGGTAATGCAGGTCAGACTGTCTGCTCGATAGCTGTGGAGCAAACCAGCTCTGCATCATTGTTCTGGATCGCTGCGCCGCGAAGAGGCAGTGGTATTCTACCAGTCGCAGAAGCAAGCACCCAGACAAGCCGGGCAAGTCCTCACCGCGGTCCTACACTCCAGCCGTCGAAGCAGTCAAACCAGCGCAGTCCAATTGACCGACATTTAGAACTTATACTGGACGTAATCAAGCGACAGGCATTTTCTGACACCGGACAGGGCCGAAGACAGCGCATGGAATCCGCCGCGAAGGAGATTCACTTGCTGGCAGTAAGACGAAGCGCCGCAAAGATCCAAAATTATGCGCAAGGCGTGCGAAGACATCTTCGATGCGTGAGTGGGAGGCTTTCATCGAGCTCTGACACCAGAGGTGTGCAAGGTGTTTGCGTACTATGGTGAGCTTATGACACGAGACTGAGTCTAAATAGACACCCGTCTACTTCATCTGCTCAACGAGCTGGAAACAACCCACGAACATGAGGAGCTCTGCGAGCTTGCGTATTCCATCCGCAAATTTGACGACTACGACAGACTCAACGAGCTAGTGAAGACCAGCAGCGACAGCGATCAAAGCTCATTCGAAGAACTCAGACATTACATCGGACGACTTGGCTCGTTCCTAAAAGCCTCGCGCTTCCTTGCAAAGAACGCTTCCAAGTTCTCAGAAGCATTGGAAAATTTCCAGGTCTGTCTGGTACCTTTGCAACGCACCGACACCAGCGCTGTCGCAGTCGAGCTTGATCTCCAGACACTGATCAAAGAGGTTTGTCTATGGCTCGAAGATGTCCAAGCGCAGCATCGCCTCCTCACAAAGCTGCAGAGTGCGAAGAAACTTCACCAGACAGTCACGGAACTCGTCGAGAAATCTCAAAAACTAGAAATTCACGCCGAGATTCGAATGCTTCAACATTTTCATGCCCAGGATCGATCCTTTCAATACGATGATCGGTACATCGCCGCCAGCAAGCCGTCTTGTTATTGCTGCAGTATGTACATCGACATGCATTCGGGAGCCTTCGAGAAGCGACCCTGTCATGGGAATTCTTGGATTAAATGGTCGTTGCCTGTGGATGAAGATGGTGGCTACTGTGAGGAGTCGTTGGAGATTGCGAGATCCATGGTGGAACAGATGAGTGATGAGATCAGATTGCGTGTTGAGCAGGGAGTCTTGGGGCGTAAGCATCATCATGATTCGAGTACGGGGACGACTTATGTTCGTTGGCGTGGGACTGCTACTGCTGTGGATCATATGGATTGAGATCTGACAATGACTTATTACCTCGCTGAATATGAGTGGTGGGGATGTGCGGTCGATTGACTTCTTATCTTCGAGGCAGCAGCTCGAGCACACCGACTCTGGATCGAGTTAATCGTTCAGGTTGACGACTCCTTCAGAGTATCACCTGCATACAGGAAGCCGCTCTACGGAAGAATCCTTCAACTTTCCTTTGCCTGGCAAATTTGGTGCACGTCTTTGCTGTAGAGAGAAGCACAGATTGCAAAGCGGTTCCGGACCGGCTTCCTGTGACATTTTCAAGATACTTTAGAGTCTTGCCGTACGGCGAAATGGCGCAGAGGCTGTCGTACAACCCTATTCTTGGTTCTCCTTGCCGATGTTCGATCCTCGGGGTCTGTAGTACCCTCACAGGCCTCAGTGAGTCTACAATCCATACCAAGTGCAAAGACACAGAAACAACCCATCAACCAAAATGCCAATACCATACAGAGGGTAAGCTTCAACCATTGACAACTCTCGGCTGGGGTACTAAGCGTCTTAGAATCATCCAGTCCAGGACAATGAAGTTCGTCGTGGGCCCAGGCAAAGCAATATTCCACGTCCACCAAAGCCTCCTGAACCATCATAGACCATTGTTCCGGGAGGAAAGAGAGACGATATGAATGTCGTCAGGATATCGAATGTATATGCCGACACGTTTTCTGGCCTCGTTGAGTTCCTGTATACGGGAGACTATGCCACAGCAGAGCCTCGCATCGATGTGGGAAACGTTTCAGACGATGAAGCCGTGGTTTCGGTTAAGAATGAGACTCCCCCATCTTCGCACGGCGATGAGTGCGAAGAGCTGGATGAGGCAACGGAAACAGAGGACTCGGTCCCAGAACCCGCCTGGTCTTGGGACGCCACAGAAAAGAAGAGCAAGAAGAAGGAAAGGAAGTCTCGTCGGAATGCTGAGTGGATGAAAGACAAGCCCATTCCCGACCCCCAACCAGTCCCGCCACCGGCAAGATTCTCTCCTTTCAAACCTTCCAAGACAAAACCAGATCCGTGGCAAGAATTCCTCCAAATGCCTTGCGGCAAACCACCAGTCCCAGAAAACCCCCAGATCACGCCGGAACACGCCAGAACTTCCCCTCACCTGGACTACTCCCCTGTATTCCTATGTCACGCTCAACTTTATACGCTAGCTGAGCGTTACGACCTCGAAGGCTTGCGGAAGCTGTCGCTTTACAAGCTTCATCACACCCTGGAAAAATTTGAGCTACTCCCGCAACGGGTTTCGGATGTTACTGCGTTGATGGGGTATGCGTATGGTGATGAAGAGGAGGGAGGGCGGAATATGACGGAGTTGAAGAAGTTAGTGATTTGCTATATCAGTTGCAAGATTGATGGATGTAAGAAGATCAGGGAGGATGAGATTTTTAAGAGCGTGATGGGAGGAAGGAATGGTGCGTCTTCGGACCTTCTGGAGCAGATAATGAAGAGGTGGGAGTGATTTGGTGATGGCAATCATCATTTCTGCCCCAGGGTTTGGGTTGTGTTTGTGCTTAATTCTATCTCATCCCACCACTCAATGAACGCGCGAGCCGATCCTCCAAAGGCCTACTATCAGTCTCCAAACGAGCGTCCACATTCAATCTCCAGCGCTCACTCCAGTGCCAGCCGGTCCTTTTCTGCAAAATTGACCTTCAATTCTTCTTGGCACCCGAGTTGCTGTTTCCACCGGAGTTGTTGGAAGCAGCATTCGCACCTCTGTCAGCTGCGGACTGAGCTCGAGCTGCGAAACCTGGATCGTTGCCGGACTTGGCCTGATGCCAGCGTCAGAAAGAGAGTGGGATTTTTCCGCAGCTCAGCGTACCTCGGAGGATTGGATGCGAGAAGCATCGTCCTTTGTCATTTGATCGTTCTGAGGCATCTTGTTGCGGTTGGATGGTTGTGATGCTTGCTTGTCTTCTGAGAATCTTGTGTTGCTGTGATGTTCGGGGATGCTGAGTGGAGTGAGTCTTGATCGAGTTTAAATATTTGAATAACTGGACCAGAAGCCGTGATCCGAGCGAAGCCGGAAAACAGTAGGCGAGCGGCGGACAACAATCAGTCTTGGCAGGTGGATGTTGTCGTATAGGCAGGCGGCCTTCTGCGCAGTAGAAGGCGTAGTATAGCATGCCGTGCCCGGGGTTCAATCCAAACAACCGCTACTATAAAGCTATTGCGGCCCTCTTATTAGTAGAAATTAAAATGTCCCCTCTACGTAACTATAACCTTAGGCCTTTACCGTAGCGATCCCTTTAAGTTACTAATAGTACGATATACGCGCCGACTATATACTATGCCTACTACTAGCGCCCAGATAGCACAAACGGAGGACGATCATGGCGCTTTTCATACTCAATGAAGCTGTCGTTTCGCTGATAAGAAGTGAACGTGATCAGAACTGCTTTGTGCTTGCTGTTAGGTCATACTTACTTTCCTGCGCAGCGCAAAATCGCTTGCTGGATGTCACATATGCTACTCTCTCCGCAGGCATTGAGCGCAGAGGACGACATGCTGGCGTATATCTGGCACGTTGTTGTTGCATCAAACAAATCAATTCCTCCTGACGAGAAGATGAAGATAGTTCCCGGTGCTGGTCTAATTCATTAATTCCGGGAGGGATTTCGGAAGAGAGCTGAGAGCGCTCGCAAAGAATGTTTGGGCGAAATGGACAGCTTTGGGACCCATGCTTCTCCACGACTCTCGCATTTGTCTCTCGCAAGTCAGCACCAGCCTCTGCCAACCATAACGCCTTGCTGAACGCCACTAAAACTTCGGGTATCTTCTCGTCATTGTCTCTGATTTGACTGCTTCTTCGCAGCAGCCCATGCTACAACTCCTGCTTCCAACTGTCGATGTCTGACTAATGCTCATTTGAACTCGTTCGGCCAACACTTCTCCTTCGGCCAAGCGTCTGAGTGGGTGTCTGCATGTTGCTCGAGGATCTTGAGGTTGGTGTTGTCCTAGGATTCGATCGTATCAGGACAGTATCTCACGATAAGCGTTCATATACACGTACAAGCTCTTTGCGGCAGAAGGCGCAGATCGACTTCGGCTTGGCCGCTTTGACTGGCGTGCCGTTCGCGTGCACTGCAGCACGAGTACCGGCTGCATCTGCCTTCTTCTGCTCCTTTCTCACTCGATCCTTCTTCGTGATAGGCATTTTGTCGTCTGGTGCTGGACGATCTCTGGTTGGAAATAATGTGTCGAATGTGAACTGTATTTGGAAGACGTGTAGCGCGGAAACTCTGCTGGCGCGTCTTAGCGAAGCACGTGATTCTTGGCGTCTAAGTTTCCTCCTTGCCTCTATTAGTGCTAATGACTAGAAAATTGATTGGCGAAACAGTTGTTAATATATGTCTCTGCGCCAAATTGATGAGAGGCAATGGTAGAATCAAGACGGCAGCTGTAGTAGGCACAAAAGGAAGGGCTCTTTGTATACCGATCGAGCTCTATAGCCGGCTGATGGGTCAGCAGAGGCCAGGGCCAAATGTCCATGCGAGAAACGACAGTCGACGCTGAGATCATGACCAAGCGAGCAAATAGAACATCAGGGCTCGGGAGTCCCTTCTCTTACCAACGAATGTCCGAGCCAGGCAGAGTTGTTTGCAAAGTGCCACATGCTGGACATGCTTGACGGGAAACTTCTTTCTTTTTTCCAATCAAGGTGAATGCCCATACGAACGTATCCTCCACCGAATCCAGGCCCTAAAAATTGATACAAGCTACAGTAAGTAGTATGTGAAAGAAGTTATGTATCCCGTGTGCGTCCGGGGCCATGCTTCCCATGATACAATGGTATGGTACTTATAATCTCTCGATTGATTCGTCGGGTATCAACAGGCACAATGATCAGAAAACAAAACGCAGTCGCCAGATCGCTAATGTGGCAATGCTCTCTGCTGAAAATGAGATGCTCTTCCGAAAGTCCCCACTTCCCAACATGCAGCTGTCTGAGCTGTTGACGCCGTGTGGGCGTTGTTATGGTGGTGGCGCTACTCGATTACTCGTGTGAGGTGATGTCTCGTGTCCGAAGCCCGTTTCCCTTTACCCCCCTTCCATGTGAAATTCAGGTCACTTCTATGCTTTCTTTCGTCCTCGTGTCGGGATCTGATGTCGTCAACAAATCAAGGAAAATCCGCCGCTGCAAATGGTGACTGGCAGGCTGACTAGCTGTTGTCAGGGTTGGCGACCTGGGGAAGCGTTAGTGTCCAAGTACAACAGAAGACAGTATGCATGGGCTTACCCTCAGTATTCGCCTGGAGTAGTCCTGGTTGTCTGCCAGACTTCCGACACTGTTTCTTCGGCCGGCTTCGGGGTCTAATCGCTGGTCGCTCATGCCACTGTAAGCTGTGCCAGGAGGCTTTCGCTCGCCGCCGTGCCGCATGAAGTCGTTGGCTTGGTTCTTTCGAGCGTATTCTTCTTCGGCTTCTCGGGCATTCTTTCTCTTTCTCCAGAATATGAGAGCGCCAATGATGCCGGCCACTGCCACCACGCCTACGACCACACCAACGGCAATACCAGTAGTGTTGGTGCCCCCACCGCCAGAGGAATCTGCCGAGGAGCTTGATGTTGCCGAAGGGGCGATGGTGACGACAACAGTTTGGCCAGGTGCGATGCTTGTTGATACACTCGCGACGGGCGAGGTTGTTGAACTTGTCTTTGATGAAGAGCCCGAAGATGAACTTGATCCACTTTCTGTGCCGGCAGTACCAGTTCCAGTTGTATACACGGACCAAAATCCGTCTCCACCACCTGTTCACATGTCAGTCGGCCGTTGCAAGACATCATTTCCGGCATTGCTTACACTCGACTTTGTCCCAGCCGGGACAAGGGGTGTTGCATTTCGAGTCATCCACCTTGTCACTATCCGAGGGCATGTTGTCTCCACACCAGCAGTCTTTATCCGTTAAGCCCATTACGGCTTGGTTTTTGCCCGAACATTGATCGCCACAGTATCCATTTGATTGGTACATGTAAGAGCCTGCCTTGGTCATGTCGCCTGATGAGGAGTAACATCCCTTGTAGGACTGTGCGCGCTTCTGCAAAGGAGGGCCTTTCTGCATTATCGGGTCTGATGCGAGTGCCATGGCGGCAAATAGTGATAGAAGCGTGAGTGTGCGTGTGGTTGGTGAGGGCATGGTGGGTGTATTAAGCGGCGTCAGTTTCGAGAATGCCTGCATTCAAGAACGGGATTAGTATGTACAACTCTGATTGATTCGCGCAAGGCGATGATGCGGTCTGCAATTGAAGCAGCACGCGTCCTCTTGGAAGGTAGTGTTGCAGTGAAGGGGTAATTGGTGGTGTGTGGCAAGCAAAGGCTCATGTGACTCGTAATTTATCTTACCTTTGTTTGCGGCTGCCAGCAGCGCAAGCGTGACCGGCTTCCGCGGAGAGAAGAAAGCAGCGGCAGTGAATGGGGCCGGGGTGGGGCGGCAGGCTATCAATGCTGTCTCTCCTTGGTGAAGTGATGTTCGCAGGAGTCAACACTCCTTCAGGTCGTGCTCATGTGGCAGCAGGCCGTGTACGGGTGAGGAGCGGACGGTGGATGGTTTCGGCCAGGCTATGTCGCTGGATTTGGGAAGGGTGGGCGGTGGTGGCAGTCGCAGTCGCCGTCGCCAATTGTCTGCAGAGGCGCAGGTTGGAAGGTGTCCGGGTGACTTTGGGGTCGCGAAGCCGGGAGAGTGGAATGCTGCAGACTCGCGTTTCAGGGCTTATACTCTGAGCAAAGCCGTCGGTAGGCCGGCCGCTCAATTCTCGCGTTGGTGTTACACACGACAGACAGCTCGGTCGGCGAAAAGAGTGTCTGCAAGCGTGAGAGGGCGATGGTCGGCGAAGGCAAACTACGGGCGCGGCGCTCAATGCGGTCGTAGGGTAGTGCGGTAGTGCAGTAAGGACCGGACAGGACAGGGCAGCGTGCGCGTGGACGACTTCGAAGCGGGCGCGGCGCTGGGTGGTGGTTTTGCTGGAGTAACGACAGTGAGGTGCAGTCTGAGGCAGAGTTGGCAGAGAAGCAAAAGGGGAGACGGCAGGCTCTCTCTCACTCTGCTCACGGCTGCAGGCGGGCACCCAACCGAAACTAATCCCACAGGATTTCGTGCCTGATCTACTGCAGCCAAGCCGATGCGGATTCGCGTCGGCGGCCAGGGACGATGGCCTCTGATTGGCCATGGACGACCGGCAGACCCAGTCGACGGCCAGGCTTGGCATGGTCTGAATATCGCACGAGACGCTGCAGCTGCCCTTGAAACGCGCTGTCAGTCACCCTTTCCTCCGTTGCACCTGCCGCCCGATGCTACTGCTACGTTGTCGCAGGCCAGCTTCACGCACACAGAGCCGGCAGCTGTCACTCGCTTCTTCTGCTCTTCGGCAGTGCTGTACAGAAAGAAAACAGGCGCAACGTCACGGATGCGCGCGGCCTTGTCAAGACGGCCATGCGTGTTGAGATTGCGTTGTCATCGTGCTCAGAACGGAAAGCCTCTCAGCGATTCCCTGGCCAAGGGCTTATCTTGACTGCCAAAATAGCACTCCGTCTCATCCACAGCAATGCAGCATATCCATTATTACAATGTGGCTGCTACGAGTCGACGGTTCATGTATATTGATGATGGAGGCTGTGTCGTTTTTCCATTCGCTGCCACGCACGGCAACTCGGAGTACCACAGTCAGCAGTGCGTTGTCAGGAAATGATTCTCCCGAGGCCCAGGCGAACTCGACATTGGCACTGCGTATGCTAAGAACGACGACGTCTCTTTGCCCTGCTGCTCGAGCAGAGTATTCGCAATGGATGAACGGAAGAGGGCAATTTCAGACGTCAATCATTCACTAACGGCCAGTATTGATACATATCAATCTCCTCGAGAGTTGTCGTGTGAAGGAATCATCAATCATTATCAAATGCCTCTCACAACCACTACTTCTGGCAATTTGACAAAAGACGTGAAAGACTTCGGAGAATCACGATTCAAAAGCCGGGCTTGCGAGAAGAAGTGCTTATCATGGCGATGAGCGAAGAGGCGGAACAAATAGCACAATTGATTCCACCGCGTATCGCCCACGGAGTCATGCAGCCAATCAACCGCAATCACGTCAAAGTACTCAGGCCCCGGATACCTCGTGTTGAATTATGGATAAGTCTTTAATTATCAATAAGATAGTAAATATCGTGTTGTCGTCTTATAATAGCGTGTCTTATGCCAATTATAAGTATCTAAGCCTAATTATCCATTTCCGCGCTCTTAGCATTATTCCGTAACCTTAGCTCTACCTTTGTATATACTGCTTCTTGCTCTTACTATTATTGTAGACCGCCTTAATGCTACTAAAGACACTACTGCCGGCTGCGCCGCTTAATCCGAAGGCCGCTACGAAGGCGCAGTCGAAGGCCGCCGTAAGGAAGTCGAAGAAGGCGGCTAATAAGAAGGAAAAGGCGTAGGATAAGGTAAAGGCAAAGCGATAGCGCTAGGCGCCTTATAACTAGACGGAAGATTAGATAGAAGAGATGCTAGAGGCGCTTATCGAGCGGATTGCGAAGTAGAATAATAATTAAGGGTTTCTAGAGTCGGATATAGCGGACGTTACAAAGGAGCTAAATGCTAAGTTTGATGTTAATATCACCTTAAAGCAGGTACGCAACAAGTTTAACGCCTTTAGGCTATTATAGAAGAAGTAGAAGGCCTACCTTAGAAGAACGAGCGGTTAGTAAGGGTAGCCGCCTCGCGCTAAGCTAGACGTTAAAGACGCCTATTTCGAGGCTTACCTAGAAGCGTTGCTATTTTGAGAGAATTTGCCGGACTTCTACGATAAGCTAGAGGTATTGTTTAGTAATTAGTTAGCGATAGGTGAAGGCGCGTTAGAAGCTAGGGACCTTACTAAACCGCTAGAGGGTGAGACTCGCGAGGAAACGGTAGTAGGTAACGATAATAAGGTTGTTATAACTAAGGAAGATTAGCCTGCGTCGGACGAGGAAAGGAGCTATTCTAAAGGGCCGAGTTTACCGCTCGAGCGGTCGTCTAGTACCGATAGCAGTATTAGTCGAGGCAGGAAACGAGGTCCTAACCTATAGAAACAGGCGGTTACAGCCTCTTAAAAGAAGAAGAAGGATAATAAGACGCCTAAGCTTTATTCTTACTATACTAATAAGGTGACTGCTACGCTTACAAACCTTAAGAAGCCCTTACAAAGGGCAATGGCTTCTCTTACTGCTAGTAGGCAGTTTTCCGCTTAGCCGAAGGACACTATTATAATAGCCGCTACTCGAAGGGCTATAAACTGCGAGGGCATTCAAAAGCTGTCCTTTACAAAGCGGATAAGCATTATAGATCTAATGGAAAATAAAGGCACCGCCGGGCGTATTCTTAGGTGTCTAGACTATAATCTCGAGCTAATGCTAAAGTACCTATTAAAGAAGAGAGGCAAGGTAGACGAGGAAGAAAAGGAGGAGCCCTAGTCGACTTCGGCTCCTATAGTAGAAGTACTAATCCGACCGACTCCTAAACAAACCGTAGGGCTAATAGACTATTAAACCTACCAAATTATAAGTTAAATAGACCCTTAGAATATACCTCTCGATTACCCTGCCTATTAAATGTATTATAGATATAGGGAACACTTATTGCCGTCGCTCTAAGAGATAGGCTTTAGTAGTTAGAATAGGTTCAATTGGCAGTAGAATATCGATAGGCGTTGCGCATTCTATACAATAGTGCGGGGTTGGCTATACTATAAATTTGTGTAATAGTGTTGTTAATTTTCGCATAGAGTTTTCAGACCTATTACCGTAGCTGCTATTACGAGCATTCTCGTCAATGTTTTAATCCTGAAACAAAGCTATATTTTCCTCCGAGTGCAGTAGCATGTGAAGCTAAGCGCTAAGCTTAGCAAAACTTGTAAATTTACACTTTATTACAAGTTTCCTTAATAGCCCTATAACCGATTTTCCTCGTTGTTTTTTTATATAAAGCATATGCTAATTAACTCTTAACTAATAGGAACTTAGAAGAAAAATGGTAGTGTTTCTATAGGGAAAATGGCGATACAGCAATAGGTGTCGGATTTTAACGCTAAGCTCGGAGCTTCCCGCTTTCTTAGTTAAGAGAACGTAGAATAGCGTCGACAGTGATAATAGCGTCTATAAGATCTAACTGAGGTTCTAGAAAGCATCGGAAACAGCGAAATAAGGTAAGGAATAGCGCTAAGACCTGCTCGTACGGAACTGCGCTACGATTTCGTATACGCTCCGCTCTACTAATAACTTTACTTCCTACTCCTACTAATATTATTAATCATCTTCGTATAGATTGCTAGTCTCCTACCTTAGAAGATATTCTCGCTACATTGCAGTCGATATCTTGTCTCTAAATACCGCTATTTTGCTTCTTATTGCTATCGATAGGCGGTCTACTTCGGCGACCTCGTCCTTAGTAATATTATCCTTATTAAATCTAGTATCTCTGTCGTCCGGTTGCTATTCAAACACCTCATCTTCCGCCGCCTATTTATAAGCATTTATAAAGTTATTTAGAGCGCAGACAGCGACAACAAACCGCGCCTATTAGAGGGCCGAATACCCCTTGTTTAGCCTATTCTTTAGTAGGAAGAACTACTCCTTTATTATACTATATCGCCGCTCGATATAATTACAAAGCTATAAATAGCGTAGATTGAATAACTCTTCCTTCCGCTCGGGCTTTATCTTAGAAGCGTGCTATTCTCGAAGGTAATAGCGTGTTCTTTAGTATAGTACGAGGGTGTATTTAAGGTTCTTTGAATAGCTACCGTTAGCGAGATAATACCGTCCCTTCGGTATTCTCAAGCCCTTCCTAATAGCTAATTATAATACAGTGCTATCCGCCGCCGAGCCCTCCTATCTAGGCAATATATAGGTAACCATTCCTTCGAAGTTATAGTACGCTAATACATTCTGCGATACACCTCCTTTGCGGTTACGATAAGCGCCTAGATTAGGTACCTTTACTGCTTTAAAAGGGATATAAGTACTATTAAGAGCGCTAATACAACCCGAGAAATATAGCTAGAATTTAGGGTTATCGGATATCTCGCGAGAGGTCGGTTCATTACCTAGCTACCGCGCCTTGTCTCTAAACATAGTATATAACAATCGACTGATCTTAAGAACGGCTCTTCGACAGCTTAATAGCGAGTATTAATATAGTCTGCGCAGTTAGCGGTTAGTGTAGCCGTGCGCTGCTATATTGAGGAATATAACTACCTGTTCCGCTAGACTAATCCTCGGACCTCCGGTAAGGTCGTATTCGTCGACGAGAGTGCTAATTAGCGCTTTAAGAATAGGTTATCGAAGCCTCGTCGCATTATAACAATACTTAGGCGGGCTAAGCAGCATTATCTATGTCTACTAAGAGCCTAATTCTAGCGCTATAAGGCTCGTTATTATACCTGTTAGTCGATACTTCGGTCGTTCTACCTCTTCTAACAGTATACGCGCTATCTATAGTATCGTATAAATCGCTAGGTATAGTACGAAGCCTTCGAGGTCCTTAACGTCCGGTTCTTCTATCGTTATAGCGACTATTTATTACAGTTATTTTATAGCAATCACATAAAGAAAGAGTAAGGCATATTGCACTAGACTAAAAGGAGATAGAGCCGTACGAGAATAGCTACTATACTATTAGCAGTTCAATTATAAAAGCGAGTCCTTCTAGCTAAAGGGCTGCTTTTAAAATTGGCCTATCTAAAGGCCTGAATTATAGATAATTGGACTAACTTATAGACAAGGTCGATAAGAGGCTCAATTATAGGTATCTAACCTGTCTTATAGTAGACCTACTCGTCTTATAGATAAGTAGCCTCAATTATTAATAATCGAGCGCGAGGTATCCGGGGCCTTAAGTACCTTACTACACCCTCTGCACTAGGCCAATCGCTGCCCGTATAGTGATTGTATGTACACTTACAGTGTATTTAACTTCAGTCTTCCCGACTCTTCCGGGCTTATAAGTACGGTGCTTACGATATAGACATACACAAGACACAGATTAGTCAACTGCGCGTCTATACTAGGTACGATACATTACGAATGATATCCACCTCACTATCTAGTTATCCGCTGTACCCGGCCATATTACCCGCGGTGTCCATACGATACACTGTACACTCCAAAATTTGCGTGTACACGGTGTTATTTTCCAAATTTCGCGTTCACCGGGCCCCGGGGCTTGTGCCATTGTGTCTAACATCACCATGCCCGTACCTTCGTGATTCGCAATGCGCGCAGCAAATTCTTGTTCGCTACGCGTGTGCCTCCACATATGTACATACGGGATCAATAGTCTCTCTTCCCCCGAAAGAAAACTCCTCGATCCGCAACCGACTTCGATAGTGTACGCGCCATTTTCAATCGAGACATGGGCAGGGCAACTAGGCATAGAATAGATCCACACTTATTCAGCATCTCATGATTCTCATCTTCGAAAGACGGGGGACGATTCGACATCAGGAATCTAGACCTCTTTGCACTGTCCACGCCTGTCGACTCTGCCACGGTCCTCATCACCTCATCCTCAGGAGATCGCGGAGAGGACTTCCGCACCCTGGCACGGACATTAACTGCGTACCCCTAGGTAGTCTCCCTTGCCCGGACTACCTAGCGGTTCTTGGTGAAACATTCAGCGCGCGTTGATTCATTCTTCTATCGACTGTGCTTCGCCAAAATCTCTGGGCTCCGATCAGAGAACGCCGCGGTGTGCACGGCTCGCTATAACACTATCGAAGCATTGCAGAAACGTCATCGTTATTGACACACAGACTCATTGACATACTTCTGAAACACCACGAGCAAGCCTCTCCCAGCGTTACAGTAACCTCACGTGGGTTTGGTGTGGCAAACAACTTGATTGAAGAACAGCTACATTTCTTTCCGCTATCATATTCTAATACCCTGCGTACTGATCCAATCGCCTTGGATTCAAAAGAAAGAATCACTACTACTTGCACACTGCTCTTTATTGCAGACACACTCACTTTTCTTGGCACCTATCTATATGAATACCGTAGTGCGATTTCGCAACATCCATCCATTCCTCTCACATCTCTCTAACCACCTCCTTAAACGCAATTTCCTCAAAACATTCAAGACACACCATCTAGCTAGCCAGCATTCGGGAAATCCGCCGCGATGATATACAGCTCCGGCATACACTTCGAGCGGTGGTCGATACGTTGCAGACGGTACAGATTCTAGTCTCCTAGAGCATAGAAGCTAGAGCGCAGCGTGCATCAATCGCTGTTAAGGACACAACCTCCTGTTCTAATATCACTCGAATCTAGCTACTTCTTCTTGGCCACAGGTTCCCTTTATATCCCCTCAACCTCCTTCCTAAGCTAGGCAACAAGACAAAAGATCACAACGAGTGGAAGCTTCTCCTCCTCCTATCCAAAAACCAACCGCAAACTCCCTCGCAGCAGTACGACCTACCCTTTCCAAATTGCGACACGAACGACTTCCACTACCTTGGAAGCATAGGACCCAAAAAGACTCCGGCTCCAATCTCTAATTATTTTCTCCAGCCGCTTCATAGATTGTGATGGGGAGCAGAGACGTCTCGTGCTCGGAATGTTCGGAGTGTTACTACAATATGAGACGAAAACACGAAACACACGTATAGAGCAGTTTGTAGGGTCTATACGATGCTGTGGGACTGACTGGGAAGGAATCTCGTTTCGGAATACATCTTGGGCAATGGAGATGCAGATCATGGCCATGGTCGTCGAGGATGTTTCCACAAAGCTCGGGGGTTTTTGAAACTGAAATAACTTGTAGAACACCCTTCGGCAGTCGTGACATTATTGACGGGTATGATATGGATCGGATGTGGCCGTATACGTCGACGTCGACTAGGATGGCCGTAATATCATATGTATGTCAAGGTGGTCTGTGAAAATGCCGATGATGTTGTAGGAGCAGGGGAAAGAGCGGACCAAAACGCGTCGGCAGAATGTTCAAGCGTCGGCAATCGGCATTGTGAAATCGGGAGCACCGACCATGACTCCACCAAATCCGTAGAACTGAGCACAAGATCATCCTCTTCTCAGCCTCAACAATCAGCTGGAAATAGCATACATCCTTCTTCCACGTACACGGTAAGACAGCGTTCTACTCTCTCGATACACTGCTCCCTTCTCTGTTTCCTCACCACCAACCATATCTGTTCTCCGAAGTTCTCGCGCGGCACGAAACAATCACCCGTCGAGACCCACCAAACCTCATATACAGCTCACCGGCACGCCGATATATGCAGCAGCACTCCTCCTCCGATTCCAGCCTCTCAATACATACACCTAGCTTGTGAAAGAATGGCCGACTGGCAAAAGCGCGAAGAGAGGAACCTCTCCCACTACACCACCTCCCGCTCCACAACTCCTCTTCCCGAAAACCTCACCGCGCCTCGAATCCTCTGCCTTCACGGCGGCGGCGTCAACGCAGAAGTCTTCCGCACACAATCCCGAGCCTTGATCCGCGATCTCAGCCCGCACTTTCGGCTCGTCTTCGCCGACGGACCCTTCTTCTGCGATCCGGGTCCAGGCATAATTCCAGTCTATCAAGACTGCGGACCATTCCGACGCTGGCTGAGATGGCTGCCCGAACATCCTGAAATCGATGACGAGACCGCCATCGAGGAGATTTTGTATAGTATCGATACTTGTAAACGTGATGATGAAGGGACGGGACCTTGGGTTGGATTGATAGGATTTAGTCAGGGTGCGAAACTTTCTGCGAGTCTGTTGTATGATCAACAGATTCGGAAAGAGAAGGGTGATGACTGTTTTACAGATTACAAGTTTGCTGTGCTTCTTGCTGGAAGGAGTCCGCTGGTTTCGTTCTCGGAGCACACCAAAGGCGATGCCTGTGTTACTGCTGGCGGCATGAGCGAGGGCTTCCAATTTGATGGCAAGAGTCCGCATATCTTGAAGCTGCCTGCTTTGCATTATCATGGCCTGGCAGATCCCGGTTTGCATCTTCATAGGAAGCTGTTGAACCAGTACTGCGATCCCAAGACCAACGACGTCATGGAGTGGGACGGCAATCACAGAGTCCCTATTAAGAAGGCGGATGTTACTCCGATTGTGGAATGGATTTTCAAGACTGCGAGAGCGCAAGGAGTGCGGCTAGACGGATGAACGAAGCAAAAATGAAGATGTCACGATGTCTACTATATGAGTGAGGAAGAAGCGACACTCAGAAAGGAACCTCCAGAACCGCATATCGTCAGTCCACGATGTCATCTCGAAGCTTCAACACCTGACCGACCACCTCATCCATTTTCGACCTCACAGCATCGTGGAACATGACGTTGGTCGTAAACACCTTGCAGCCCTTGATCTTCTTCGCCGTCTCAAGAGCCAGATCCGATGCCACATACATGTCCTCAAGATAGCTCGCCGCATAGACTGGGACCTCGTTCTTCGCCAATTGCTGCTCATCGAAAAGCGCCGGCCACTCCGCATCTGCAGCGACACGATTCGCAACATCTTGCACTTTCCGAAGTTCGGAATAGTCCTCAAACATCCAAGGATAGATCATTTCGCCCGTAAACAGCACTGGCCCTTCGGTATCGATATTAAACTCTGGATATTCTTCAAGCACCCTCTGCGCCGACCAATTTGGCGCTTGGCCCTCGCAATAAATTGGCTCGTGAAGAATCGCGTACAAGAGATTGTCATCGTACGAAGTCATATGATCGATGGCCGACAAAGATCCTCTTGTAATGTGTCCGAATGCCTCGATATCGCTGCTCGCGCGCAACACAACATCGTGGATCGAATCAAGTCCCCCGTGTGCACCGAGATTTATTCCCATCGCTCGGAACCTGCGACGAGTGAGATTGCCTTCGGAAGGTAGCTTGATCGTTCCATCACCGAACCGCGAAAGGTAGCGCATGATCAGGTGCACGCGCTCGACGTCTTCAGGATATTTGTTGTAGTAAGCTCGATTCCGCTCCGCGACTTTCCGGTAACAGTGGCGATAAACTTCATCCGGATTCTTCACAAGAGGTTGAAGTCCACCAAAAATGAAGGCTTCGCGCAGACCTTGCGGGTAGAAGGAGAGATACGTAATACTAGTTGCATTCATCAGCCGAGATAGATATAAAACCCATAGAGATAGAAGAAAAGTCGAATGAAAAAAAAAGAAACCCCATACCTACAAAACCCCCCAAAACTCTGCCCCATTATACTCCACCTCCTCTTCTCCACCGCATACCCCTCCGTCAAAACCTGGCGTATCGCCTCCGCATCCCTCACAATACTATCCGCTCTATAAAACTTGAGATACTGCGCCTGTACATCTTCATACCCACGCATCTGCAACGTCGAAGCCGTGACGGGAGTCGACAACCCGGTTCCTCGTTGATCTAAATACAAAAGTTGGTATCCCGCTTCCAGGAATTTCTCTGTCCACGGGTAGTGTTGCGGTGGGCGACAGGACATTCCCGGACCGCCTTGGAAGTAACAGAGCCAGGGGAGAGGATCCGGCGGGGAGGGGGAGGGTTTGGGGAAGATGGGGTTTTCGTGTTTGCGGACGCTGCGGGCGAAGAGGTTGATTGTGCCGTTTTCCGGGTGCGTGTGGTCTTTGGGGACGCTGAAGAAGTGTTCTGTGATGCTCAGACGGCCTGTGTGTGAAATCTGGTGAGTGATTTTCTCTTTGTGGCGTGCAGGGGTGGGATGGGATGGGTGATATTTTTACCTGCGACTTGATGAGTTTTCTGACTCAAGATTTTTGCGGGTTGGGTTGGGATGGAAGACATTGTGATTCGAGGTTTTGGGGGATTGGGGTTTTGGAGGGACGTCCAGAGGAGGTGAAGTTGAGGTGCCAAGGCCCACGTTTTTGAAGCAGGCAGGTGAGGTGGTACCTAATGTTTAAATATACATTCGGCAGCCGGAATTGGCAGAAGTTTTGCGTCGCTGTATCAAATTTCCACAGTTTCTCTCTTCCCGGGATTTTGTGATGCTGGGGTGAGGATTTGACATGGCGAAAGATAAAAAGGATAAGAAGTCTGCGGCGGCGGCGAAAAAAGCGAAGAAGGAAGCATCGCAAGCCAAGAAAGCGGAAAAGAGTACGAAGAAGGCATCGAAGAAGGCGAAAGAGGAGGACAGCGATGTCGAAGATGCGGATCTTGATGCCATCCTTGCCGAGTATCAGAAACAGCAGGAGCAATTCTTGAAAGTCACGGAATCGGCCTCCGAACCTCCTACTCCAAGGTCATCAGCCACCATCGTTGCATCGCCGAGCAATAGTGCTGAAGTGTTCCTTTTCGGTGGCGAGTACTATAATGGTGCTTTGGCGACATTCTTCAATGATCTGTACGTCTACAAGATCAACCACGATTCGTGGCGAAAGGTCACGTCGCCAAATTCTCCCCTCCCTCGAAGCGGGCATGCCATGTGCCCGGGAGGCAATGGCGGTGGCATCTACATGTTTGGAGGCGAATTCTCGAGTCCTAAGCAAGGCACCTTCTACCACTACAACGACTTCTGGAGACTGGAGCCAAGTACGCGAGAATGGACGAAATTGGAAGGCAAGGGTGGCCCTCCCGCTAGAAGTGGCCATCGCATGACCTGCTTCAAAAACTACATCGTCCTCTTTGGTGGCTTTCAGGACACGAGCCAGCAGACGAAGTATTTGCAGGATGTCTGGCTATATGATACACAGAAGTTCACATGGCATCAGCCGGCATTGCCACCCGCTTCTGGAAAGCCAGACGCCAGATCCTCTTTCTCATTCTTGCCGCATGAGACTGGAGCAGTGATATACGGAGGGTACTCACGAGTCAAGGCCTCGGCATCTGCAGGCAAGACGAAAGGCAACAAGCCTGGAGCTTCGCGTGTCATTATGAAGCCCATGGTCCATCAAGACACATGGTATCTCAGAATCACTCCCCCGGCATCGGACGCGCCTGCGAACACCCTACCGACCGTGCGATGGGAGAGGAGGAAACGACCTGTCAATGCTCCGAATCCTCCTCGCGCAGGTGCTACCATGGCCCACCATAAGGGTCGAGGCATTATGTTTGGAGGTGTGCACGATGTTGAAGAGAGCGAAGAGGGCATCGACAGCGAATTCTTCAATCTTCTTTACGCCTATAACATCGACAGAAACAGGTTCTTCCAGCTCAATCTCCGAAGGCCAAGAAGTTCGGCCAAAAAAATCGCACCAGCCGCCGAACGAGGAAAACGTGGTCGAGGGAAGGCTGATGAAGAAGAGCTTCTACGGAATCTGGCGCTCATCGAAGGTAAAGGCAATCTTAACGACGACGAAGAGAAATCCAACGGCGGTCATTCTAGCGACGAGGAAGAGCCCAACAAGATTGAGAAGCCGACCATCTGGGAAATGCCTCATCCACGCTTCAACGCCCAGCTCACAGTTCAAGAAGACACGCTATACATCTACGGAGGCACGTACGAGAAAGGAGACCAAGAATTCACGTTCGATGAAATGTGGGCGATAGATCTCGGCAAGATGGATGGTGTCAAGGAAGTCTTTAAACGAGAACTTGCAGACTGGCAAGGTAGTGAAGACGATGAGAGCGAAGACGAAGAGGATTCCGAAGAAGGCTCCGACGAGGACGAATATTACGAAGAAGAAGTTCCAGAACCCACCACCCCAGCCACATCAATCACAGACGACGCTTCAATCGCCGCAACCGAGCCATTCGCCATCGAACCCGAACAATCAACATCAAGCTCCAAAAACGACAACCTCCCCATGCCCCGCCCCTTCGAATCCCTCCGCGCCTTCTTCACCCGCACATCTCACTCATGGCAAGAACTCATCCTCGAAGCCATGAAGTATGAGCGAAATCCCGAAGAGAAATCTGTGAAGGAGATTCGAAAGGGAGCGTTTAGTCGTGCGGAAGAGAAATGGTGGGATGCGCGGGAAGAAGTTCAGGCGATGGAGGATGAGCAGGAAGAGGCGGGGATAAGTGAGGTTGTTAGTTTGGGGGAGAGGGGGGGTGGGGATGGTGGAGGAGCAGGGAGGAGGAGGTGAGGAGTGAGGTCGCTTTTCCGTCAAATTCGAAAAAAAGTTCTGACACAGCAACTTCTTGACTGGATACCGGCAACGTCCCGGTCTCTGGACTTCGAGCTCGCAGTTCTGCTGGTTTGACACACGTATCTTCTTGGAGTACATACATACGGAACTCATTTCATCGGCAGCAACGTAGGCGTGATACGATATCAAAAGGCTGCCCGGCTCCTGCTCTCCTAGCCTTTCGCAGTTGGGTATTTCGTATCAGTGGGAATGGGGAGAAGGGGGACGCTGTGGAGGAGGGGTTGCCGCGTGAGTGGTCGTGTAATTTTATGAAGTGGAAATCTGGGCCGTGTTGCTGCTTGGTTCGGAGCAGCATTGTTGAGAATCCAAGAATGACTTCTACTCACATCGTGCTTGAGACTCAGAGACGTTCAAGCATTACGTTACTCACATCTTTCTCTACACAGTCATATATACATGCTAATCATCGAATCCTTCCAAGCCACAGCCGACATTGTCGGTATTTCCGTCTCGCATCAGTCGTCAAGTCATTACCACGTTCTCGTTCAATCCCACCTCAAAACTTCAGCACGAGTGATACCCACGGGCCTCTCAGTAGCAGCACTAGAAAGTGCCGGCTTGGGCTTTTGACTGCCACATAGACCGCAACGACCTGCATCTCCCGCATTGATGTATTTACTGCCTTTGCAGAGATCGCTTTTGCAGCGCCAGTGGTTTGGCATTAGTTTCGGACATAATACGTGGGAGCAGGCGATGCAGGTTACTGAGTTTGGTGCGTTTTCGAGAGAGCAGATGGGGCAGGCGGACGACGGAGTTGGTTCGTCGGGTAGAGATGCGGTATTACTGGGAACGATTTCCTGGAGCGGCTCGGCCTCGTGAGAAGGGAGGGAGGTGTCGTCAGGGATGGGCGTCTCGCTTGCATTCGCATTGTTATCGACATCGTCCTCTGTCTCGGAATCTTCATGGCCTTCCTCTCCTCGAGCAGGTGGTGCCGCTGCCTTGGAAGATCTGCTGACAGTATCAGGCTTTTCTCTCGGATTCGAAGGTGCTTGCTCTGATTCGCTTTCAGTCTCAGCGTCCAGATCAACCACATGCTTTTTCTTTGCTGTTGGATTCTTGCTCAACATTCGCAATTCGTCCATCTCCCTGCCTGCACCTTCTTCATCGTCCTCGCCATCGCCGCATACCTTCACCAAATCATGTCCATGCCCATCGCTAATGACCACTGACCTGTCCTCTGAGCCGGCTGCTGAGTCGGCCTCCCACTCAGAATCTGTCTCGCTGTCCAGATCTTCAACCAAATCAGGCGTCTGCTCTTTCTTTTGCTGGTTCTTTGCGGCTTCGAATCTCAACAAGGCAGCATTGGCTCTCAAATCTCTACCGCGCTTACTGTTGGCCACCCTCGGCTTTCCTGCAGCTCGTTTTCCCCCATTCATAGTCGATAGAGCACCTCGCACAAGCTCATCCTCGCCTAGAGATTCACCCTCGCCATGCTTGCCAAATTTGCGCTGAATTCGCTGTTGCTGTCTCTCAGCATAGCTCAGCTTCGTATTGTCCTCGTCGCCTTGAGCACCACGCTTTCTCTTCCTGCCCCGACGTCTATACGATCCACCACACAGGTGTTCAGGTATCAGTGATTGGTCAGGAGGAGCTGCATTCACGAAGCTGCCGGTGGCAAGTCCTCTACCACGTCCCCACATGCCTTCGCCCATGTATTGCTCTCGCCACAGCTCTTCCATCTGCTTGGCATATTCATTCCGTACATTCCAGAAGAAGCGGCTGTGGTTCATCTGCTTGCAATGTGCCAATTCATGCATCATCACCATCTGTACAAACTTCATGGACAGCCATCTTCCTGCCTTGTCCTTGAGCACTAATTGAATGACCTCGCCGGCGTTGAAGTTGCGACCGAGGAATTCTGGATTTGGTGCGTACTCTTCGAGAGCCATCACTGAGATGTGGTGCTTCTTCATGACGGGATAGCATTGTGCGGCGATTCGTGAGAGGAACTCTTCGGCCGTAGCTTTGTCGGGTCCTTCCAGAGGCTTGATGAAGTTTATGAGCTGATTAGGTCTCTGCTGGCGCTCATTGAGGCGCTCAAAGCCCAAAGGCATCTTTACCGCGCTGTGTGAAGCCTGATCTATGCCATATATGTCGTGTATGGGAAAGTCGAAGTGGTTGACGATGAGAAAGTTGCGTGACACGCGCATCCCTGTCAACCACGCGACGGTGCTGTCGTCATTTGCATTCACTCCCGATCCTGCACAACATTCGCCAGCAAGCCGGTTTCTCTCAGCCAACGATCTGGTGATGTGGGTACACACGACAAGCATTCGACTCTTCTCGCGGTAAGTTGCTTTCTCACATCTCCTTCGCTGTCACATGAAGTCATGTCCTCCTTCAACACGCCCTGGTTCAACAGCCAGGAATCCAATTTCTTCAATGTCCTCAACAAGACCAAGATCCCGCACGTAGTCCTCTGCGCCGAGACAGAAGACTTCGACGAAGAACTCATCCAGACCTGGACCGATGAAGGCTTTCATACCGTCTACTGTCCGCTCCTCAATGGCGGCGAGAACTTCATCAAGCGAGTCCATACCATTGGCGATAACTTTGGAGTATCAGAACAATACGCCATAGCAGCCTATGGAACCGCAGCAAACCTGATCCTTCAAGCTCACACCAAACCCAACAATCCCCGTCTCATCGCAATCGTGGCCTACTACCCCTCAATAATCCCTTCAGTCCACACAAAATATCCCGCCTCAGTCCAAGTCCTAGTCCATCTAGCCGGCCCAGAAATCAGCGTAGAAAAGCACCCAGAAGTCGTAGGAATCCAAGGCAAACGCAAAAACGTGAAAAAACGCATCGACCCCGGCATCGGGTACGGCGAACGTCTCAACATCTCCTTCAAAACCTACACCTATACCGGCAGCCAACCAGGTTTCGCAGAAAGTGATCTCGACGAATACGACCCCGTCGCAGCAAATCTCGCCTTCACCCGAACCCTCACAACCGTACGCAAAGGCTTTCGAATCGAAAACGACATCGAAGCAGTACGAGACCATCACGTAAAATTTCTGCACAACGCCCAAGAAGAAAAAGCTCTGAAACAACTCCGTCCATACGCACATGTTATCAATACCCCGACTCTGACCGGCGGAATCGGTTCCGAAGACCTGGAAGAATTCTATAAGAATTATTTCACACCGATTCCTGAAAATCCAGATAAATCCCTCCAACTGCGCTTACTATCCCGAACGATCGGCACAGATCGAATCGTCGACGAATTGTATTTATCGTTGACGCATTCTCAAGAAATCGATTGGTTACTCCCGGGGATTCCGGCGACGGGGAGGAGAATCGAGGTTGCGATTGTGAGTATTTTTCATGTGAGAGGTGAGAAGTTGGAGAGTGAACATGTTTATTGGGATCAGGCGAGTGTGCTGGTACAAGCGGGACTCTTGGATCCTAAGGTTGTGCCGCAGAGTATGAAGAAGAATGGGGTAAAGGAGTTACCGGTTGTAGGTGCTGAGGGGGCGAGGGCGATTAAGAGGGGGAGTACGAGGAAGATAAATGAGTTGATTCCGGATTGGTGAAGCTGATCTTGTGCTCTTGGGCGAATGTGGCGTTGGGCAGGTAGTTGTCCACGGATGAAAGCCGTGGAAGGTGGTGATGATGGTGGAAAGTTACTTTGTACACGCAAAAACAACCGAGACTTGACTACAACGCTCTTTGTTGCAGAAGAAGCAAGTTTGTAGCCTTCCCAAACACTCTACCGATGCATAGCAGGCTTTTTCCCCGATCTAGAAGAGTAGCATCTTCCTCGGGTCCTCGATGTATTCTGTAAACCACACGTTAGCTTATCATGGTCTGTCTGCTTGAGGTATTTGAATCTCCTCACCTTTAATCTTTACCAAGAAAGTCACAGCTTCCCTTCCGTCCAGTAATCTGTGGTCGTATGTGAGAGCAAGGTACATCATGGGTCGGATCTCGACTTTGCCGTTGACAGCGACTGGCTTGTCCTTGATTGCGTGGAGACCGAGTACGGCGGTTTGTGGGAGGTTGATGATAGGTGTTCCCATGAGAGAGCCGAAGACGCCGCCGTTAGATATGGTAAAGGTACCGCCGGCCATGTCCTCGATGGTAAGCTTGTTGTCGCGTGCCTGAAAGATGTTAGTCTAAAGCTGCGTAATATGCGTGCAGTGTTTGCCCTCTCACCTTCTTGCCGAGATCCGCAATTGTCTTTTCGATACCAACCAGATCCATGCTCTCAGCGTTGCGCACAACAGGCGTTACGAGTCCCTTTTCCGTGGCAACTGCAACACTGATGTCCACATAGTCCTTGTATACGATGGTGTCTCCACCACCTGGACCTTCAATGCTAGCGTTGACAGTTGGAACCTCCTTCATGGCCAAAACGGAAGCTCTAGAGAATGCACTCATGAATCCAAGCTTGACGCCGGTCTTTTTAAGGATTTCGTCCTTGTAGAGCTTGCGCATTTCCATCAGCGCAGACATATCGACCTCGTTGAATGTAGTGAGCGAAGCAGCAGTGTTCTGCGATTGCTTCAGGCGCTCTGCTATCCTCAGGCGCATGCGGTTCATCTTTACTCTCTTCTCAGATCTGCTGCCATATGGAGATTCAGTCTTCTCCTCTTTCTTTGGCTCCTCCTTCTTTGATGGCTGCGACTTTTGCTCTTGCTTAGGTTCCGATTTAGATTCTGGTTCTGGCTTCGATTCTTGCTTGGGCTGTTCCTGCTTAGGCTCTGGCTTTGATTCTTGCTTCTTCGATTCGGGTTCATGTGCAGCCTTGTCCTGATCTGCTGGCGCAGGCTCCTTTGCTTCCGACGAGCCCTTCTCCGCCTTCTGACCAGGCTCGCCTCCGGTCTCAATCTTGACCAAGTCCTGACCAACAGTCACAGTGTCTTCCTCCTTTGCAAGGAACTCCTTGATAGTACCGGCGGTTGGCGCATTGACGGCAACATCGATTTTGTCGGTCTCGATAGTCGCGATCTCCTCATCCTGTTCCACGTAGTCGCCAACAGATTTCGAGAATTGTTTCAGGGTACCTTCGGAAATGGACTCGGCCATTTCTGGCACTTTCACGATTTGCTCTTCTGCACCATCCTGTTAGCTGGTGCACTACTCCCTCCAGTCGCGGATAGCTGTAGTACCATAATATCGACTTGCAAGGCTGAATTGGCGTAGCTGTACCGGTGAGAAAGGTTTCCTGTTCGGCCGTCAGTAACCGCGTGAGGCTCAAGCTCACTGGTGCAACTTTGCATACCGGCACTGTGGAAGAGTCGGAAGAGCTTTTGACGATGCAGTGGCAGTATATAGAGATCTGAGGCCTTGCGAAGATCGCAGTAGTCTGCTCGATGTCGCTGCAGGCTGACGGGGAAGAGAGGCTGGTCGTTTACAGGCCAAGCGGCGCAAACATTGTGAGCTCGACATGGTCCTGACCTGAGAGACGGCAAAACGAGAAAGATGCCTTTGAACAGCTCCCAGTCGCAGGTCCGAGGGAGGTTTTGGTAGAAGTAGAGGAGAGTCGGAGTGTTGTTGGTGTCAGAGTTAACAAAGCGCAGCGCAGCAAGCTGTTTGGTGGTGGCTCCGGGAATCGAGGCGAACTGACATCGAAGTCCGCACAGCAAAGCAAAGCTCACAACCGACCTCTCGCGCGGAGACATCCGGGTAGGGCTGGCTTTGGCTTCAGGAACACGACGGCAACCACATATCGCGCATACTACCACACACGACAACCTCCCAGCATTGGTGTCGGCTACGGTGGCATATCGTTGAGATTACACGATTCCGGGCGACAGGCCGATTCCGCCTTCACAATGGCAGCCCGCACCCAAGTCCTGTGAGCTACGCACCCACCCCAATGCGCAGCGCAGCAGCATGCCATACTAATCCGCACAAACCCACAGCCACCTCTACCGCCGCTCCCTCAAACTCTCCCTCGACTGGGCCGTCCACAGATACATCTGGCGCGGCCAGGCCATGTACATCCGCGAACTCTTCGAAGCGAACAAGCACGTCACGCAACCCAGACAGCAGAGGGTACGAAAAGAACCCCAAGACGACATGACAGAAGATCCACACTGATGCGTGCATGTCGTATAGTTATTGATCGAGCAAACGGAAGAGTTATTGGAGAAATGGAAGCATCCGGATCCTTATCGACCACCCACTGCTCCTGGTGGAAGCAAATATGAGCGGAATTTGCCTGCTCCTATCTTGGATCGTGAGTTGCATGCACATTAGCATCCTTATGGGAAGTTTGAGCTGATTTAATTACAGCACCGCCGCCACAATTTCATTTATAGATTCGAGGAGGAGGAGATGATGGGAGAAATGGTCGTGTGACGTCGAAGCATAGAAGGAATGGGAGGTGTATATATGGGAAGAGGCTGGGCTACAATAGTCGGCGGGATTATGAAATGCAGAAATTCAAAGCTAAAAGAACATGTCAACCATCGTCTTTGTGATGCGTGATTCGGTGCTTGCAGGAATCAGCGAGTCTGCGGGCTGCTGATAGTCCAAGGTGCTGCTTTTCTGCATCTTTGAGGTCTGCCGCACATTGAAAGGAGACCTGACTGCTGACAGGCTGTAACTTCTGGATCATATTCTGTGCAGCTCTACACTTCTTCTACAGCCATCAGATTCGCTCACTCAGATTGTGTTCAGTACAGTCTCCTCGATTCCTCTCACCGTCTCCTCAGGCGTAGTCATAGCAGCCATGAGATAGAGCACATTGCCGAGTACTCTCGAGTGGATGACCGCTCCATCCGCACCTTCTCTCGCCAAAAGTTGGTCTCTCAAGCCTGTAGCAGCGGTACTGGCATACCCACTTCCCTTTGGATCCTTCAAACTTATAGCCAAAACACTGCCCAAAGCGAACACGCTATCCACGGAATTCTTGTACGAGATGGCAGATACGAAGTTCTGAGACCACATACTCCAAGGATGGTCCGCTTCTGAACCTTGATATGAGACGCCATATGAGTAGCCGCGAGAAGACCAGTCGGCTTTGTAATTCTCCCACGAGCCATCTTTGGCGAGAGTCATGAGTTGTCGCAGTGATTCATTCGCAACTGCGCAGCCGATTGGATGAGCTGTGTAGCTGTGTCCGTGAAGCAGGGCGTCAGTCTTGTCATTCGACAGGAAAGCTTCGAAAATGGATTGTGAGGCTGTGGTTGTGCAGAGCGGAAGCAGACCTCCAGTGAGAAGCTTGGCGTTGACAACGATGTCGGGTTGTACGCCCAAGAACGAGGCCGCGCTGAATCGGCCCAGACGGTAGAGGCCTGTGAAGACTTCGTCGAAGATGACTGGCATGCCACTCCAATCTGGAGATGCTTGCGAGCTCGCAGGCGTCATGGTCAGATTCCCCTCGCTGTCGTAAAGCTCTTGGCATACTTCAACAAAGCATTTCTGGAAAAGAGGATCGCAGAACATCATGCCTCCTGCACCAAGAAGAATTGGCTCAATGATGAGAGCGCCGAGCTTGATGTTTGTCCCGGAGACTTGATCGATAAGCGTCTCTCGGATGTATTGCTTGTAACTCTCGTAGTCTTCGTTCCTCTGGTCAAGTGCAAAGACATCGGTCAAGGAGTTGAAGTGGCGTTTCGTAAAGTTCTCTCCAATGGTATCAAGCTGCCACTGCCCTTGTCGCATCTTGATTGTTGGGAAGTCAAGCCAGATTCCGCGACCTTTGTACCATTCGACCTTCTCGTTGTATATGCTGGGCTCGGAGCAGTCCATGGTTCCGATCGTGTCACCATGATAGCTGTTCTTCAGGCCAACTATCCGAATATCCAGAGATCGGGGCTCTTGGGGTTGCCACCTGTTGATCGCTGCGCGTAGACCCATCTTGACGGCAACTTCCATACCTGTGCTTCCGTTGTCTGAGTAGAACACCTTGGCCAGCTTGGTGTTCCCTGATTTTGCTGTTATGGTTTTGGCGAGGTCGAGCGCTGGCTGATGAATCGCACCACCAAACATAACATGACCATATCTGCCCGCTGCATAGGCTGCCGTGAGCGCCAATTGCGGGTTGCCATGACCTAGGCCTTGTGTCCACCATGATGCCGAGCCATCAAAGGCGGGTTTCAGGATAGACTTCTCACTCATGGCTCGAGGAGCATAGTCATCGACATCACTTTTGAGAGAATAGCTCTGGAAGTGATCCCCATATGCCGAGTCCCACGCCACGATAGTGTCCTTCGATCGCTCGGAATGCTGCATGAATGGGTGCCAGATGGCTTTATCCGCCGCCTCTGGCATATCGCGCAAGTCCTTGATACGCTTCTCGTGCTCTGCAAGGAATCGCTCCGTGAAGCCGTCTACCTCGTGATTCTGGGCAGATTTCTCGTAGTATTCCTGCATCTGCCGTACATCCTCGTCCACACTTGCTTGACGAGCTGGGGGTGGCGGAATCGCAAATGTGCTTACATTTCGATCGCGAAAGTAATCCTTGAGATAGGAGTGATTTCCATACCTGTCCTCGGAGAATAGTGCGATCGATGACACATCATATCCTCGCACGTGAAGAGACTCCCATGCTGAGATTGTGGTTCCAATCCCGCCAAGATTGTAGTCACCAACCAGGAAAGTGGGCAGTCTCAATGGTCGATATAGATCTGCTTGCGCGCTGCCTGACGGACTTGGTGAGAGAACACCGCCGGCAGTCTCGACGATTGCGATGCCATCTCGCCCGTGTGCGTATCCCTTCAGTTCATCGTAGACTTTCTCCAGCACCTGTGCATCCGTAACAGGCTGACCAGGTCAGTGTGGAGCAACATTGGTGCGGTTTCAAGACTTACTGTCCCTGCTGAGCGCACTGCAATGTGCGGACTGACTGGCTCATCAAATTGGTAAAGGCATCGAGATGAAACTGCTCCTCCGAGTGTTGAGATGTGGCTGCACTGCTGTCAGAGTCGAGGTCTTGGCGAGCTTCCTTAGGGTTGTTAGGGTAAATCTTGGCGACGACGAGGTTACCAAAATCATATTTTCGCAATTCTTGATGTCGCATGTGATAGATCGAGTGATATGGAAATACTTACTGATCATCCGCTTCGTCCAGAGGGCCCGTTGAGACTGGTTTCAGGTAGTTGACGTTCGGAATCTTCTTCTGAAATGCTCGGCAAAGAATCGATGAGAATATGGTCTTCCCGACACCCGTGTTTGCGCCGTAGACCTGCAACACCCTCAACTTCGGCCAAAGGACCGATCCAACCTGCCTCATTTCGGATCAATCATGTCAGAGCCAGCACCCGGGTCATCTTCAAGAAGAAACGAAGTCCGAGAGCATGCAAGCTGCACGGGCACGGGGAGAGATCAATTCATGTTCCAAATATCCTCGCACCGAACGGAAAGGGCCGGTTAAGTTTACAAGGCCCAGCGGCGAGGATGCAATGAACTCTATCATTGATAGCTCCCAACTTGGCGGCTGTCCTACTGCAGGTCTGCGAGCCCACAGGAGGCATTGCATTGGTATTGAATGAGTGAGAGGAGAAGTTGCGAAGGCCAGACCTCTTAGCAGTGGAAAGGACAACATGAAAAGGCCATCATCCCTGGAAGACGCACTCTCAACCACACTACAAAAACGCAAACTACAGTCGACATATCGACAATTAACCACATTCCCACCAGGATCTGCGGACTTCTCAAGCAACGACTTCCTCTCGCTTGCCTCGTCGAAGGATCTCCGCGCAGCATTTCTCAAAGAACTGGAAACCGACCCCGCGCTGCTCCATCTCGGCAGTGGAGGATCACGACTTCTCGATGGCAACTCAACATATGCCGAAAGATTGGAGAAGGACATTGCAGCTTTCCACCATGCTGAGACCGGACTTCTGTGTAACTCTGGATTTGATGCCAATGCTGGCTTGTTCTCTTGTCTGCCACAATCTGGAGATGTCATCATCTACGACGAATTGATTCATGCAAGTGTGCATGATGGGATGAGATTGAGTCGTGCTAGAAAACGAGAATATTTCGCACACAATGATGTTGGAGCTTTGCGAGATGTGCTGGAACGATACCTGACTGAAGACAGTGGGCTTCAAGCTGGCAAGCACAACGTCTTCATTGCAGTTGAGTCCGTATACAGCATGGACGGCGATGTGGCACCACTGAAAGACATTGTCGCCCTCAAGAAACACCTCTTCCCCAACGGCAATGCTCATCTCATCGTTGACGAAGCACATTCAAATGGAATCTTCGGGATAAAAGGCAAAGGTCTTGTCTGCCAACTTGGACTGGAACAGGAGATCACTGTTCGCCTCCATACATTCGGCAAAGCCCTGGCATGCAATGGAGCGATTCTGCTCTGCAGTCCAACGATTCGACAGTTCCTCATCAACTATGCCAGACCACTGATCTACTCCACCTTCATGTCATATCCAGCGCTAGCAGCAATTCGGGCTTCGTATGACTTCTTGATGGCCGGGAAGAGCGAGCGCTTAGCACAGAACCTGCAAAGACTGATCAAAGTGCTTCACGAACGACTTCTGCACATGCAATCGACATTTCGCCTACCCCCAGATCGAGCACATCTGCTACAAAGTCCGGTGGAAGTACCAGAGACACCGATCTTCGCCGTGCTGTCATCTGAACCGAAAGCGCTTGCAGCTCACTGCCAAAGACACGGGTTCGTGGTACGAGGAATTGTTGCGCCAACAGTTCCAGAAGGTACCGAGAGGGTTCGAGTGTGCTTGCACGCAGGAAACACAGTCGAGGAGATCGACGGTTTGGTTGAGTGCATACGCGCATGGGTCGCGCGAAAGATGAGCGAAGACAAGCGCGGTGACGTTCGAGCGAGGCTGTAGACTGTACATATCGATCTGAAAATAGCGTGAAAGCGTTCTCTTGTACATCCGCCAGGAGCCGGAATGTGGCAAACGCACTTACTGATCTCATGCGCGCCCTGGTCACAAACCTGAATACTTCGATACCGCGCCGAAGAGCGCCGTATGCCTCTCCCGTGCAGTGTCAATCACCACTTGCGTCCCTCGCTGTCACTGTAGCTGCTGGACCTCAGTATATCTCCACCTGGTAGACTGATTTTGGTCTTCACCGAATCGCCTTCGATGCTCGATCTGGCGTGGCCACGTACCATGGGCTACAATGACCGCATTCCCATGTCTTATCGTCGCCATCATGGCGCACTTGTTGATGGATCCTTCCGTGATAGTGATGCTGGCGTTGGTGGTTGTTTCGTTTCAATATCTGTCAAGGTCAGCTATGAGCAATTCGCTGATTGGCTGCGCATTTTGTTTGTGGTGCAGCTGCAACCTCACCAAGTCACGTCCAAAGTCGCATAGTCGAATTCATAAACTTGTGAGGAAGAAAGAAAGGGAGAGGAGCAGCAGCAACGATGTAAAGTCTGATCAGATTCTGCTCAATTCAAGCTTGGTATCATCGTAAAGCCTGTTGCCCAATAGCCTTCTCGCTATAATCTCATGGGCGTAATGTACAGCCTCTGCTCCTGGATCAGATCAGGAACCATGCAGTAAGAAAAATTTCAAATCAGAGCACGCATAACCTGAGCTCGTGCCCGCCGTCGATGAGCCCATTATCATCATAACACCCCATTCTGCGCCATAAACCCGTGTGCCGTGATCTTAAACCAAAAGTGAGAGCATCTACAACTCTTGAGATGCGCCGCCCTTGCCAGGCTTGGCACCGGTGGTCTTCTTTGGCAGGAGGTCTGGGAATGAAAGTCAGCGACTGCGGAATGCGATCAGTGGAGGAGCAATGCTTACTCTGGTGGATGTTTGGAAGGACACCGCCCTGGGCAATGGTAACGTGGCCGAGCAGCTTGTTCAACTCCTCGTCGTTGCGGATGGCCAACTGAAGATGACGTGGGATAATACGTGTCTTCTTGTTGTCACGAGCAGCGTTACCAGCCAATTCGAGGATTTCGGCAGCCAGGTACTCGAGCACAGCGGCGAGGTAGACTGGGGCACCTGCGAAGAATGAGTCAGAAGATGCGACCAGGCAGAAGTGGTTGATCGATGCGACTCACCAGCACCGACACGCTGAGCGTAGTTGCCCTTTCGCAGGAGACGGTGGACACGACCGACAGGGAATGCGAGACCGGCCTTGGATGAACGGCTGTACTGATGTCAGTTTGCGATCGATTTGAGATGCGAAAAGCGCGTCAATTGAAGTCGAAAAAGCGCGTTAAACAAGATGGCTTTCGATGAAAGGAAATGGTGCGAATAGGTGAGTACTCACGATTGCGCGTTGGACTTGGCACCGCTGGCCTTGCCTCCGGACTTGCCTCCAGTCATTTTGATGGATTTGGTTGGTTTGGGTTGGTTTTGAGATGTGGTTGTGTTGTTGGGTGAGATGGAGTCGTTGGTATCGCTGGGCGTGATGGATGTCGATGTGTGGTGATGGAAGAAGAAGAGCAGCGCGAATGTTGGGTGGAGGTCGACAGGCTTAAGTAGCGCGGGCAAGAAGTGTGGGCGTCGCCGCATCAAAGTCGCGGTTCCGTGTTTTGGGCGCTCGGACCAGCACCTTCCAGCGCGCGTCGTGATTGCAGCTTCGCAGCAAAGCCGCCCGCACTACTTAAGCCCGCACTTCCCTCCCAGCTTCCGCGCAGTTCTTCTTCCTCTCCACACACAACACAACACACCAAGCGACATCCATCACGTCCATCAACCCATTTCAGCACTTTTCGAACCCACATCACCAACTCATCCAAAACCGCATTTTCAAGCTTCGAAATGGCACCAAAGGCAGCACAGAAGGTATTTGCACCCCAAACAGACCTCCAGCTTCGAGCGCATTTGATCTGACGCGTTTTTCAGACTCCAACCACCGCTGGCAAGGCCCCAGCCGGTAAGGCTCCAGCTGAGAAGAAGGAGGCTGGCAAGAAGACTGCCGCCCCATCTGGTGAGAAGAAGAAGCGCACCAAGACCAGAAAGGAGACCTACAGCTCGTACATCTACAAGGGTAAGCTTCATCCGCCTCGATCGCGCACTTTGGTCCAAAGTCGCTTTTCAATCTGAGTCATTGCTGACGCGTCTTTTCTTCTACAGTCCTCAAGCAGGTTCACCCAGACACTGGTATCTCCAACCGTGCCATGTCCATCCTGAACTCTTTCGTCAACGACATCTTCGAGCGCGTCGCCTCTGAGGCATCCAAGCTCGCTGCATACAACAAGAAGTCGACCATCTCTTCTCGCGAAATCCAGACCTCTGTACGACTGATCCTGCCTGGTGAGCTTGCGAAGCACGCCGTCTCTGAGGGCACCAAGGCCGTCACCAAGTACTCTTCCTCAACCAAGTAAACGTCATCACGGGTCTGAGATGATTGGCGTTTGTTCTTTGTCACTTGGTTTTACTCGAGGGCTCATACGATGTGAGGGCCGAGGCGTTTCGATAATGCGATCATGGGATGGGTTTGTTTTAGATATTTCATTTACGATGCTCACAATACCATGAGCGCTACCTAGGCGGCGGCGCGAACAGAGCATTCGGGCATGATGGGCTGTACAGTAGCAGCAGCAGCGAGGCGGCAGATATCAGATGGATGGTCTGACATGAAATGCATGATTTCAAACTTCACTATCTGTTCTTCCTCATCTTCGGCACTGGTCTACAACGTCACTTGATACTGACTTTCAAATTGCATTCAAATGACATTGGCATTTACAGCGCGACTTGCGCATTCATTCGAGATGCGAGATATGCACTTCGCAGCGGTGCAGAGTGGACGACTGAGGTTGAGAGAAACGCGTAAATGGCGCGCTATCGCCAGATCATAACATTGAAATTCAGGCATCCAAGGCAGAAACTCAAAGTCTGGGCGACGAGAAACTTTGCGACCGCGACCGCGAACCAGAAACTTGAACTTCTCGACCTCAACTGTCAACATCCAACATCATGCTCTGCAGATTTCGATGTTCATGTCTTCCGCGAGACAGGAATTGAGATACTGTGACCTTTCACAGAATGATACAGCAGGCTCCAGCCTGTGATCAGCGAGATGCCTTCTGGAAACGGACTTCACACGCGGCGACTTCTTGCACTGGACCTCTGAACAGGATCCGCTTCCGAGCAGAATATAAGGCTACAATCTTTGCCGAGAATATCCATTGCGGTGACATGACTCTCCTCATGCATTGTCTTGTGGCGTCCTGGAGCGATTATTGAGCAGGCTAGACTGGACGGCATGCTGCAACAGAGCAGATCCTCAAGCTGGTGACATCACGCCGTGGAGCTTGTCCAAGTTCCCAGCTCCTACGGATTCGCAGGCGGCTCTCCACCAAGATGTGATGTGATTGCATGTAGGCGTTGGGTTCTTCGTTGTCTCTTTCATCTTGTAAGTGTTTCACACTATTTCTTACTTGAACAGCACATGGCTCTGCTTGGCATTGACATACAGATAGAGCTGCGGAAACATTGACGGAGATAAGTGCGATGTTCAAGCTGCGCAAAGAACGGCCACCAGGACCCTCACGTACAGATTCTCTCGCGGCACTCAGCGACTCGGACACGAATGTGCCGGAACCAAAGATGCAGAGGAGAACACTTAGCCAGATCTTTGGGAGAAAGAAGAATAAGGATGGTCAGGAAGAGATGATCGTGGCGCCTGCAGGAGGCACAGATACAATCGCGGGCGGGAACACATTGGGTGTGCCTCCGCTGCAGCAAGACTCTGCATATGCCAGCAGCGAGCCAGATGGTACCCCCAGTGGTTCCAGACATGGCAACTCGATCGAGACGAATCCCATCTCGCCAGCGGAGACCAACATGAATCCCCTCATTGTTCCAGTCGAGAATGATGGAAATGTCCCTGGTGTAGCTCGGGAGCGAAATCTGGCTGTGAACAAGTTGACGGGCGATATTCACGACGAGGATACTGGCGAGGTTGTGTCAACAGTCACCACGACGACGACAACCACAACTACCACCACGACCATCAGTGGTAGGGATGGTAAGACGAGAAAGGTGGACGTTCAGACGACGCCAGGGAGTGTGACGGTCGCACAACCTTCGAATGTAGCGACCGACCGGAACAGAGATGCAGATCGTCGTAGTGTGATCTCGGAGATGCCAGCAGACTCGGTGCCTCAGACGACCGCTCAAGATGCTCCTCCTGTGCCGGCAATTCCATCGAATGCAGTGTCCACGCCTGCTCCATCGACTACGCCTGTGCCGATGGGGGACGGGCCAGACACGGCTCATAGCGTTCCACTGGTGCCAGGCAGAAATCCGAGTCGCATGTCGCCAGTAAGAGGGTCGTTCGGAGCAAGGCCAGAAAGTGTCGATCCAGTGCCTTCAAGTCCCGTGGTCGGATCTGGCTTTGGAGCAAACTTCGCTGGAACCCCTTCGCAGATTACTGGTGCTACTCCAGTCGTTGTACCGGCTGATGGCCCTGTTCCAGGTGCGCTCCCAGTCCCAGGTGCGCTCCCAGTTCCACCATCTCCAGAGCCTACCCCGATAGAGCCGGCATACAGACCAATCACGCCGGCCCGAGAACACCGCCCTCTGACGGAATCCGTAATATCAGAAGAAGATTCAGTGACCTCGAGCACGCCTGGCATGGCACCCGGATCAACAACAAATATAGCAATCCCACCCGCCCCAGCCCCATCCACCGCACCCCCAGCAAACACCGCCCCAAAAAGTACCTTCAGCAGCCTCAAAGCCGCAGCAAAAGGTCTCCACGTAAGCATTATCCATCCATCCCCCTTTCCTCCACCTCATCCCCTCTAACAACATTCGTGCCACCAGGGCGTCGGCGAAACCCTCCGCGGAACTCTCAACAACGAAATCGACACCCGCTTCTCTCGCAGCAATCCGGAAAAGGCTGCGGCTATCAATGCGAAAAACCAGGCAGTTCTGGATCGTGGACAACAGGAGACTGCTGGATTGCAACCTTTTGTTGAACAGAGGCAGAGTCGGAGTCGGAGTATTCAGAGGAAACCAGTGGGGGGGGATGGGGAGGGTGGTGGATAGGAGGGGACGGTTTGTTGGTGATGTTGAGGATAGGGCCTGTGGGGGTAGTGGGGAGGTTGTTGGATAGGATGATGAGAATGAAGGGTTGGGATGTACATAGCTTCGGTCGTTTTTTTGAAAGGAATGGGAAAAGTTCCTTTTGTATCTACCTATCTATCCAACGAAATTGTATATTTCCTCCTCGTGGTTGGGAACTTTGTACGTTGATCAGGTCGGTATCAATACTCTCTGCATCATCTCTATGCATTCAGGTCTCCGCAACCTCGTCGTCATCACTTTCTCCCATCTATTTCGATTCGACTTCGAAAGTCAAGTACATACTTCACACATTCTCCACCATCTTCCCAAATTCGCCTATCTTCCAGATTTACCAAATTACAAATTCACTCCATCACGATCGCAACACTACATCAATAGACACAAAAGTCACGCAAACAATCATAAAACGTCAGTCGCAATCACGACAGTAAATCTCAAGTTGATTGAAGAAGGTTGGTAACCTCATCGTCCGCCAAGATTTACCCTAAGGCGTAGCGGAACCCTAACGAAGCCCAGCGCCGCCGTAGCCCAGCATCCACGAAATCAAAGATGCAGCATGAAAAGAGCACTGAGCTGATTCATTTCATCCCCTAATCGCAAGACTCACACACTCCTTCTCCTCCTCCCCACACCCGCTCATCCCAAACCCGCAGTCCCGAGCCTAATGACCTGCTCAACAGGAACCTTCATCCCCTCCCCATCCTTACCGAGACCCATACCCTTACTCCAACCCATTTTACCCATAAGTTTAGCACCGAAACCCGTATGACTGATTTCCGCGGCTCCAGCACCGACAATCTCACCATTACGAACCGAAACGGCAGCTTTGTCAAAACGTCCACCACCGCGAGTCTTCTTAGCGAATTTGCCCGCTTTGCTGTGGTTCGAGAGAAAACCGCGCGAAGAAGCTGATGTGATTTTAAAGAACATTGTTTCGTCGTATTCTGTGGTGAGAGAGGTTTTGTAGATGATTGGGAAGCGCTTCTTGCCGGTGCCTTTGGATTTGGAGCTGAGGTTGAGAGCGGTGCAGATTTCGTGGAGGGCTTTGCGGTTTGCTTTGTCCATGGGTGGGAAAGCACGTTCTTGGAAGTCGCCTTGAAGGAAGTCGCGGATCTCGTTGTGGACGTTATTCATGGTCATGCCGAGAGGATAGCGGGCGTCGAGATCTGCTTTGCCCTTGCGGCCTGCTGAGCCAAGCAAGCCTTGTCGACGAAGCTCTTGTCGCTCGATCTTCTTTGCGCGCTTGGACTTGCGGTCTGCGTCCCATGATTCTGCCAGAGTCTCCTTCAGATCCTCGTCGGACAAGTATTCCAGTGCTGATGGCAGCTTACCCTTGCGACCTTTCTTGGTAGGTCGCAGTGATGGTCGTTCAAAATCCATGATGTCGAAGCCGCTTTCGCCGTATTGCTCGACAGAGTCTGCGAGTGCGGATGCGTTTGGAAAGTTGAACTTCTTGTCGCCGCCGCGTCGTCGCATGATGCCGCGCTTGCCAGAAGTGAGGTTGGTGATATCACTGATGCCTGCGCGTGCGGCAGCGACATCTCCCACGCCATCCTCCGAGATCGATTCGTACATGCCGTCGTCAATAATCAGCTCGTCACCGTCAATGCCGAGCTCTTGCTGTTTAGCCAAAAGTCGCGCGATCTGCTCATCAGTCATGCGGTCGATGCGCCGCTGCCTGATATCCTCCTCATCCTCCCACTGCTCTCGCTCAGTGTAGTCAAGCTCAGCTTCCAGATCTGAGCTGTCCATGGCGTCCGAGTCCGAAGAGAGCTCATCTTCGTCACTGTCGTAACTAGCCCAGTCACTTTCATTCTCTTCGTCATCATCTTCCATGTCCTTATCGAGCAATTCATCTTCTCCAATTTCTCTGCCGTCGACGACGAGTGATGGACCGGCCAGTGCAGCATTTGCTCGCAGATTCGAAAGCAAGCCATCTTTCTCACCGCCGTCTCCAGAATCGCCCTCATCATCCAGCTGAGCCATGAGGTTCTGCATGTAGTCGTCGTGTGCGGCTTCACTCATGCCAAAATCCTCATCATCAGAGATGGGTGCATTTCGCATGACGCGATTGTCCTTCTTTCTACCACGCTTCCCGCGACGATCGGACTTGGGTGTGCTGCCAGTCGTGGGTTGGTCCGGCGTGACTCTCTTCTTCGCAGCCTTCTTTTCCGACAGCTTCTTCTTCCAGTCCGCCTTCAGCGCCGCTGAAGATTCTGCCTCCGCCCGCCGTGACGCTGCATTCGAGTCTGCTGTGGCAGCGTATGGGAATGCCCTATGCTCTGCTGGTACCGCTTCAACTTCTGGCTGCGTCTTACGCTGCTTCCAGTACGGAACTGAAGATGCAGGCGTCCACTCATCTTGCGGTCGCTGGGTGATATCGTGCACGGAAGGCACAGCACCCCATCCCCTGGCTTGAGGAACAGAAGGCCTGGCTGAGAATGCTGCAGGTGTTCGCTTTGATGACGAGCCCCCGAGAGCTCGTAGCAGATCGTCGGTCGGGTGTGGGCTGGAGCAAGCAGGTAGATTGGGCGTTCGCGTTTGCCGTGGCGGCGCAGAGAATGGGTCGTCGATGACGGTGGACTTGGGTGCAGACTGGTTGCGACCTCTGAAGACAACTTCCTCGCTAGAGTCAGATGGTGCTGGAGAAGGTGCTCGCTTGACTGGTCGCTTGCCATTTGCCTTCGTCTTGGTGGCAAGGCTTGAATCGCCGACGGTATCAATAACAAAGCCCAGGGCCGGCGAAGGCTCTCGCATGGAGGGAGGATCGACGATAATGCGCGTTTCGGTGCTCGCAGTGGTGGTCTCGTCGACGTCCATGACTTCAGTACCGTGGATGTGCATGTTTGCCATGCCTTCCTCAGACACCTCGACGTCTGCCTCGAGCAGGATGTTGGTCTGGATTGCGCTGTCGTCCATGTCTTCCTCGTCATCATCGCCCTCCTCGCTATCGCTGTCCTCAAGCTCGGTCTGTCCACTTCGGGTGGTGTTATTCGGGTCGTCTACTGTGGGAGCGCTGTTGCCCGCGCTGACGAAGGAAATGGCCTGGTGACGCAAGTTTGCATTCGCACTTCTGGGGGGTAAGGGAGAGAATTTGGAGGTCTGGGCGAAACCACGAAACTTGACAGCATTATCATCCTCGCCTACAAGCAGTTCTTAGCATACGAAGGCAGAGGGCGATGGGATTCTACACACCCCAATCATCATCGTCGTCAAGCATGATGCGCCTCGACAGGTTCTTGTTCTGCGGCGTGTAATTCCCACTATTCTGTGCCTTCTGCTTCTGCTTGGCCCGACCTTTGGGCGGCTTTCCCTTCTTCGCCATCTTGCTCGAATGTCTGCCCTGTTGCCCTGCCCCGCCCCGCGATCCAGCGCGATATCTAGAATTCTAGTGTGGCGAGCAGATCTATGCGCTTCCCGTGCAGCTGCCGGTACTGTAGGCGAATGTATGCAAGCAGAGCGCGACTGCAGTGAGCAGGCGAAAGGAAGGAGATGTATTCGGCGGATCTGGATGTGCTTTGACTCTTCCGTGTCATCAAAGGCGGCGGCCCATTCGCGAGATCCGCATCGGCATCGGCATCCCGACCGTGTGGGCCCTGCATCTGCATCATCCCGCAGCGCCAGCGCCAGCACCGACGCCAGCCTGGCCGATCGCGTACACCACAGCTCCTTGCCCACCTCCTGCTGTCTGGTGTCTGGCCAGGAACGGTGCGACTCTGAGTTTGGATAAATAGAAGTGGATGACGGAGGAACGACACCTCCGAACAACACGCACCTAAGTCCCTCCGAACCCCGCCATCATCACCGTCACATGCAACGACACATCTGCTACGTATGGCCTCGTGAGCACGAATCCTGCAGAACTCCACCTTGCAAGGCAGACCACCGTGCCTGCCTGTATCTCCTCCACCCCATCCCAGCGTGGCCGCGATGAACGAGTTCGCTCGCTTCTCCAAGCGCGCCGTAGACTGGGTCTTCGACAGACCACCTAGAAATGAGGATGACTCGCCCATCTGGTGTCTAGGGCGATCGTATAAGTCGGAGTATCAAGCAGAACGACCGTCCACAGCACCTGGCTCCTCTCCTTCGGCGCAGTCAGCAACATCTCATGCCGATTCCGCTGTTGTGACTCAGCCTCAACATCAACCGAAGAGTGAGGAATTACGAGATAAGGATGACGACGAGGAGTTGGTCAAGAGCTTCGACCAGGTCCAGCTATCCAAGTCGATGGACGAGGAAGACCTTGGCTGGCCTTCTGAATTTCTAGACGACTTTGAGTCGAGAGTCTGGATCACATATCGAGATGCCTTTCCACCTATACCCAAGTCAAGCCATCCTGCCGCTGCATCCAAAATGTCCTTCACAACCAAGCTTCGAAACTTCACAAACCAAGCAGGCTTCACCTCAGACACAGGCTGGGGCTGCATGATAAGGAGTGGCCAGTCTCTGCTCGCGAACACCATTGTCGTGCACAGATTAGGCAGGGATTGGAGGAAAGGTCAGAAGGAGCGGGAACACAAGGACATTCTATCGCTGTTCGCAGATACACCAGACGCGCCTTTCTCAATACATAAGTTTGTCGAGCATGGTGCTCAGGCTTGCGGAACATATCCTGGCGAGTGGTTTGGCCCAAATGCCACAGCCAGATGTCTACGGTTGGTGTCTGGAAGCAGATCCTAAAGCTAATGCTAACATTGAAGATAGTGCCCTTACCGACAAGTACCATCAAGCCGGTTTGCGAGTATACGCCCGACCAAACGATAGCGACGTCTACATTGATGCACTCACCGCCACAGCCACACAAAAGGACGCCAACGACGAATTCCAGCCAACCCTGATCGTGCTGGGCATCCGTCTAGGCATAGAAAAGGTCACACCAGCATACCATGCCGCCCTCAAAGCCGCTCTCGAACTCCCGCAAAGTATGGGTATTGCAGGTGGAAGACCGAGCAGTAGTCACTACTTTGTTGGCCACCAAGGTGACAACTTCTTCTACCTCGATCCACACACAACACGGCCAATGCTCTCACCACAGCCCTCAGCCGAAGATGTTGATACCTGCCATACGAGACGAGTGCGGAGACTTTCTCTCGCAGAAATGGATCCCTCAATGCTACTAGGCTTCCTCGTCCGCTCCAAAGAAGACTTCGAAGAGTGGCGCAAAGCTGTTGCAAATATGCCGGGCAAAGCCATCATTCACATCCACGACACAGAGCCAAAGTACTCGACAGGAAACGAGCGGGCTGGCGCGGTGGATGAAGTCGAGACTTTGGATGAGACTTTGGACGAAGAAGAGGACGAAGGCGAAGTCTTGTAACGAACGCTGCTGCATACGAGCATACTTCCAAGCGCTTTTTTCTCTGTTACTGCATGGATGGATGGATGGATGGATGGATGGATGGATGGATGGATGGGATGAATTGATGGTTTACGACATTGGGGCCGGCACAGCATAAAGCCTTCTCATTAGATACCCCAGATAAGAAGACGAGAAATCCTTTTTGCAAGAGCAGCCGTCTCCCTCTCTCTTCACGACCATCACTCGCCTCAGTAATCCACCCTCCCCATCCACCATCCTTCCATCCCATTCAAATCTCATCCAACCACTGCAGTTGTATAGCACTAACATTCCTCGCATACGCCTTCTGCGTAAACACAAAATCACAAAACACAATCCCCTCCATTTTTTTGCCTCTATCCCTCCTCTCTCTCTCCGCCAACACCGAACTAGGATGTATAGCCACAACTTGTTTCGAAAGCGCAGTTTTGTAAGAATTGTCCGGACATAGAATCGCGATGTTGGATTTATAGCCGATCAGGAAGCATTTTAGGATATTTTCGTTGAGGTTTTCGGAGGAGGAGGAGGAGGGTAGGGTGGAAGAGGAGAGGGATTTTGTTTGTGTCCGTAATTGTTTCCTAACATCCATGACGGCTTTCATAGCCGAATGAGAAATTGCGTGGTTTTTGCACCAGAGTTTTCGATCGGAAGTTGTGGAGTCGTTTGTGTAGGTTTGGACTGCGGCGAGGTAGGTGAGGAGGTCACCTTCGCGGCGGTGGAGGTGGGAGCGGGCTTGGAGGATGGATTCGTTGGTTTCGTTGTTGTTGTGGATTGGGAGCCAGATGTCTTCGACGGAGAGACAGGAGATGATGTCGATTACTTCGTTTAAGCAGGAGCGGGAAGGTTTGGAGGATTCGATTAGGACGACGCCGAGTTGGGGTGGGAGAGGCAGGCGGGCGACTTTTTGGCCGAGAGGGGTTATGGTGCCGGTTTGTGCTTCGAGGCAGGAGAGGTTGACGAGGTGGTTGAGAGAGCGTTGGAGGGCTTCGAGGGGTGGTGCGGTGAGGAACGGGAAGTTGAGAATGTCGTCTACGCCGCGGGCTTTCATTTTGAGGATGGCGTTGCTGAGGTCGCAGTGTAGGATTTCTGGTTTTGTGTCTTTTTCGAGGTCTTTGTAGGTTGATTCAGTATAGAGGCGATAGCATTGACCGGCTGCTTCACGACCGGCTCGACCTGGAAACTCATAGTTAGCCAAAGTTCTCAGCAACGCGCACGAAGATAGAATGGCTAAGTCTGCTGCCACGACCACAGCCTCAGATTCCCCATGCAGTTATCTTTGCGTCAATCAAGCCACTTACCCTTCCTCTGTTCTGCAGACGACTTCGAAATCGGCTTTGCCAGAAGCGACTCCAGCCCCAACTTCGACCTGAACTGCTTCATTTTGAATCTTCCACTATCCACCACAAACCGCACGCCAGGCACCGTAACCGAAGTCTCAGCAATATTAGTGGATAGTATGACCTTTCGCGTATTCGGTGGCGCTCGCTCAAATATCAGTTGCTGTGCATGCTGCGGCAACTTCGCATAGAGTGGAAGCACCAGCATTCTCGGAAAGTCGGTCGTCAAATGTCCAGCGAACTCCTCCACGGATTTTTGGAGACTCTTGATCGCTTCGGCGCCGTCGAGAAACACCAGGATATCTCCTGGCATAGCTTCTTTGCAATGAATCTGATATATGCGATGCAGTGCTGTGTCGAGGTAATCCGGTGTCGGGCTGTCAAGATAGTGCGTCTTGACAGGATATTGTCTTCCTTCGACATGGCACCGGGAGACTTTCGAGTCGTTTCCATTCTGAATGATGCCTTCGCTTCCATTTTCAAAAGTCGCTTCCTCATCAACCCCTTTCCGCTCAAAGAATCGCATCAACCCATCAGCATCCGCCGTAGCACTCATAACCACAACCCTCAACGGCCTCCCCATCCTTTTCCTCTCCTCATCATCAAGCAAAACCTTCAAAAACCCAAGAATAAGATCCACATCCACACTCCGCTCATGCACCTCATCAACCACAACACAAGAATACTCCTTCAGCGCCGGATCCCTCAAAATTTCCTGCAACAGCATTCCCTCAGTCAAAAACATGATTTTCGTGCTCGCACTCGTATTATCGTCAAATCGTACACTATAGCCGACTTTACTGGCTGGGGAGGAGCGTCCGAGAGGTGAGCCCATTTCGTCCGCTACTCGACGAGCGAGGTTGATAGCTGCGACTCGACGCGGTTGCGTGACGGCGATTTTTCCGGTGCACCATGGTGATTCGAGAAGGAATTGGGGGACTTGAGTAGATTTTCCGCTTCCGGTTTCTCCAGTTAGAACGAGGACATTGTGGTCTTTGAGCGATTGTCGGATTTCTTTTGCGCGAGGATATATTGGAAGGGCTTGTCGTTGTGCATCCAGCTGAGTCTTGCGTTTCTTCATTGGGGTGCTGTTCTTCTTCCCTTCATCTCGCTTCCGCTTCTGCCCGGCACTAGTATCCAGTGGTGCCGACTTCATTTTGCGATGCTCAGTCTTCGATGGTGTGTAGTATGCAGAGAAAGTCGAATTTCTCGGTCTACAGTTTCCGAAGCAGATTTTGATTCGCCAGAGATAAGCTTCGACTAACGGCTCCCACCGAGGCGCATCGGCCATGGATCACATGCCAAATCTGATCGACGAAAGTGGGTGTGTCGCAAGGGATGCTGAATGGGCGAAGAAGAGCTCAAGCTAACGGGTGTCCTACCCTATGAACGATCCGATCGAAACACAAGGATTACAATTTCGGTATTTGGTATGCACATAAGCGAACAGGGGAAAATGGTAGTTAACATCGCATGTGCGGCATCAGTTAGAAAAAGGGAGTTGTGACCGCTCATACACCACACACACACATTCCGAACTGCGCAAGCGCCAAATACTACTAATAGAGAAAAGCGCCCCCAAACCCACTCAAACACCTACTACCTGCCCGCCTCGCCGCCGATGAACCACACACGTACATCACCGGATCATGTAGGTGAGGATGATTTGCTTGCTTGCTTGCTTTCTTTCCAAAGATAACACCGAAGAAAGTCACTTCAGCTGCCTTCCTGCTTTGCCTGGAACAACTTCAACAACCACAACAACGACAAATGCAAAAACGCCTTGAAAATCGTCTCTCCCATGAGCAGCATGACTGACTTATGACGCCGAATCCTTCTCCTTCTGCTTCCGCTCTTTCCTACTCTGTACAGGTGTCTCTCCTTCGACATGTGCGCTCGATTGATCGTCGGTCGAACTAGCGCGCTGCTCCTAATTGTTGTGACCCGCCTTTCGAGATGCACCAAAGTCTGTCTCGACCTGTTTTCGCTCCTTACGCTCCTTGACTTGTAGTTCCATGACCAATGGCAGATGGTCACTGGGGAAGTAGTGGTTGGGCCATCCTGGTACGCGTCGCATGTACTCCTGATCCGGCTCTCCGAGAACCTTGTTTACCTGCACGGAGTTGGTGGAGTAGAACACCCAGTCGATCGTTTGTCGGAAGTCCGGCGTGTAGTTGGTGTACGGCAGTTCACCAATGTGGCTGTACACCGACTTCAAGCTGAATGGGTGGCTCATGCCGTGGCGTGTGAAGTCACCATAATTGTTGTCGCCCAGTTCGGAGTGTGAGTTCGACAGCGAACCTTGTGTTATGAGGTCGTAGACTCCAGAATCGCGCGTTGAGTTGAAGTCTCCACACACCACTAATGGGATGTGAGTACTCTCGTCGTATTTCAAAGATGGTCCTGGCGCAGGCGGAGGTTGATTTGAATCGTCCATGCCATCTTCGTTTGCGTATTTGAAGACTTCCTTGTCTTTGCACGGTGGCCACTTGGAGTATCCCTCGGCAAATCGAGCAATTGCTTCCATCATGATGGCGACCTGCACGATTTTGATATCGCTGTGCCAAGGCTCCCAAGTGAGATGCGTGTTTGCAACAATCACTCTCGAACCGGTCGCGCGATTCTCCAAGAAAGCAATAACTGCTACGTGGTCTCGTGGCATGACGCGGTTGTACACGTCGTGCTCGCCCTTCATGTCAGGTCTCCTTATGGCTTCTTGACTAAAGACGATCAATTGCTTGTCAAGTAGAATGTACTTGGAATTCTTGAAGAAAATTGCACTTCCATCGACCACCTTGGCCTCTCTCTCCTGCATGGTTTGCGCTCTCGACTTCGGCCAAAAGACGCCCTTGTAGTCATCAGATGCCAGATTGGGTCGGAAGAACTCGTTGTAATTCTCCATGTCCATTTCTTGCAAACACATGATGTCTGCTTGTCGTCCTCGCAGCTCGTCCAGGATCATAGCCCGCCTTCGCTGCCATGACAATGCTTCAGAAGGTGTATAGCCATACATCGTGGCGGTTGCAGCCCTGTCGCAAAGAATGTTCCAGCTGAGCAAGCTGAATGTATCAGTTCCGTCCGATTGCTCTTCAATTAGCGGTATCCAGGCTCGGTCAGTCGGTGGATCAGGAGCTGACCCAAGTTAGCATGCATAGCAAAAATTGTTGTTAAGAACGACTTACTTGGTGCCTGCTCCCGGAGATAGCGAATTAGCTCTTGTGTTCCGTGTTCCATGAGCCGCTCCTTGTAGTCCGGTCGCATTGGGTTGCCTTCAATGCCAAGCATTTCTAGCCGATAGAGAAAGCCAAGCTCGAAAGGCAGGTCGTCAAGGTGATTGTCGTAGAGTGAAAGCTTCTTCAAGTTCGTGAGCATACCAATCTCCGGTGGTAGGTATGAGAGGTTGTTCATGGAGAGGTCAAGAACTGTCAGAAAGCGCATTTGCCCAATTTGAGGAGGTATCGCTCGAAGGCTGTTCCACGCCAGGAATATCTTCTTCAGCCTTGGGTAGCGTTGGAACAGTGCAGGTGCAATGGCTTTCAGGCCTTGGCCGCACAGGTCCATAGCATCCCATGTACCCATGTCTTCCGACTCATCTGTTATGCGCCGCCTCTCGCCGTTCTCCTCGCCATTCTGCTGGGTTGCATTGGACCCATTAGACTGTCCAGGATATCTGCTCACGGACGGCGTTGTTCTCGCGTAGTAGTGTGTTTTCTGATCCGCCATCCTCATTTTCTGGTATTCTTGGATCTGTGTCGCCCAATGCTCGTTCATCGGCTTCGGTACGTTCGAATTGTCTGGTGTGCCATTGGTGAGGTGCGCAGGTGTAAAGTGAGGAGTCGTGTTTGACAGCGTGCTTGCCGAGATGGTGTGCTGGTGGTTTCCGAAGTTGTTGGTGTGCCCGCTCAGTCCGCTGTGGTCATTGTGCTGGCTATTGACGTGGTGACCTTGATGCTGGCCTTGCGATTGGCTCTGAAAAGCCTTGCTCAAGTTCACCTGCGGCTGGAAATTGTGGTGCGCCGCGCTCCCGTTAAGCATGCCATGATTCTGACGATGGTTGTGGTTGTTGAACATGCTGTAAGCGGGCGAGTTCGTGCCAGGCGAGCGATTGGGCGACGGCGTATCGGCGTTCGGCTGGAAAAGACGGCTGCTGTTATTGATGGGCGAGCCCGATCGGTGGTGCTGCTGCTGCAGCTGGCCTCGCGTGTGTGAATTGTGTTGATTCTGGTAGAAATACTGGCCGCCGGTATTGAACCGACTGAAACCATCGGCCATCACCAGATGGCGATGTAGCGAGCGTCTCGATCTCGATGGGGCCGGCTCCGCTTGCTGGAAGGATGCGCGCTGTGATGTCGGTGTCGTTGCCGCTCGAGATGGAGCTGGAGCTTAGGGAGGAGGAGGATCTGGCCAGCGCACTCTTCGTCTCCTGTACATGAGCACCCGCCCGGCTCTTCATGAACGAAAGAATAGGAACTCCCTCGCTAGCGACGATGTCCGGCTCCTCTACGCCTGTGCGCTATCGTATGGTATGCTGGTGGTTAGCAGCAGCTTGGGGGGGGGGGGGGGCGGAATCTGCTCAGGACGCCGATTGCGCGCGACGGGAGGAGCAAGAAATCGATATGCTCGAGGTATCCAGTGTCGTATAATGGCGCTATAGCGTGCTTGTCGTTTCGTGCCGGCCTCAATTGCTGTTGTCCTGATGGGTCGCTGTCTGTGCCAGCGAGCTGTTCTGTCGAAGTGCTCGAAAGCGGGCCGCAAACACACGTGACACTCCCGAACCAGAATCTGGTCTGGTCCCTCCCAAGACCCTACCACTCTTCTCTCCACTCCACCATCTACCATCTACCATCTACCATCTAACCAGGCCGTCATTAGAAACGGAACACTCTGGCTTGGCGCCCTACATGCGGTCGGTCTGGAGGCTAATTCATGAACAATAGCATTATTGACCACAGCTCAGCGCCGCCCCAGCGATTCGTGTCGTGCATTTTCTAGATTCTCTCGCCCCTTATCATCATCACCTCTAACGCAGTGCGCCTCCCATCTCTAACATGATCATACCTGAGACTGCTGTGGCATTTCGCCTCACGAACATACCGCACTACTGTACGCCTCTGCAATGCTCACGGTCCACGCTCTGCCGTTCCCACCGCCCAACGCGTCTGCATCTCAGATGGCGCTGGAGTACCGTCCAATTCCGCGCATGAGACAAGTGGCGGCGACTCTCGAAGGAGCCGGTACAAGCCAAGTCTACAAGACAAGCATCCCGTTCTCTCTTTGTACCCTTCTTGCCTTCGCGTAAACATATCACCCCTTCCTGCGCCATCTGCATGCGCATAGTGCACACAACTTGGCCGGTACGGCCGAAAGTGCCGGCATCCTTCTACAACGCGTCAGCCGACTGCACTGCCCTTGAAATGCTCATTCTTGCACGGCGATTGGTGTAGCGTCTGCCGGTTGTTTCGCCATATACCTCGCGTGAAGCCTGCCGACCATGGCTCGTCTCCGCACTCTATCCATCTATGATTGAACTCTCGCACTGCCGCCGTTACTGTTACAGCTGTTGTGCACGTTTCATCTCCAAAGATCCAACAATTCACCAAACGTTGTCCAAGAAATTTCTCTACCGTGCAAGTCCGATTCTGTGGTGACACTTCTTTTGCAGCTGTCTTCATCCGTCGCACCCCACTGTCTCTGCCTCTACACTACTCCCTACTACCGCCGCACCGCGCCGTCTGTCTCATCATGTCTCATTATCTGATTTGCTAGCCATGCTGAACAAAGTTACAATATCCGCTGCCGTTAAACCGTGGCCTGCAATTCGCATCAAAAACTCGCCGTTGCAAACTGGCGAGCCCGGCGACCCACGTGGAGAGTGAGAAGGCTTAACACCGGCTATCAACTATTCTCAAGGTGGTCATGTCCGAAGGACTCATTTATGCCTTCTATGAAGGCCCGAAGTCCACAAGCCAGAAGGCTTACACTGACTCTCGTCTCGCACAACTCGCTGCGCAACGGAGAGGGGAAAAACTACCATCAGACACAAATCATATCGAGTGCAAGTGGTCGACGTCACTCGCATCCACGGCCAAATCCCGGGATCGCCTCCTCGGACATGCTGGTTTGGAATTGGGTGACAGCATGGAGTTTCTGACCGCGCGGACGCAGGCGTCCGTGATCAACCCGACTTCATCGATTAAGTCAATAATGAGGAGTTCTGATAATGACACGTTAACAAGCACGATTGCCGATCACGAGCACAAGATGCTCTGCAACCCTTTCGAACTCAGACATGGGCGACGATACCTCAGGGATGTCCCATATCCTTTGCCGGTCGACCTTGCCGAAATCCAACGACAGAGTTTAAGGACTATGCTTGGGGTGCAAGTATTTGGATCTGTCTTATGCAATCCGAAGCTCGACGTTGACCCTCCCAAGAAAGTGCTTGAGATAGGATGTGGAAGCGGATTCTGGAGTGCCCTTGCACATGACCACTTCGCATCGCGAGGTCATGCTGTCGAGTTTGTCGGGCTTGATATCGCGCCGTTGGCGTCCAATCTCAAGCGACAGGGCGTGAATTGGAAATTTGTACAGCATGATCTTCGAAGGGTACCTCTGCCGTTTGATGACGGCGAGTTCGATCTGATCATGCTCAAAGACCTCAGCCTCTTAATACCTGTCGTCGGACAACAGCACGACAAGACTTTGACCGAATGCATCCGAATCTGCAGACCTGGAGGCACTCTAGAATGCTGGGATTCCGACCACGTTATCCGCTCCCTCCTTCCAAATCCACCACCGCAGCCGTCGAGAAATCTTCGCGAGCAAGAGGCGGCTGAAGAGACGGCAACTTTCGCTATACAACCAGGCCATCCATTTGCGCCTGCACAGAACAACTACCTGCAAGATGCCAATATATGGATAGCAGAGGCTCTAGATCGGAGGAAGCTGCATCCCACACCGTGTGTCAGGATCGCAGAAATGCTGACGATGGAGCCAGACCTCGAAGACCTCGGTTTTCGTCGCGTCGCAATACCTTTGGGAGAGCTGCGGTGGGAGAAGGATGCGCCAAAGGCTAAGCGGATCATCAAAGGACATGACTCGCCAATGTCGGTCGGGTCACGGAGGGCGCCTTCTCATACGCAATTTCTGACGCCGGAGCAGGCTGCGCTGAGACAGACGGCTCTCTTGACTGTGGTGCAGATGATTGAGAGCTTTGAGCCAATGCTGAAGGAAGCCAGTGGGAAGAGTTCCGAGGAATGGTCGCTCTGGTGGGGGTCTATGATGACAGAATTGTTGGATCCTACCGAGACAGCTTTGACCGGCGAGTGTTTGGAGTTGGGTGCTTGGTGGGCGACGAAGTCATTGACATCTGACGAAGACGATTTGTGATGAATTTGTGATGTTCATGTCGTTTCGTAGCGTTGTTTCAAGGCCCGATACCGCTTGAGGTAGTATCTGGGAAGCATGGCGTCAAAACGGGATATTCTTGGAGGAAAGAGATACCTTCTGGATCCAAGCCAGACTTGCGGAAAGAGAGGAGTACTTACAGTGCTTCGATCTCTGTATACTTAGATGTTAGTAGATATTATTATTTGGCAGATGGCTTTGCTAGGGCAGGCATACCTTTTTTGACATACTCTGCTTGCGCTATTCCTTTCCTGATGTCTTCTTCACTTTCGAGACTCGCTTTGGACATGAAAGCTTTGTGTAGACGAGGTCTGAAATACTCGAAGCCAAGAGGATATTCTCGTCCCAGATAGAGCAGCTCTTTGTATATCTTGATGACATCGTGGCGTAGATGATTCGAAGCCATGTTAGGGTGGACCTTGCTGGGCTGGACTTTGATGGTGGAAATGAGAAGCTTCTTAAAAGCTCGACCTTTCACTTCTCTTGCATTAGAAATTTGTTGTTGATTGAGGTTGGTGGAGAGATGGCAACGAGAAATGACGATCGAGCTTCTTGAACCCGATGCCCCACAAGCCATTCCTCGGCTTGAAAACCTCCGACATTGTTGCACTCTCATCAAAGGCGCATCAATCAAACACCGTCCAAGCGCGCTCTTCGAACAACATGCTGTCTTGAGATACGATAGACACGACTGTACGATGCGTGGAGGCGGGCGCTTGGCGCGAAGTCATGCGCTGCTGTCATTGAGATCAGAACGGCCTGCACCTTTTGGACGGAGGCACCGCTCTACACAGAGTCCTGTTTCGCCGGTATTGCCGCCATTGAACCCGCGCTGGCTATCAGACGTCAAGAGTAGGATCGGGTATTGCTTGATGTGGGGTCTACGATCGCAGCAGATACAAGAGGCTGGAAATATACTGCGTGAGATTGCTCAAGACTGGAGAGAACTATCGGCTGGCAGCGAGGGCTTCTTGACCAGCAAGCAGAGGAGAAGCACGTTCCGATATCAAGTGGTCTGGGGACAGCAAGATGCCATGGTAAGGGATATTATGATGTATCTATTCAGAAATAGCCTGGCTAAGAGAATGGAAGGGTCATGTCAACAACGTTGTCTACAATCGTTTCGCAGAGACTGGTCGTGTGGACTGGTTCAATAAAATCGCGACCTTTGTGGATCCAGCAAATGCAGGCGCGTGGAGGGAAATGCTAACGCCCAAAGGTGATGGGTTGATCTTGAGGAAGATCACGACCGAGTTCAAATTCGTCAGTACAGACTGTACAGTACCCTCATCAAGGGGCACATCATCCGGGTCTTCTACCGGTTTTGCTGACTATCCGGCAGCCGATGCGATACCCGGACCATGTGACAATACTACACAAACTGGCCACCGAGCCCAAGGAAGGTACAGACACGTTTGACCTGCACGTACTCATTCTCTCCGAGTTGCATCAAAGACCTGCGGCTAGGGTGATTGAAGATGTTGTGTTCTACGACTACCGCAAGGCTAAGAAAACGCCACTGCGACCATTCATGCTCGACGTGCTACAGCACACATGGAAGCTGCAGGAAGAGGCGAAACGGGTGAATAGCCAGCGGGTAATAAGCATCCTTGGTCGGCTTCGGGCGTTGGAGCTGGAGTCCTGGGATCGTGAGGGTGCTGTTGAGGATATGGGAAGCGCAAGCACTTGAGAGCATGGATATATTGCCCTTCGGTCGCCGTCAGTAGTGTAGTGCCGTGTGATGACGTGCCGGAATCGTGATCTGTCGCAGGGCTGTGCAGACTTTGAAGAACACAGGTCTAGCCGATGGAGCAGGGCCATGCTGGTTTGAAAAACAACCAGCGCGGCCGCTTCATGAGCATCGACAGACTTGCAGCGGCAGAGCAAAGCTATCTATCAGTAAACTTCATACCACTTACTGATAAGAAGACTCAGAGCAATCCATCGCTTCAACGCAAGCTTGTCGACAGAAGCCTTGTGCCTAAAAGCCTCACGAAAGAGCTTCTAGGCGCCCGAGTATTATTACAAAAAAGGTTCGATGCAAGTATTGGCTGACCATGTAGGGATTAGAATTTGAGAACCTGGCTGCTACCGGCTTGAAGATGGAGAGGATGCCTGCGTATCTCATAAGAAGTGGATTGCTCGTCCAGCTCATTGGTTGTCTGTCACCGTGCTATTGGCTGTGATTCATGCACCAGGAACAGAGCTGCTGGCGCGTGACATGAAGGCATCACTGCCAACAATGCCGTCGCTTTCCTGCCGCGACACAACAGCGAAAAGCGCTCTGCGAAGTGGACACGAGAAGGCTGTGCGCTGGACGTACGCGCATGTCCTCTCATGGATGGGATGGCTGTTCCCGTCGTGCCGTGTTTGAGATGGAGCATGAGAGCCACAGACACACCCCGCCCGGCCTCCCAGAGCAGAGCACATATATGCAGATCATCAGCCAGGTGTGGGCTGGCAGTTGGCTGGGCTGTCAGACTGGGCTGTCAGAGTAATGCGATGGCGTACCGAAGCCGGTCGCTCCACGGCGCGTTGAGTTGATCAGTCACAGTGATTTTCTTCTGCGCAGAGCTCGTTCGGTCGGCTCGACTAGTCCGTTGGTCGTCGTCATAGCCAGTGAGGCCTATTGGGCCTTGGCACGGTTGGTGTGCACTGTGCACTGTGCACTGTGCGGTGACTCGGCGAGGGCAGCCTTTGAGCAGAGAAAAGCTTGGTAGCGTCTAAAAGCAGAAGTAGTTAACGTTAGCTAGCACGGTCGCTCTTGCAGTCGTGCGGATACAGTAACAGTGCTGTGGCTTGGCTTGGCAGCGGGAGATCGCGCGACGTTCAGAAGAGAAACGAAACACCCTCTCTACCCATTACCTATACACTACACCTCGCCAACATCGCTACACCTCCCCTTTTGGACTCTTGAGACTCCCGTCTGGTTAGCCGTCCTTGTTTGTGGAGGGGACGAGCCAGAGCGGACGGGGGAGTAGTCCACTGTTTCATGCCGACTAAGAAACCAAAGAACGAAAGCCGGCAGCACGACAATACCAACTCGAAAGGCCTTGCACCGCCTGGCAAGCGGGTCGTCAGACAGCGCTCGAACGGACAGCTCAACGGACAACCCAATGGCAAGTCGACCATCGCAGTCACGCCCCCTGCGCTGCCCTCGACTGGCTTAAACCAAGGCTTCAAGTTTCCACGATCCGCAGACACCACAGCTCCAGGGACTGCTGCTGCCACCGCCAAAGATCATGCGGCAGCATCGGAGGGAGCGGAAAGAGAGAGGACTGCTTCAGACGCTTCTGCTGAGGAAGTAGGACCGCACGGCGAAATGGCAGACAGCGCACACGAGCTGAACGTAGGCACCCCCAGCTTGGAGGTGCCCGCCTCGGCAGCATGCAAGACATCTACACATGCTCCTGGCTCGTTGTTCTCTGTCTCCACCATTCTGGCATACTATCCGCTGCGCGACGCCATCTCTATCCTCATCCTGCTCCTCTCGCTTCCTCCAACCCTGGTCCTGTTCATCCAAACTCTCTTCGCTTCGCTCACCTTCGTCCCACCGACCGCCGGCCTGTCTCTTTCCACTCTACCAAATGTCAAGGAGATGTTCAATTCGTCAAACTTCGGATATCCCGCATTGGCGACGATATTGTTCGTGGATTGCTTCTTTGGTCTCGTCTGGCTACCGCTTTGGAAACCTGCTCAGGCTATCTTTTTGGACTTGTCCCAAGCAGTCATTGCAGTTTCTCTGAGCGGCGCAGCGGCGAGCACTGGTGGCCCGACGCACAGTATAGCGACCTGTACTCTCATCGTCTGCATCGTCCATGTGCTTCGGTACAGAGCGATACATCTGACCGCTTTGGACTACCTCCGATCTGTGCTACATAAATTGGACATTGGCATTGCTCTCGATGGTCCAGTTTTTGCGCAGTCTTCTTATCCTTTTCAGAATACTGAACGCGGCATGTTCTTCAATGCTGCCCGCGTTCTTCTTGGAATACACATCGTTTCTCAAGGCGTCACGACATGCATTAGACGCACCCTCGCAAACGCCAAAGCTAGCGAGAAGGACCTTAACGTACCGGCAATCACTAAAACCGACACCGAGGCCATTGCTGGCGCAGAACCTCCCACTCGGACCGGTTCTGGCATTGTCGAAGGATCTCAGCCTTCGCATGCATACGCTAGTACCGATGGCCGACCTCCTGGTCAACCACCCTCGCATCGCGAAAGCAAACAGCGCGAATCGAGCAGCAAAAAGAAAAGGAAGCAGGCCAACCAGGTTCGGAGCCAGCAACCACTCTGGGCTGCTGTTGCTAGTACAAAAGTCACTTTCGTTAAGGAAATGGAACAGCGAGATGCGGCTGATGATGCACGAGATGCCGCGATTATGAATAACAACACAAGCAACACTTTTGTAAGCGCCACTAACACCACCAATCGCATCTGGATATGCGAAGTCCGCGACACCGAGATCCTCTTCACCATTGAGCTCTGTCCTGAAGCAGCCGCAGAACTTGCGGATGACAAGGACGACTCGCCGTCTCTCACCACCGCAATTGATCGATCGAAGCCCTTCTACATTCGTGTGAATGGGGCTGCTTGGAGCTCTACCAGGATTTTAGAGGCGGATGATGAGGAGAAAGGAGGTCTCCGCTATGACGGCGAGATTTTTGGTCTGGCCCCGCTTAGCAGTTACCACTGTGAGGTAGTCAGCATGGAATCTCAGCGGATCATCTGCTCCGTCAGCCTCATCACTCAGCCTGCGCCATCAGCCGAACAGGCTGCTGCGGTACCCGCACAACCTCAGCACCAAGCACTTCGACCATCATCGCCGATCACGACTCTGAAGCAATCAATTCAATCCGCCGAAGCCAAACTCAACGAGGCCAGGAACCGTTCAAAGAGGACCAAGAGAGACCAGCGAGCAGCCCATGCAGATTTTCGGAAGGAGATCAATGCTTTGCGTTCGAAGTTGGAATCGTCAACTGGCGCAGATGACAAGCAAGATCGACGTCTCAACCAAATCAAGCAGCACAAGAACCAGGCAGAGGAGGCTACCAAGGAATATCAAGCACAAATCGAGGCCCTTGGAGAGATTCCTGCAGATGAGCTGGCTGAGTCGCAGGTCAAGCGTCGTGCCTATCAATCCGCTTTAGACGCCGTCAAGGCCGCCGAGAGAGAGCTTGACAACGCCAAAGCCGAACAGGAGCGGGAGAAGGATGCCTTGAGGTCTGACTTGGCCGCCGTACGAACGAAGAAGGAGAAGTTGTCAGCTCGAATTGCACAGCGTACACAGGAGTTGGAAGAAGCCAAGTGTCAGCATGCAGCCGACCTGACTGCGAGGCAGAGGCGTGACTTTGAACGAGCTCGCGAGCTTCAAGAGCGAGAGAACGCAGAGAATGGGTTGAAATTCCACATTGCCGCCATGGAACAAGAGCAGGCAACTTTCGCCCAGAAAACCCAGGAAGCCTACCACCAAGCCTTGGCTCTTTCGAATTGGTCCGCTCCTCCAAGCTATCCGGCATACTCTTGTCCTCCAACACCAGAAAACGCAAACGGTCAAGTCAGTCCTCAAGCAAACGGCTTCCCTCCAACGACGTTCGGTCCACAACCCTTCAGCTCACCTTTCAATCCCGCTGCAATTCCTCACGGCACCCAAGCTCCTCGTGGCCGCAGCTCTTCCATGCTAAGCCAATACTCCGGTTTCACAGACAACGCTGAAGACTACCCTCAGCCCCAGCATCAACATTCCTGGCCCATATCAGGTGCCACCCTCGCCGGCGCCGCATTGGAAGATCGCAAAGAAAGCGACGGAGGTTCTGGCAGTGGAAGTCGAAGTGGAAGCGCGAGTGTCGTCAATGGTACTGCTACTGCTACCTTGCTCACGGAAAATGGATCCAACAGTCCGAGACCTGAAGCCAAGCCTTTCATACCTGGAGCTCCTTCTTCCAGCACTGCTACCTCTGTGGGAACGATCGGTCCGCCTGGTGGGAAAAAGACTCCGGCTTCTCAGAGTCCTACTTTGACATCTGGTGCGATGAATTGTGGTAGATAGTGTGTGTTTTAGCTCCTTTACGAAACAAATCCTGTGGCTTGTGATGTTGTTTAAAAAGTACCGCTCTCCCTTCCAAAATATTTCAAGAGTTCCATTTTCTATCTATGATGATGTTCGCCCGTGAGTGATATGATGAATGAGATGATGATGAAAATGACTTGAGACGCGTGGTATACCATGATACTGTACAAGTACAGCTCTCTTGCTCTCTTGCATTGCAATTTCTACCTCACGGACTCATTCATTCTCACTCATCGATGCTCAACGTGATTTCGATTCAAAGTACAATTCCAATTCGATTCGGAAAGAGAAAAAGCAAAAACAAAGCTATACTCTGCTCGTTTTCGAGGGGGTATGATGAGTAGTAGAACGAAGACACAAGTTTTACAGATTTAGAAATTTGTCTCTTGCAGGAGAGCAGTGCTTGTGTTGATTTGTAGCAGGCAGCACCAGGCTGGGAAGTGTTGATTCGTTTCGTTGATACCTTTGGGTTGATGTCTTTCAGACTGCGCTGACCGGGCGAACTGGTAATGATGCCGCCTAGTGCACCATGACATCGGGGGCCTGTTGGTGCTGGTGCTGAGCAGCTGGGTGCTTGTCGGTACCGTTGCTTGGGGCTGTGAAGAAGAGTGAATTAGCAGGTTGTGTCCGAAGTCTGCTTTCTGCTTTACGTGTATGCTTACCATTCTCAGCTGGGGCCTCATCCATCTCCATATCGTCTCCCTCTCCCTCTTCGGCCTCCTCCTCTTCCTCCTCATCCTCACCATCACTCTCTGCCTCAAGATCCTCACTGCCGGCATTGGACTCCACATCATCATCCTTGCCATTCGTCTCAACACCCTCCATGTCCGCATCCTCACCAGCCGGCTTAGCAGTAGCAAGCTCTTCTCCCTCGCCCTCCGCAGCTAGCTCCGCTTCCTCCTCCTCGACCTCTTCAGCACCGTACTGTGCTTCGTCATCCTCCTGATTGTCCACATCCGGCTGCTCTGGCGGGAACTCGCTCGGGGCGCTCTCATCCGAGTCCCACTTGATCTGGAATCGCGTCACCCTAGGCTTGTCTGCGAGAATGTTGCGACGGATCTTCTCCATGTCTGGCTTGGCGGGCGGCTCCTCATTCATAGACTGATCCATGTACTCGTTGTTGACATAGTAGCCGACGCGCACGAATTCGCGGTCATCGTAGGAGCAGCTGAGCAGGATGACTGTCACACCGAGGATGTCCGTGGCTGGGATGCGGGAGGTGTTTGGTGGGTCTGCTTCGAAGACGAATTTGTTGACGCCGACGGGGATGGGGCCGACGAGGAGTGAGTCGAGTTCTTGGTCGTGTTCGGAGCTACGCGTGATTGTGAGCTGTGTTGGTTGGAACATGTGGCTCAGGATGTGGTTGTCTTACGATGTAGCAGAGCCGACGTAGGTAAGCTTCCATTCCAGATCCTTGGCTAATGGCTCGAGGCATTCGAAGGTGATTTCGAATTCGTATGGAGCGTTGAAAGGCGCTGGGTTGTTGCGCACGCTCACGTTCAGTATCGAGACTGTCGCCATCGTGTGTGATTATGGTGTTGATGGTGCTGCGGTAGTGGGGCTGCTTGGATGTGTTTCTGATGCGTATAGTCGCTGAGCTGAAGTATGGTGTGATGCTTGCTATGATGTGCGATGGAGGAGAGGACGGCGATGGCGATGGCGATGGCGATGGCGACGGCTTGGAGAGGTCGGCGATTGGGAAGTAAACAACCAAGGGTCGAAGAAAGTACGTTGGTGGCACGAGAGGACGCGCCAGGCAAGCGCGACGTGAAAGTGGCAGGGTCCACACTCGCCAAAAGAAGTCGCGGCCTGCAGCACGCTTGGCGCTTACGTGGTGTTTCATGGCAGTCGGGTTTCTTTCTTGATGTTGTATGTAGCAACTACAACGACATATCGACGCGCTGAGGGTTGGACAATATTGGAGTTGCAATGATTGAGCGCTGAGCTGGCTTCCCGAAAACTGCTGCCATGGCTCACCTGATCCGAGGCAAGCAAGCAGGCATCCAGAACGATCTCAGCACAGGCATATCACCGGAACTCTTTGCCATTGACGACCTCGCCCGGTTTGGAGTCAATTCGCAGATATCATGTCTTGCCTACGATCCCGTGCAGTCTTTGCTCGCCGTTGGCACGAAGAGCTCCCAGTTCGGACCAGGACAAATCTACATCTTCGGCCAGGGAAGGATAGCAGTCACGCTGCCCACTCCACCGCGAGGAGCAAGCATCCAGACGTTGCAATTCTGCGCCGAAAAGCTGGTGGCGCTGGACTCGAAGCATGACATCTCCGTCTACTCGATCGAGTTGAAAAGACTCATCACTTCTTATTCTCCGCCTGGATCAGTGACCGTGCTCTGCACCGACCCTATGCTTGACTATGCTTTCTTGGGCATGCAGAATGGAGAAGTGCTGGCCTTTGACATGGACCGTGAGGCGCCGGCGCCTTTCAAGATCGGTAACATCTGGCAAGAATTCGATCCTCGAGCGAGAATAGCCACTGTCGTCTCCCTGCAGCTCCACCCTCGAGACATTGGCACCCTGCTTATCGGCTACAAGCAAGGCGCGGTCATTTATAGCTTCAAGCTGAACAAGGCCCTGAGACACTTCCACTACGAGGTTCCGCGAGGCGCACCCGGCGGCGAAGGCGATCCTGCATCGATGAATGTGATCCGGCGGCCGCTTCTGACCCACGCAGTATGGCATCCGACAGGCACTTTTATCGTGACAGGTCATGAGGACAGCTCGCTTGTATTCTGGGATACCATCAAGGACGGCCGAATGCTTATGGCCAGAACACTGACAGACACCAATGTTGCTACTCCTGGTGCGCCATCCGGCAATATGGGCCAAGGCCGCGGCACTCTAGCAGTGAAAGAACCACTTTTCCGGATATCGTGGTGTGCGAATGGACGGGATCCAGAAGACACTATGCTCTTGATCGCTGGCGGTCAATCGACACAAGCACCCACCAAAGGCCTGACACTTTTTGAAATGGGGCGAACGCCGGTGTATGCCACAAGCACTTGGGATACGCTCGTAAACTACTTCGACTCACCCAAACGCCAGCGTATATTGCCAACTCCTCCCGGTGCTGAGGTTGTCGAGTTCTGCTTGATACCACGAACCACGCCTCATTTTGCTGGTGCTCATGATCCCATCGCAATTCTTGCTGTTCTTTCATCTGGCGAGCTATTGACGCTCTCGTTCCCGTCTGGCATGCCGATCAACCCTACGAACCAGTTGCACGTCTCTCTTACATTCGTACATCCCTTCGTGCAGTCTCTCAATACTGCAATCGTGGGCCGCGAAAAGTGGCTCGGATTGCAGGAACGCCGAGAACAAGGCCCTCTCTTCCTCCAGGGCGGTACGGAGATGCCGGGCCAGCTTCGGAGGTATGAAAATCGCACCCTAGCAATAATGACACATGCCGATGGCACAGTACGACTCTGGGATCCTGGTTATGGAGATGAGATTGAGAACGAGAAGGTTCTGCACGTGGACGTTGCAAGAGCTGTAGGTCACTGGGATAATGTCTACGTGACAGCGACCTCATTTGCAGGCGCGAGTAGTGAGCTGGCAATCGGCTTGCGAAGTGGCGAAGTTGTCATCTATCGTTGGAACGTCAATCGCAATGTTGGCAAAGAGCCACCGGCACCTCGACCAGCTCAGCCTGGCCAGCTTACCAGTGTTGTCGACCGAATGGACCCGTCCTTGAGCGAAGGTCTGGGCCCCTTTACCATGCTTGATCAGAAAGATGGCCCTGCTACTGCTGTCTGTATGAGCGAGATTGGCTTTGCAGCTGCTGCATTCGAAGGCGGCAGCGTTGTGCTGATCGATCTTCGCGGACCTGCAATCATTCTGAACACATCTGTGCAAGAGTTTGCCAGGGCCTCACGAGCTGGCAGCATTCGGAGCCGTTCTAGTAGTGCTGGCAACAAGCAGGAGTGGGCCACCAAGCTTGAATTCAGCATCATGGATCTCGAAGGCGACAATTACAGCTCGATCTGCCTTCATGTAGGCACGAATCTTGGCAAGCTTGCTACTTTCAAGATCCTGCCAGACCCGAGTGGGCGATACAGCGCACAGTATGCTGGCCACGTCTCGCTTGGCGATACAAGAATCATGTACATCACACCTATCAACGCCAACAGTGGCACACCAGCGACGGCAACGCAGTCCACGATGGGTAACCTTCGGAATGGTCTACGAGTCAATGGAGCTTTGGTCGCAGTGACGCCGACCAGCGCTCACATCTTCCGACCTGCAACAGCCAAAGGAGCACACAAGAGCTTCGACAGCTACTTCTGTGATAGTGCCGGCATCGTTCGATTCAAGGATCAAGGTCATGCCTTGGTCGGCCTCTTCGGTGACGGCAAAGCACGACTCTTCACTATTCCTTCCCTCAAAGAGATCAATAGTCTTGACCTCACAAACATGAACAACACCGGCACGGGCCTTGACGTGAGACGTTTCGGCAATGCTGTCATCACATATACTGGCAATATCATGGCCTTTACTGGTCCTTCCGAAATCGCTCTCATCACAATTTGGGGCACTGGTGAGCCTCTGGCACGAAGACAAGATCGCCTCTTCAACCCCGAACGCCTAATTCCTGCACGACCTACCATCTCCACAGTGCAATGGGTCACGGGCACTCAATACATCACCCCCTCAGATATGGACATTCTCATCGGCGGCCCCGATCGGCCACCCAGCAAGCGCATGATTGCGCAGGCGAGAGCAGAAGAAGAACAAAGACGACAAGCTGGCAGAGCGAACACCTCTACTTCCACGAGAGGTGCAGCCGGACAGCAAGATGAAGGATACTGGGCGTACATGCAGCGCCAGATTCAAGAACGTACAGAGAAGCTGGGTTTGGTAGGCGATCAGATGGACCAGTTGGAGCAAAATAGCAGTAACTGGCTGAATGACGTCAACAAGTTTGTGGGCAGGCAGAAGAAGAATGCTGCGACTGGAAGTAAGTTGCATCCTACTTTTCTCATTCGTATTGATCAAGCTGACATCTTGGCGTTGCAGTTATCAAGGCAAGATTTGGCCTGTAGCGATTGAAATCCTGTCAAACGTTTCAAGACGCGTGAATCTTCTCCTCCTCACCGATCAACGATGCGGATCCTAAATCAGAATCTCTACTTTGTCCACGAGACGAAATGAGCCTTCAGACGATAGTGCCAATGGGAGACACGATGTCGAACTACTACAATCTCCGTCTCTCACCTCACTTTCACCTCTCTCTCAGTAGCGTGCTATCGACTGAATTGTGTCTTGAGAAAGAGATCTAAGCGTACGCTGATCATCCAATAACCATCACTCAGGTATCGGTCTCATGGTGCAACGGCTAGTACATCTATCACCTACTAGAAAATTACCTTAGCGTGCAATACGTAGCCCGCAGTGTGAATAAGCTGCACCCTCAGAGTATACTCGTTTCATCTGGGTGCAAACAATGATTTGGTTTTGTGAGGAGTACCAAGCCGCGACCATTTCTCTGCCCAAGCCTCCTATATGATCATTATTACTTGACGTCGATAATCGCACATATACTTCACTTCCAGTATATAACTTCGTCCGGCAGCAGCTCTCTAATACGAACAGTATAACTCGGAGGAAGCAGGATTCGCAACCCTGCTCGCTCTGGCCGTTGACTTGTGAAAGAGGCGGTGCTGGAGGAGCGATAAGGCTGCGGCAGGCGAACTGGCAGAGTATGGTAGGTATATATATATATATGTGGAAAGTGATTGATCGGATTAAGGCAGGTAGTGTCTGAGCATGCTCAATCGATTGATTGATACGATTTTATAGCATTCAGATTGATATCACGCTGCGAGTGCTTTCTTGCCTGCAAGCACTTGCATAAGGGAGGGCGGGACATACTTACAAGCTAGCGATGTTCAGACGCAGCATTCTTCTAATTCTGGCACCAAGAATTTTCGGTGACAAAGCCACGGTCCATTCTAATCGTAGCCTTCGCTGACCGTATGCGACGAAAGATGTGGTAGGCTCAGCTCATCTCACTTGAAATAGGTGGAAGTCCGCAGAAGCAATTGCTAGGGTGCGACCTCGATGCTTGGAATCGTACAGTTGCTAGCAATCGACTTAGCGATGAGTAGAACTAGATCCGTGGACAGACATGCATAAGGCTGGCCTATAGTGAGCAGTGAAAGCTTCAGTGCTCACGTACATGACGAATAGGTCGAAGATCTCCTGATCAAGTATTCGGGCACAGCTATGCGCTAGAAGAATTTCTTGATCTGATGGAGTAACGCATGGGTGGCGTGGTGCGGCAACAGACTTTGATCAGAATCGCCCAGCAGCGCCGAAGGGAGTATCTTTGCATATTGAAAATTGCAGTGGTGATCAGGAGAGGTTCTAGTTTTCCAAAACCGCTGCCGGAATTAATAATAATGATTTGCTCGTTAACAGGCAGAAGGGTGTAGTGGCGATCGGTCGTAGTGCCATGGGCAGCTTGCAGCGATTAGATCTACCGGAATCCATGCCATCTACACTTTCTCCAGGCATGCCCAAGGGACTGCCATTTCCGTGCCGCCTCTCTCAGCCTCAAGTCTGTCGCTGTAGGAACAGCAGTTGCCTACTGCGGTTTCAAGGATTACCGCTAGGCCGTGATGGCTCCGCGAGACTCTGCGATGACACCACACGAAGCATATGGATACTGCAAATACCAGGGTGAGGTTCCACCAAGCAAGATGCAACCAATTGCCCCCGTTCAATCGTTTGAATGGTGCTCACCGAGAAGAGTCAAGACAGATTCCTTAAGCCAGAGACGGATGAAGTCGCGAGCGAAGCTGAGGCAAAGACATTTCGTAATATTATCACACCCGGCAAAGATGCGTAAGTTCAGTCCTTCGTTGTCAGCACCGGCGTTTCGTTTTGAGCGCACGTTGATCTGAACCGCATTCCTCGTGAACTTTGTTGATGTCAACGGACCAGGTGATATTCTTGCTTGCGTCGTTCAAAGCTACTGCTGTCAATCGACGCCTTGCACCTCGAGGAATCTCGAATTGAGCTTCTACGTCAAGGTTACATTGACAGCTTTCAATATATCATCCACACTGGTCGAAGGACCACCAGGGACAATGTCACGCCAGATTTTCTCATCAACCATCTTCCCCGGCTCAAGTGTGCTCCAATTAGGGCTCTGCTCGGTCCGAAGCCAGTTGAAGTCATCTACCTTGTGCCATTGATTGTCGATATCCTTGTCGCTCTCGAGCATGTACGCCTTAGGAAGAGGAGTGAAGCGGATGCTCGAGCAATTCTCGATAATAGGTCGAGATGAGGTCAGGAGATAGACGTCGCAATTCGAAGAGTCATGCATGCGGAACTGTCGGCTAGTAACAAGAATGACAGAATCCTTGACATTCGTGATATGTGCTGCTCCACTTACGTGCCCACCAATGATGAGGGAAGAGGTGATGTTTTTGAGTATAAGCTGGGCGAAGGGCTTGTCCGCCGCAGGTTGGGATAGGTCGACGACGCATCGCTCCAGATCTGAGACAGTACCGGAACTGGTGGCGTGACTTGCCGAAGTTGGGAGAACTATGTGAACATTCTCGTGGTTGTTAATGGAGACAGCATTGCTGTCGGAGAAGGAAGGTTGGCGAAACCTGGTAGTATCAACGGGAAGATTGACGCTCTTCGAGCGATTTGCCTCCGTCAAGCTTCCAGCCTGCTCATCTGCCGGAGCCGCGAATTCGGCCGGGGTGGTCGGCAGGCTGGACGCGTTCGAGACATCTGAAACATATCCTGTTATCTGTCGTCGCTTCTGATCTGCCAACTCTGCAGCATCGCTCAGGCTGATGGCAGATTCGTTCTTGCCTGCAGAGAACAAAGGCCCAGACTTCGACTTGAATGAGAATTTTGGTTTCGGAGCATATGACGCTCTCACCTCTTGCAATTTGCTATTCAGGGCTTTGATGGCTTCTCCATAGGTACGCTGATCGTAAGCTGGGATGTATGAGGACGCGTCCTGGACTTCGCTTGACAATCTCGCGATGCCGGAAAGGCAATGCTCAATTGCGTCCGCTCTTTCGCCTCCGGTGATGCTGTGTTGACCGATGCGGGCCATCTGCTCTTGTAGGTCTTTTCTCAATCAGCATGGCAGTATGGGTTAGCCATTGCTATCACTGCTGACCTGTGACTTCATGCTGGAAATAACGGAAGAACTTCTGGCTTGGATTGAGCTGCGCAGCTGGCGCGGCCTGCTCGTCTGATGTCGCCGTTGCTGCTGTCGCCATCGTGTCTGTGTCACGCGAGGTGTTGATTCCGCGAAGAGGTTCAAGCAGTCGGAGTGCTTGGAAAAGTGGAAGAGCTCAAGAGACGTGTTGTTCGAGAGCCTCACACTTTGCCACACGTCACTCGCGTCTTCAAACAGGAAAGTACGATCTTATGGACGGATCATACCTATGGTGTTGAGCACATGTATCGTTGTCGTCGCTTCCTGATTTCGAGGTTGTACCCCGCTTCGGAAGTGCAGCCTGAGGCCAAAGAGACAGAGGTGTTTACTCCTTCGCAACGACGCGTATCGTCCTTCATCAGCAGTGCACAGATGTCCAGGAAATTCAAAGCACAACCAATTGCACCAAAGATCCCGCATTCTCACAAGTTGGCTTGACTAGAAGACCTCGATACGTCGCGCAGATTTATGAAAATTCAATTTGACAGGTTGCTGTAGCTGCTCACAGAAGCTATCCACTGTGCCATTGCCCAAGCTCTGCTGAGAGTGTACTTAGAGGCATTGTATCCACCGTACGATCGCCACCGGATACTGCGCAGACTTGGCCCATTCGAATCGAGAACACTTAGATCTCCAACAACATGGCTACGGGAGGCTCAGAATTCGACTTTAGCACTGAGAACAAGAAGCACAAGGGGAACGCTGGCCAAACGACAGCGAGCATTGTCTCTTCGAGAACAGATTGGTCTTGACATCGGCTTCCTCTCAGCAGTGTTCACTCCTGAAATCGTCACCACCTCTCTACCTTCAGCCTCGATTCATACCCTCTTCCTGCTTAACCTCGTAGCTTCTCGAATCCTGCTCGCCGCACTCTGTCCCGGTCTTGGTGGTCCTGAAGCTCCGCTCACAGCATTCCTCCTACATATCCGGTAACTCGTATGATCATTTGCGACTCGGGTCAGCCAAGCTTGGATCTCATGGTTGTATCTGGAACTATGATGTCCTGGCGGGCGCAGACGATGTGGTGTCCTTACCCAATTGTCTGGTGTAAGTCGCGGTGATGTGCCGGGTGATGGAGGCGTGATGATGATGGTTGGTATGTCAGGGCCCGGCTCCTGCTGTGCGAGAACATGCACATGTCGCGATCTTGGGGATAGTGGCGGAGTATCTTCTCGGGAGCTCAGACGCTGCGGTATGTATGGGTTGATGCTTATGCCAGCTCGCCTTCTTCGCGACATTGTATGAGTTGTGCTTGACCTGCTGGAACTTCTTTGACTCGATCTTAGAGGAAAGCAAGGGACAAACATAGTCTTTATAAGTCGCTCAGACTCCAGAGACACTCGAAAGACTCTACAGCGACTCCGGTATTCTGGTTCACTCGATGCTTGACTGGTACACAAAGGAAGGTAGCCAACAATGGACAGTGTTTCGCCCCGTCCATTTTCCGAGACACCTGCTACTAATGTTGTGCTTCACCAGTGCAGATTAGATCTGGCCAGTTTTTTTTCACCCAGTCTTTCGATGACTCGAATCACGATAAGGTGTCTGAAGATCCAACCTTCATGTTAGTGGGTTGTGGGGCGCACCTTCCTTCACTAAACACTTTCTCAAGCATTTCGCTGAAGCTAGCAGAAACGACAAACTTTAAACCTTGCAAATGTTGATATCATCTGCTCAGCTCCATCGATACAAGAGCATCGACCATTTAACGGCAATATACTCCTGCTGCGAAGACTGCGGTCGCAACCAGGACCAAGATCAGACCTCATCAAAGGCAGACATGTCATTCCACGGATTCCCACCACCACCTCCTCTAGCAGACTCTCCATCGCAGCCTGGTAAAACACAGCCTGCTTCAGCGCTGTACCAGTACGAGAGGTCGATAGTAGAGAGCAAGTACGATGACCAGAACAATACGCTTTTCGGGTGGATAAGAACCACGGACACGCAGACGTGGACGACTTATGTCAACCTACAGACCGGTCAATAGCGGAGAGCCAGCCCGTATCTGTCTCCGCCACAGCCAGCTCGCATGACGGCTTCTCCTGCTGGGCTTCCCACCACAAGCCATGTGCCTAGCACCAACCCTTTCCTGTCATCAGGACTGTCCCAACAAGCAACCAAAACTGGCGGAAACTCAGCCTCTCGCCATGAAAACGCCGATGCTCGCCCCTTGAGCGCCTTGCCGCCTCGTATCACGCATAACAGAAACAGGCGTCTCTCTCGTGAGCTACAGCGAAAAAAAAATGCGAGTATCGTATCGACACTAGACACTGCGCCTATTTCGGATCCCACTCCTGGCCCTACCGAGTGGCCAGCTGCGCTAAGATTGAATCCTCACTCGGACTTTGCACAAACTGCCACTGAGTGGGCACTTGCCTCGACGTCAGAGCCTCCTCCAGCTCGCGTGCAGATTCCCGCCCAGAAGTCAAAGGGTTCAAACAAGCGGACGTTTGAGGAGCACAGTGCTGGCGACAAGGAAGAGAACGCGGAGCTGCCGCTCAAGGAGTCATTGCGAAAGCAATAAAGAGAAATTCCGCGTGCAATGGTGAGACTAAAGGTATGCTTTGATCGCCCAATTTCAAAGTGGTAATGTGAAGCTGACTTTAGACGAAAATTTAGGTATCTCCGTGACGCTACAACGACCTTTGAGGCGTTTATCGGCGATAAGAGTTCTCTTGTATACCAGAAATATCGGCCACTATCTGGCCGAGAGAATTATGCTCGAATTCGAAGCGGAAAGCACAGTTGCCTTCTATTGGCCTTTCGGGAATACATGATGCCGATGGTAGATGAAGCTGCATGAGCCGAATGTGTGAAACAAACAAGAAATCCTGATGGTTCTACAGCAGAAGCCGTTGTAGCACGTTCACATAGCATTCCTGGACCAAGGTCCCGCTCTGCAGTTGTGAAGTTACTTATGACTTGTTCGCGGCCGAATCGTTTCGCTCCCGGTGCCGGCTATCTCCTCTGTGATGGCCAAGGAAAGGTGGAAGGTTATTACTAGAAGCTGTGTAATTAGCCATTGAAAGAAAAACAATCTCATCGCTCGATGTTATTGTTGCTTGTACCAATGCCAAGCATCTACGAAAAGTGGGTCCTTCAATTGCTATCCTAGATCCTGGGTCACCTTTCACCAGAGACAAGCTTCTCTGCGTACGTACTTCCAAGGCCCCTCCACTGGCTGCACACTGCTGCTGACGCCTCGTGATACGAGTTGCCGAGAAAATCGCGCGGAGCGGGATCAGAGGTATAGAGCTCTTTGACACAAAGTCGCTCAAGCTAGAAAGCGCTTTGGCATCATCATATCGAGTTCAAGAGTTGGCATGCTGCATGCACGTCTTGGCCCGCCTTAAACTCTCTACACCTCTCTGCTTTGCAAGCTGTAACACTTAGCTATTCTGCCGCATCCATGTCTGCTAATCGATAGCCTGTATTGAATACGATGGACCACCTGCCATCGCCTCATCCTTCGAGAGCGGAGACTTTTAGCTCTCCCGCAAGAACGACATTCTTTGAACCGGGCCACCAAACCGACGACCCTTCTGAAATCGGACCACGAAACGACCATGACGATGATGAATCGCAGACAGAGCACAACGATGATAACGCTTCGTCGCCGCAGCATATCATGGTTCAAGAGCCGAGGGTCAGACCGAGTATGCCGTCTAAGAGGAATACGTTCAAAGGGTCGAATAGGCAGATCCACGAAGCGCTACGGATGCAGCAAGCGCGAGCGGAACAAGAGATGCTGCTAGGCGATCATGAAGAGGCGGACGACGATGGCTGCTATCCACCAAGAAAGAACGACGATCCTAGAATACCTAATCCGCACGCTCATTTGCCAGTATACACTACGATACATAAAATAAAGAGATTGGTAGAAGCCAGTATAGGTGCGGGACAGTTTTCGCATATTATGGCAAATTACATGCTGATGCTCTGAGCAGACGATCCATACAGTCCTGATCAGCTTAAGAGCCCGCGCATGAATGTCGCAGTCGTACGACCGTTGGTTGACCACCTGTACGATCCGGACGATGTCTCTATCATATTTTGCTTGTTGGTCAACCGCGTGCAGTTCCTACGCGAGCAATCGTATCAGGCACACCACCAGACCGTGAACATCACGAGAGCACATCTATGTGAACTGGTCGCAGCAAGAATATTGCGCCGGTTTGACGAAGATCATGAAGGACGACTTGGACTCCTCACACTGGCCAACGTCCTTGTGGCTGGCTTCGAACCCTTCCAGAACGCACCGGGCGAGATCGCAAAGCAGCATAGGACAGAATTGCACTGGACAATTCGGTGGCAAATAGCGCGCCCGGAATTCCAGCGTATGCTGACTGCGTTAGAAGTGGCCATCGTGTCAGAGGCGAAAACTTTCTTGAGCGCGTCTGCCTGCCAAAAGATCGTCGAGAACGTCTACCAAGGGCGCATCATCTACACTCCGACGTCCTTCATCGATATACTGCCCGACCACTACAAGAATCGCGGAATCACGCTTTACGATCCTAGGAAGGCACCGATTTTGAATCAATATCGCTTGATTGTGCCGCGCACCAGGAACATCATAGAAACTGTTCAGTTTGTGATTCTTTTGGTACTGTACATCTGGACCATGGTCAGCAAAGCGCATACGTATGGGCCCGATCATACCAAATTCATGACTGTTGAGCTGGTCTTCATCGTATATGCCATTGGCTGGAATTTGGACGAGATCGCATCAATTTTCGAGCACGGATGGACGGTCCACACAGAAAACTTATGGTCCTTCCTTGACATTGCATTTGTGTTTATCTTTTGGATATATTTTGGCGTCCGCATGCATGGCCTCGTGATGAACGACCACTCCCTCGGCTGGCTAGCAGAAGACATCCTCGCTCTGGCAGCACCCGTCCTCTTACCACGCCTGGCTTTCTGCATAATGCCTGAGAACATGGTCTTCATCTCTCTACGAGCGATGATGGCCGACTTCACCTTCCTGACCGTAATTGCAGCCTGGTGCTTTGGCGGCTTCATCCTTGCAATGTGGTGGCTCTCCGAGACCCAAGAAGGCTTCCTCAACCACACCATCATCACAATCTCAAAATGGATGCTCTGGATTTGGTTCGGTCTCGATGGCACTGGCATACAACGCAGTGTCGAAATGCATTGGTTTCTTGGGCCCCTTCTCATGATCACCTTTGCATTTCTCGGCAATACTCTCTTCCTTACAATCCTCGTGGCCATGCTCAGCAACACCTACAACACGCTTTCTCGCAACGCCACCGCCGAAATCCAGTTCCGCCGCGCAGTCTTGACCTTCGAAGGAGTCAAGTCAGACTCACTCTTCGCCTACCGTCCACCGACCAACGTTCTCGCCTTCCTCATCCTTCTCCCTCTCAAGTTCCTGCTCACGCCACGTTGGTTCCACAAAGTCAACATCACTGCTGTGCGAATCCTCAACGCTCCCATCCTGCTGTTGATCTCCTGGTACGAACGCAGGTACTTGTGGAAACGTTCTCGCCACCTCTTTCCCCCTCGCAAGCACTCGTGGCTCTCAATGTGGGAACGTTTTGGAGCTCACGGTGATCTGCAAGCTGTATTCGACGCCGAGCCCCCCGAGAGCGTCTTGGCGGAAATGGATGATGTGGATGATGTGCTTGGAGGTGACTTTTTCGATGGGCTGGACTACGTGTCTGCAATGAGAGCCAGGCGTGGAAGCCGGAGTCTTAGTGATGCTAGCGGTGTCTTTAGCGGGGCGTTCTCCAGGTCGAGGAGTAGGATGAACGGGCTCTCGAGATTGAGAGATAGACGAGGCACGCCGGGTGCAGATATGTCGCATGCAGAGGATTTACCTGGTCCTGATGTGCATGATGGAGGTAGCTTTAGTACTGCTTAGAACATACACCTCGCCGGCACGCCGCACACTTGCAACCCACGAGAACCGTCAACATCTCATCACCGCACCCTTCCCCATCCCTCACCCCCCTCACCAAGCTTCTCATTACATCTCTCGCTTCCACGAGTATGTCCGTGTGAGCCTCCCAGAGCACACTGGTTAAACACTTCGGTGCTGTTCGGGGCATGGGTGATTTTGATGGGGTTAGAGTCCTGGAGTTTCGAAAGGCAGAAGAAATCGAGAAGGGTGCAGCTGCTTGCATATGCTTGAGAACCCAAGGTCTATGCTGAAGTTCATCCCGATGCTGTTTCGGTCGAAAAAATACGCGGATATTGGCTGTGAGTGTGAGTGTGAGGGAAGACAGGTGGCCAACGAGGAAGCGTGCGCGACAGGAGTTCACGAATTCTGAGACCATGGTGTACATGTAATTCTGAATGCTTATCCCAGAGCGCATGACCGTCTTTGCCTTCACCAAGCTCTAGATATCTCTACAAGCCCTGCAAGGGTCCTACCTCCCATGTCTTCTCCTACCAGGGAGCTCCAGCTCCACAATGACCACATATACTAGTAGACCGAAGACTGAACACGAGCTCCTCATACCCCACCTGAACAATATCCCTCGCTTTCATCACTGACACACGGAAAACCTCGCCAAGGAGTACCGTCACCAGCATGTCCTTTTTCACACCAATACTCAAGAATCTCTCGACTTCCCCGGAGATCACTACCAAGTCACCTCCTCTCTTGTATTTCTTGCCTGCTTCTCCCAAGTGCCTTCTGATTTCTCTGCTGATTGATTTGTGTCCTATTTAGTCTCCCGAATCTTTTCTTCACGCCTCGACTAGCCAAACCTTCAAAGGCTCATCAACCACCACATTTGACGCATGCTTCGCATTGGTTAAATGCTTCTGATGCGGCGCATGGAGATGGTGTGAAGAGGTAAGTCCAGTAGATGCTGGAGTTGTAGACGCAGACCAGGACTGACGAGTTTTGCAGAAATCCTGCTATTACCGCGAAAATTGTGTCGGAGAAGATTTATGAGGGTGTTGTTGCTGGAATGGGTAGATAGCACTTCATTACCTTACCCTCCTCTTAAAGTCCTCACTCCTCCTGTTCCGAGAATTTCGATAATCGTCCTCTTCCCTTTCTCTCCAGCGATTCCACCTATCCCTCTCAGCATTCGGATAACGTCCTCGACCTCGAATTTCTGACTCGTGATCCATTTCGTGGCCCAGCCTTCGTTCTCTTTCATTTCATCGTGTGCTGCTATCCAGTACCGCACATCCACCTCTTTTACAATTTCGATTCCGCCTGGTGCTCCGCTGCTCACTGTGCCTCCAAGAATTTTAGGGTTGGATTCAATGTTCAAGGAATGGAACAGAGCTGTGATTGGGATCGCGCGGGGAAGGAGCGAGAGGTGGGTTTCGATGTATGGGCGTAGGAGAGGCGGGTCGATGCCGTGCGGCGTGTAGAGGATGGAGAGGACGTTTTCGTGATTTTGATGTCGTTTGCTCAGCGTTGAAGATGTGCTTGGTCTTTGGGCGCCGCTTGTGCTGGGACGGCTTGTGTCTGGCGATGTGAGACTCGTTGGAGAAGGCTGTGGGAGATTGTGGATTGCTTTGAAGATGCCTTTTGGACTTGCTACCGAGGGTCGTTTGCGTGAAGGGTTGCGCGAAAGTGGGTGCGAGACTCCCTGGCGTGCGAGTACCGGAAGGTCGGAAAGGTTGACTGTACTGCCATCTGGTGCTGTCATTAAGGTGCCTGGCGGGCAGTATGTGATTGCGATGGCGTTATGTAGCCTTGTGAGGTCGGTTTTGGTCGAGATGTTCGCGATTGTGACCTCGCCCTCTGCACTGGCTGAACTGTATGGGTCGATGGGTATGCGTAGGATTGTGTCTGGATGATAAGCACTATAAGGCACGAGCTCTTCTACGATGCCGGGGCGTTCGAAGTAATTCCACGACCGTATCTTCTTGGCCGCTTTTGGCGTTGCTAGGATTCGCGTCCTGGTGAGTTTGGGAAGTGAGCATAGCGTCTCCTCGTTGCAATGATCGGGCTTGTCTTGGCTGATTATGATCAGGTCTATCTCGTCCTCAACCTCTTTCAGGGACTGGATCGTCGGGGTAGAGGTATGGGTGCTCGTGGCGAACTTGTGATGGAAGATGGTCGTGCTACCGCTGAGCCATGGGTCGATCAGAATGGTATATGATCCGGGAAATGCATGCGTGCTCTTGCAGTCGTCTGGCGCGAAGGACGGCTTGAAGGTCAGCATGAATGAAGTGTCATCGTTGAGCTGCTTTACAGTCAAAGCCATTGTCGACTATGCTTTCACCCGCCTGGCAGCAATTGCAACGCGTAGTTGTTCGCTGTCTTACTTATTACCATCTTGCACCTTGGGTACACGGAGACGAGCAAGGTCCGTAATATTCAGAACCTGGGTGTCTGCAGCGAGCCGACCAGTCAAGACAGACACACGCACAATGGAGGCGCGGCCAGCAAGTTGTGTCATTTAGGCACAAGACAGCATTATTGGAGGAAAGAGGTAGGAAAGCAGGAGTAAGACGACTTGTGCATCTCGCAGACATGGTATGGCACTGTAATCACATGCTGGCATCTGTCGCGTCGAATAGAATGCGCACTTGGTACCGAGCATGAGGGAAAGCGTGTGCTTGGCGACAGATTAATGCCATCCAGCTCTGGGCCACGTTGTGCAGGAGCGAGGGAGGGGGCAAGTTCTGGCGAGGAAGGCGGAAGGCGGAAGGCGGAAGGGGGCAAGGGAGGTGAATGAAATGCGTCATTCAAAGGCTTGGTTGAAATTGGGTCAATGTTTTGACGGCTGCTTCTCACGTGGTCCGTGTTGACGCGCACTGTGCGATGCAGCCCCGATAGCTAGTATGCAGCTTCGTCTCACGTTGCTAAATTGTGGTACTGCTCTTTACATCAAATGGAGTGGTCTTCTTGTCTTTTGCATCAACGAGGCTGTGGATGTCGGCCAATATTAATGCAATGATCCGGAATGCAAGAACGCCAATGGCTGGGGCCGCAAAGCAACCCATTCACCCCTGGAGTGGAGTGCAAGCTACGGAGGGTGTCGCCGACGGAACGCGAAACAAATGCACCGTCTCGCAGCTACGCAGAAGGCCAGCGAAAGCGCATGCGCGTGCGGTCGCACATGTGGTGAGTGATCTCAGGCCCGTCACTTACGCTGAACAGGCGAGAGCGAGAGTCGAGAGTTGATGGGCCATGGGCGCACGCGAAGCGAGGCAGGAATGCTTTGTCCTCACATTTTGCCGGGCGAGCCACCTGCAGAGCCTTCGAGGCTCTTTTGCCGCGAAAGGACTAGCCTTTCTGCTCACCAGTGTGCTCACGGTCCTAAGTTGTCGCAAAGACCCCGCACCTCCGCGCAGAATCACCATTCACCACCCACACCCGCCTCCTCTGAACATCCACAGATCGCAGACCACAGCATAGGCGTGCGGCGCGTGAACAGTGAGCAGCTCCGTGCGGCCGATTGAGCCTGCGATCGTGAGATTGCGGCAGCAAATTTAAAATCTGGAACTCGTCATCTTGAGCAGGAGGAGCAGGAGCTGGCCTTGTTGTCTGAGAAGGACCTTGGAGAAGCTCTGGTGAGCACGAGCACGAGCAACCCTTGACAGCTCACAGCACGCACCACAATCGCCGCCGCACTGCGAGCAGATAGCTACTAGGAGAGGTCGCTCCGCCGTATCATTGGTACTGCATCGTATCCATAGCTTCTCGATCTGGACAGCTCCCGCCGAGCACGAGCGCTCTTGCGCAAGAAACCTGAAGCAACCAACGACGCCCGCTGCCGAGCTGAGCCTGAGCCTCGTCCAACTTGCGCCCGGCTGAAGCAAGGCGCGGAGAGGACTACAGCACCTAACGTGCAGTAGTCAGAGCACAGCAACACAGCTCGACAGCTCGACAGCTCGAGCTTTGCTTGCTGCTGCCGCTGTCCTGACCAGAGCCGGGGTGCTCTTTTCTGCAATGCCTCCGAGAACCACCACCACCAACACCCTGACTGGCCAGTTTTCGCTGAGTCAAAGCGCCGATAACGATGTTACTTGCCCTCTGCAAAACAGCGACGGTAGTCACTGCAGGAAGCGATGCCTCGGCGTAAGTCTGCTCCTCTATCACTCTCCCCCCTACCGCTACTCACCACTCCACCGACCTTCCTTCCAAACGTGCAAGAACAAAACACGCACCTGCCCTGCCCCGCGCCTCGCCTCGCCTCGCCTTACTGAACTAACCATGCCTCGCTCGACAGGAGAAGAAGTACCGCTCGATGCAAGAGCATATCCGCCGAGCCCATCCCGAGTACTACATCCCCAAGCTGCCGGCCACCAAGGAGAGCTTCGAGTTGATGATCAATTCCCCTCCTCACGAGCGCCCCGAGATTGATCCCAACCACGCCAACCATAACCGTGGCCAGCACAATTACACACAACAGCAGCTCTCTGATCCGTCAGGTCTGTCTCCCAACCAGTACCAGTATGGCGCGGGGCTCACTGCCTTTGAAGGATTTGCGAACCCCTTGAGCGGTGGACATGATGGTGGCTATTACAGCATCGCCGACGCCGAGGCCCAGGCGATATACAATGGCTTTGAAGCCGGCCGAGGATCGGCTGAATATCGCAGAGGCTCGCTGATACCGGCCGCCTCTGCCGCCCAGGCCCTCGCACAGCTGCACTACCAGCACAAGGCAGAGTCAGACTGGCATCAGGATGACGGCTTGGCACAGGTGAATTCCCTCCTGCTTGTTGACTCATTCTCGCCTACAAATACTGAGGCAGATCAACTTCAGAATTCCTACGGCTTCGGGAACGATGACTTCAAGAGCTCTCACCTCACCGTCGACCCTGCTTTGGAAGATGCAAGCTTCATGGCGGGTCAAGCGTATCCAGCCACACTGGCTGGTGAGCAGTCTAGTCTTCTCCCCGGCCTAGCCCGTTCGCCTGACAGAGCGAACGCTCTGCCGCCCATGCAGCGCAGCTTGTCAAGATCAGGCCCGATGAACAGGGCTCGAAAGTCCAGCTTGACCCAAGCCAGACTCGGTAAGCATGAGCGTCGAAAGTCGAACGAGTACAAGAGGCGTAGCGGCGACAGAAAAGCCCTGTCTACCGACCCCACACCTGCCGCACTATATGGCAAGCGGTGGGAAGACCTCATCGACGCTGCTGCTAGTGCCACAGAAGAGGAGGAGGGCTCCCGGGATCTTACGCCGGTAGGTGGTTTGGCACCATCACCATACCCAGTTCCTGCTTTTTTTCAGAGCAGCTGATCAAAGCTTCAGATTCCAGCTTCACCTTACCAATCACCCCAGGTTAACTCTAGGACGTCCTTGCCGCCATTTGCACTCGGTTCACAGTTTCAGTCATATCAAGCCTCGCCACTCACGAGGGCGCTAACGCCGCCTCCCGCTGACGACGGAGCACTTGGTCTTCAACCCTTTCCCTCAGTTGACTCGAGCTTATCGTCCCATCAGCATCATAACAGCACCGACTCCGGCTCGCAATTCCACATCATGCACGCTTCATCGATCGATTCTAACTCATCACCTGTTTTTAACTCAGCAGCAAACTCTGGCGACAGTGGCGGGAGTCCCATGGTCTACTGTGCAGGCTGTAGAAGAGCCTGCAAGGTCGAGGTGTGCTACGCTTGTACAGCATGCATATGTGCAGTGTGCTCCGCGTGCACAGATGCGATCATCTCGGAGCAGTCTCGCGGTCGGATGTCTGGTTGCCCCAAGTGCCATGCCATGGACAGCGCGTACAAGCCATTCCAGCTCGAGTTCAGATAGCATCGGCAAGAGATGGAGTCTCCCGCAATTGCCGCAAGCTTTCCTGGGCCATATCTGCGTTCACCTTCACGAGCGCCGGTCATAGTGAAAGCGGAGACTTCAGGACGTGGCAAGCAGCTCTGCATTCAGTGCAAGAAGCAAAGATACGAGCACGACTTTGAGCGATTCCAGGTCGCCAACTGGCCCACCTGCAATCTTTGCGCCGAGCGATACAGCAGAGGCGTGAAACCTCTCAGCGAGGAACTTTACTGCTCATGGTGCGCACGAACACTACCCAAAGCCAATTTCATCCGCAAGGGTTGCGGGTGGCTCTCCTGCAACGACTGCTCTGCAGTGGTTAGAGAGCCCAAGCTCGAGCCTCACATCAAGCAGGAACAGCAGGACTGAATACGACCTCTGGGCTACACTCATTATCATTATATAACGAATTTACGAAAAGAGGGAAGGGCCTCGTGACTTTCGCATTGCAAGGCGCTGGTGGAGAAGAGTTGCGACTTATACGTTTTTTAGAGTTCCCTCATTTACGACTAGGACGACAAGGGGATGGGATGGGATGAAGAAGAAGAAAATGATACCCCTGGCCGCCTATTTCCAGATGGGCCGAAGGAGTTTTTACCATAGAGGAGAACATTTGCGTTTGAAAAGCTGGTTCCGTGGAAGGGACAGGGCGCTGGGCGCTTTTTTGGAATTGGTTGACTGGTTTTTGCTTCTTGCTTGATGTCTTTTCTCTCTCTTTCTTGTAGATAGCTTTGGATGAGCTCAGCTCTATGGGTAATCCGGCAGTCATTGCTAGGTATTTAGAGATGGGTGGACGTGGGAATGGAATGAAATGAAATGCAATGAATCGAAACGATATCTCGGTGTTGAGATGATGCGGGTTTTGATTCCGTCTACTTCAGATCGAAGTTTTCTACCTACTAGAATCTAAATACGATGATACATGTAGGTACTGCTTCGAGTAGTACGTGTAAGGTAGGATGAAGTGAAATGGAAGGAAGCAAGACAACTTGGAAGGCAATATTTGAATAGGTATATTGTAACTTGCCTCGACCTCTACTTCGAATGGTTAGTCTGAACTGGATACATGAGGTGATGCGTAGGTGTAGGTATTCCTGGTAGAAGCCTATGAATGATATCGCTGTTTCATTCATCTTTGAGCTGAGAGCGATTGTCTTTGCATGTGCATGTGCGTGTGTGGAAATGGATCTTGAGTTCAAAGGGTAGCTCGTACTGCCTTTTTTGTAACTATGAATATATAGCTACGGTTTTTTTCACTCGGTAGTTGTAGTTAATATTCGTATAAGAGTGTAGGGTAGCTGAGGTAGACCTGACGTTTATGTTAGCTTATCCTGCCTTTTATTATTACGTTATAGGTAGTTAGTTTGCTATAACTGGATTTGCTCTATACGTGTCTTAGGAAAGTGTCTCGCTAAGCGTAGGCGAGGAGAGTGAACTCGCTAGTAGAGAAGCTGCGATTGTTGTTTTAGATATAAAGTTATATCGAGTATAGTACGTAAAGTTAGCCTAGGGTTAGGTAGTTATTAAAATTTACAATATACGTAGAGTTATAAGCCGTATCGTTTATCTCGATTGCCGAGGACGAGAACGAGAGTACTTGCTATAATTATAAGCAGTTGTTAGAAGATTTTAGTACCCGGCCGATTAGCCCTATATATAATTTCCGAGGCATTCCTTCGTAGATAACCGGATCTAAGAAGTGTTAATATTGCTAGCTAAAATAGGCATTCCGCGGATGCTAGGGTCTCTAACCTTATATCGTCGAAACCTAATAGTATAGGGCCTATTTTCTATATAGGAGGTGTTGCTAAAGTCGCTATAGCTATCTATTATTACTACAATACTTATTAACTTATTTAATCTAGCTCTTTAATCTAGCTCTTTAATATAGCTTATCTTATCCCTATTTCTATAACCTATTAACTGCGCTATTCGCTATTTAGTCCGTTAACCTAAGGCTCCTTTATGCCGAAGGAACAGTTTAAATAGATATAGCCCTTTGTAACTAACTTCTAAGAGAAACATAAGGGCGCTCGTTATAAGGATAGGTTATCGTAGCGGACGATATACTACTATCGTTATCGGCGTAACTTTAATCGCAATCGAGAGCTAGGTATTAGTATCTATAAGGTAGAGTTTTATAAGGACCTATACGACGCGTCGATAGCTATAATCGCGGTATTCGATCGGAAGGCGGATAAGGAGCCTCGTAGCTATAAGATCGCTCGAGGAGGCCGCGATTCGGCGTATAGTAATAACAATATCTATAGTTATACGATAGACTATATAGTGAGGTTAATATAGTAGATTAAGTCGTGTTACGAAGCTAACTAGACTAGCTATAGGATGTAAGGGCTTCTAGTAATAGCCTCCGGGTTGTTATCGAACACCTAATAGATTAGTATAACTATAAAACGGCTTATATATTCTACCTACTAAAGGAGGGTACTAATATAGGTCGTCTTACTATTATTGGAGCGTACCGTGCAAAGAAAGGTATTATAAAGTAGTCTGCAAAGAAGAATATAAAGAGGGTATCCCTAACTAAGAAGGGCAATATTCGATTATAGCTAGACAACCTTAATCGTTATCTCGGCCCTCTTATAGACGATATTACAGGCGTAGGACTCTCCTATAAGGCTCTCTCTATCCGTATAGAGGCATTCTAGTATAAGGGTGTTGTATAGCAGGCCGACTAGTAGCGTAAGTTGCTAAATAGTGGTATTGCTAGTAATGTAGGTTCCTATTTCTTTAGAGCTAGTAGTGCCTTAGGCATTAGCTTTCCGGCTCTCTTCCTAATATACAAATTTCGATAGCAACGACTAACCGTCTATATATAGTTATTTCTCTTCGATGCGACCTACAAAACGTCCGATAATAACTTCTACCTATTTATAGTCTATATCCGCAATGCCTTCGGCTCCTAGATACTAGGGAGGCATATATTGCTATAGAGCTAGCGAGCAAAGCTAATTAAGGCTAGGCTTTAAGTATTAAAGAAATAGGCACCCGGCTAGAAGCCTATAGTAGCTATAACTAACGACTCGGCTTAAGAACAACGCGCTATTCGACTAGCATTTAAAGAGGAGGCTATAACTATATATCTCTATTAACGATACGCTAAAGAGACCTTCCTACGACACTTCCCCGAGAAGCAGTATCTACAGGTTTAGCGGCTATTTTCCTATGCGATTTACTACGCCCGTAGCGACGTAGAAGTTATCGATACTATCGATAGAATCGTATAGGAATTGAGAGACAAATACGCCTCGGATAAACAGGTGCAATACCTCCTTAATAACTAGCGTAAGAAGTCGTATCTATAGGCGACTTAGGTACGGCTAGGAAGCCCTCTTTTAATATAGGTCTAGATAACATCGCCTCTCGAGGGCTATTATAACGCTATTAAATACGATAAGAGGAAAGAGATAGTCTAGCTGTCTATATATAGTACTATAGTCGAGCTAATAACAATCGACGCTCGATTGTTATAGAAGGCAGACCTTTAACTATACTAGGTTAGAAAATCTACTAACTTCTAGAAGGTTAAAGAGATACTATTCTTCGAGCGGCTTCAACCTCTAGCGGCTTAGGACCTTGTTAGAAAGCAGCTATCAATCGTAGAAGAGTATAAGGCAAAGGGCCTACCGACCTACTATAGCCTTATGCTATATAATAGATAGGAGCCGGCTCCGGCTTACTATAACTGCCTTCCGTAGTTTTAAACCTACCTACCTTGTTACTATATCCTTAGGTTCTACCTGTTTGTTACGCTATTAACACTCTAGCAACAATAGGTATACGTTAATTAGTATACTAGCTTCAATTCTATAAAGATAAGCCTATATTAGAAGTAGCGAGACAGCGATTAGTTATAGCTAGAAGGCTACGAAGATACGCGGAAGCTATAGACTATAGGAGATCTATATCTTCGTAATTTAAGGTCGCACTATAACGAGGCCGCCGAGGGCCTATTTTAACACTTCTATCGTATTCGCGACGATAAGACTATTAATCTAGTAGTACGCGACAGCTATATACGCGGCTTCCTTCGCAAGGTTAAGGATACGCTATATAGCCTTACTAACTACTCGATTACTAATTACTACGAGAGCGGCGCCCCTAAGGTTACCTTTATAGGTAAGCGGCCGCGGTAGTAGACCTTATACCTTCTAGCGTAGCCGACGACTCTAACTCGGTCGACAACCTTAACCTTCCGAGCGCTAGCTATAGCGCGGCCGCCGCGATAGCGACAATAATAGCGTATTAATTAGGCTCTATTATCGTTACCTACGCGCCCTTACTTCGAGCCGCTATATCGCGAGTCGCTACTAGATATATAGTCGGTATAGCCTATAGATGTTATACATCGTATATTATAAAGTAGATAATTATTCTAAGTCTATCTAGGCTTAGAGAAGTATATACTATAGGAGGCTAGGGCCTCCTACCTAGCCTATGCCTATACCTGCCTTCGTAATAGAATCCCCCGGTCCCGAAATGTCTGCGACTACGCGGACGGTAGACTTAGTATCTATATATATAACAAAAGAGATTTTAGGCTATACGCTCCTAGTTTTCGTCTCGCTATCCCTATTCTTCCTTGCCCGCTAATACTTAATATCCTATTTCCTCTAGCTAGGTCGTTAACGCGCGAGAGTATAAGAAGCACTACTGTTCGCTAACTGCGGGGTCTCTAGGATGCTCGTTATCGGGTTCTCCTTACTATAGAAGGCGCAGTTCTAGAAAGCGGAGGCCCTTTTTCTTATTAGTAGGATGTAGACTATTAAAAGTCTCTACGGTAAGTTTTCCGAGCGCCTTACGTAGGCCCTTATCGCCGCTCGGTCGTACTAATCTATAGAGCGCGGTAAGTAGTTTAAAAAGGTCGCTTTCCTCTTATCTAAGGTACTATAGTAGCGGTAGGTCTTTTATAGCCTTAATCGCATTCGTAGCGGAGTTAGGTTCTTTAGATATACGCTAGATAGAATCGATAATTAGGGGTAGACTTAGGGTCGGCTCGTCTTCGTTATCGTATTTAATAGTGCCGTCTTCTAACTAGAAATCGGCGAGTGTATTTATAAACTCTATAATATTATCGAGGCTAGTAGGGTCGAATTTGCCGTTCTATTCGGTACCTTCCTAGTCGAATTAGTTACCGTAGTCTACAACCTCTCTCTAATTCTCTTCTAGTAGTTAGGCAAACGTAGTACCGAACTTCTAATATAGCGCGATATATCTCTCGTACTATAACCTCTCGTCGGTGTTTAGTTCGGCGAGGTCTTCGTCGTCTATTACTTAATCGTAGCCGCTGTCTTCGAGCGCGTCGCCGACGGCTCTTATAAGGAGGCCGACGTATTACTTGAATTCTTACGGGTCGGTGTCCTTCTACTAATTTCCTTATAACGTAGCTAATACCTTCCGAAAGTCGTCGTCGTCCTATCTATAGTTACGTATCGCCTCGATTAGTAAGATACGGCTATCGTCGATAGACGTAGGCTCCGGCGGAATTTACTAGACTATCTTTATAGGGCGGGCATATATTAGCTCCGCGAAATATAGCTGTTTTACGGCCTCGAGCTTATCGAGAATATCCTCCCTAGGGGGCCGAAACGCGTTATCTATAGTAGACCTAGAGTACCCGGTATCCTTAGTCGCGATTTGCTATAGCGGCCGTCCGCCGCTTCGGTCGTCGAGTTCCCGCGCGAAGTGCTTAAGTAGCTATCTAACGTCGTTATCTCCCTTATAGTAAACGATAGTCGCCTAGGGCATAGGCTAGATCTTGTTATTTCCGTCTATTAGGACGAGCGCCTTTATCTAGTATCGAAGGACGGCGGCTTTTAATAGTAAGGGTACCGCCGATATAAGGAGCTTGCTTATTAGGTAAAGTATTAAGCGGTCGCCGTTTTGTTAAATAACGTTTATTATTTGCTTAGGGGCGTAACTTAGCATCTAGTTCGTCTAGTTGCGAAAAGCGTTTATATCTACGTCTCTATCGTCTCTAGATATACTAGTAACGAAATCTCGATTCGGGAAAGGGTCGGCTTTATTAATTTTCTCGATCTTATCCTAAGCGGATACTAGCATTTAGGAGACCTAGAAGTAAATGTTTCCGCACTCGTAGTCGAAATTTAATACGACTAGTATTAGATAGTAGAGGTAGGCTTTCTATTCTTTGTCTAGGAATATCGCGAGGATAAGCTAGCTAGTATCGATATTAAGTTCGTAAAAGGCTACGGAGCGGCGGATAAAATCCTTCTCCTACTCCCTTAATAGACGTAGCTTATTACCGGGTAGTACCCGCTCTAAGTCTGCGTTACGGAAGGCTATTATAAGTCTCGGGAAGTCGAAACGGCTTATAGGGAGGCGGATCGTCGAATCCGTAAGGAGTCCTTAGGGAGCTAGTCCTACGTAGATAGCGGCGTCTACGATCTCCTTATCTACGCGAGTTGTAGGTTTACTTAAGTCTAAATTGCCCTTATCGGTTGCTTTCTTCGGCGCCGCTACGGATTTCGCGGCTTACGCTTTAGTAGACCTAGCCTTTCCTACTATTACGGCCTTCCCGGCAGGCGCCTTTATAGATTTACCTTTCCCGGCATCTAGGTCGGCTTTGCTATCGTCGGCTTTAGTAGACTTAGCCTTTTTAGTAGCGGTTAGCGGGTCGGCTTTGCTATTGTCGGCTTTAGTAGACTTAGCCTTTTTAGCGGCGGCTAGAGCCGACGTAGGTACATCCTTGCGCTTTCTAGCTATCGAGGTAGAGGCGGCCTTCTATACTTTCGCGGCTTTCTAGGCCGCTTTCTAGGCCTTTGCGTCGGCCTGCTCCTAGGCCTTCTGTTCTTAGAGTTTAGCCTTGAATTTCTTAGTCTATATAGATATCCTCTAGTCGATTGCTTTTTTCTACTTTATATAGTCGGGATATAGTAGTATCGCCGGGCGTTAGTATCCGTCTTTCGTTATCGCCTTAGCCTTCTCTTCGTAGTAGGCTAAAGGAATATCCTAAAAGATTATGCCTTAGGTAGCCGGTATAAGACTTAATATTAGGTCTATTAGTAGGGCGCGTAGGCCTAGTAGGAAACGGCCTAACTATATCTAAAAGTTGCGGATAACGCGCTCGAAATCCCTAGTAATGTCGCTATATTCTAATTGCTACTTCTCGTCGTCTATAAGCGCCGCGATTAACTATATATATATCGAGCGCTATATTTTTAGCTGTTCGCCCTAAAGAATTAGCGCCGGGTAGGGTTTAGGGAAGATATCGTAGATAGACTCGAGGTCTTCGATAATTCTCTACCTTAGATCTGCCTTATAACGCTCGAATATATCGGCGATTAGTCCGGCGAAACAACTCGCTACCTCTATATAGTTTACGAGGCAGCCTACTCCTTCCGTAACCTAGTATACTAGCGCGTAGTAGGCGACGGTAATAGGCGTTATTTCGCCTTAGTAAATCGTCTAAAAAGCCGTTATATAAGCAAGACTGTTTCGCTCGTATCTTAGGACGGCGTAGTTCGGTATCGTAAAGTCCTCCGGAGCCTTAGAGGTATATAAGATCGAGTTATTCGTAGAGAAATCGCCTTTATTAATATTATATAGTAGCTTGTTACCGGCGGTCGCCTACTCGAGTAAGCGTACGTTAGCACTATAGTAAGGGTTTCTCGGTCCGCTCTAGCCTTTCCTTATCTATCTAGGAGGGTAGATCTCGCCCGTACTCTTTTAAATCGCCTTAGGCTATTCGCCGGGGGGGGCGTATTACTAATTTACGTACTTTTCGGAACCGTATATAGAATCCGGGTTAATAAGCGCCGTCTTAAATTCGTTAAGGCTAAAATATAATAGCTAGACCGATGCGAGGTATACCGCTAGTCTATTAGGCAAAATATTAATAAGCTAGTCCGCCCGTAGTGCCGCGCGTACGCCGAGAATAGCCTTCTTCCTAGCTTAGGTAGGCTTCTCGTCGTCGGCGTCGAAATCGTACTCGTCCTTAAAAGAGGCGAGGTCCGGCTAGAGGCAGTTGCTATATACGTCGCGGCCCTTATTATCCTTTTTTCTAAACTTCCTCTTATACTAGTCGAGCTTAGCCTTCGAGGCCTTCTTAATATCGGCGAGACGCGTAGCGCGCTCGCCCTCTATCTCCGATTCGATCTATAGGGCCTTATAGCTATTGTCTTTAAGGCCCTCTTCTCTCGATTCCTTACGATAGACCTAGCGTCTAGCCTTAGTCTCTATACCGTCGCGAAGCTTCTATTCGTAGAGGTCGAGGCGTTCGCGACCCTACTAATCGTAGGTATCGTAGTAGTGCGGCGCGTCGGCGTTATAGCTAGTCTCTAAGGTATAGTAGAGGCGGTTTCCTAAGGCGCCGATCGTTTTATAGACCTAAGGTATAGCTATATACTCGATCCGAGGAGTGCCGAAAGCCGTATATCGCTCGGCGTAGATAGGAGCTACGGGTAACTATAGTACTAGAGCTTTCTCCGGCCTACTATTCGTTATAATCTTATATAGGAGTTTGTATTCGCGTCGTATTATACCGTTAATAGAACGTACTAGTATACTAGGTACGTCCGAGACGGCGTTAGCCTTATAGCTAGCTCTATCGATATATAAGAGTATATCGGAGAACCTTAGCACCTTGTCTAGGTACGGTATACGTAGGATTTCGCCCGGCTTAGGTAGTGCGATAATAAGGCGCTTTATCTTAGGCGCCTATCTCTTAGTAGCCTTCTATCCTTACTCTTCTTTCCCGTCGTTATCGGATATATCTTCCTTAACCTCGTCGTTATCCTATCCTTACTCTTCCCTATCGGTAGATATAGCCTACTTTCCTACTACTCCTCTATTATCTAGAGTAGTAGACTAATTATCCTTAGGATTTCCCCTATCTCCCGTAGTATCCTTATCCTTAGTTCTAGGAATAGGCTCCCCTTCTTCGTTATTGCTTTTTTTATTTTTATTTTCTTTATTCTCGTTTTCTTTATTCTCGGGAATAGGCTCCCGTCCTCTATTTTCCTTATAGTCTTTATTGCTATCTTCTCTATCTATTTCTATAGCCTTAGGATCCTCTCTATTCTTAACTCTATTACTCTTTCCTATTTCCTTAGGATCTTCGTCGCGCTATAGCGATATCGTTACCTAGCCGGACGGAGGCGTTTCGGGGGTGCCGCCTAGTAGAGGCGTGTATTCTAGTAGAGGTATGTCTTCCTAGCCGAATATCGCCGCGCCGCGCTTTAACTAAAGCTTCGACCCGCCGGCTATAGTAGTAATGCTTCTTATAATGCTTGTTTAACGTTACTATAATATAGATAGCTATAGTTACGCGCCTCGTAGCTATATATATTGTTACGCCTCGTAGCTATATATATTGTTGTTATCGTTAATCCGAGCGATAGTTAAAATATTACTTCGGCGATATAGTCCGAGCTTCTACGTACCGCGTTAGTAACGGTCGCGCGGGTACGTAAACCTTATTCTAGCCGCGTATATCTAATAGATAGAAGGCGCTAGAATAGCTAGAAAGTAAGGGTACGGGAGAAGGATAGAGTAGCGTCTTAGGCCCGATATCTAGGTCTATAATACGTATAAGATCTGTTTAAGTAATTTTCCTAGAAACTTCTTAGATTTCTCCTAATAGGGGAAAAACCTATAGCTATAGGTCGAGGTACCGATTCGTAGTAATTAGAGGGAAACGTAATATAGTAAAAAAGGACGGTAAGGTATCGTTACGGAGGATTCTACGATACGCCCCTACCTATGTATTTAGTAGGGCTAGAGTATCTCGCTATCGCTAGATCTCCTCCTTAGTAAGGCGTCTTACCGTCGGGATAAGCGCCCTAGCCTTTAGTTTACGCGATCGGGCGTTAGATACGGATAGTAGACCTAAGGTCTTAGCCTGTTTCCGGGCGTCGTAGCTACCGCTATCGCGGAAGCGATATACGTCTAAGCTAATCGATTCGCTTAACGTAGTATTTTTACTTGCTAGCGAAGTTAGCCGGTTCGGGTCTATATCGGTAGCCGACTAACCTATCTACGCTTCCTAGGCGTCGGGTTAGGTAACCTTCTTAATAGACTTAGGATCGCTATCTTCCGCGTAGTTCGGCCTTCCGCCTCCTCTTAGCGGCTACCGTCTTATAGGCTACGTATCTCGCCGTAGCTATTTCTCTTTATTATTATTAGACTAGAGTCGCTTTACTATCGGCGCGACCTACGTAGGTATTCGCGATATTAGGGATAGTTTTATCTAACTAATCTGCTTATCCGTAATTTAGGAGTCCTCGAACTAGTCGATTAGGTAAGCGTTACTCTCTAGAAGGTCGTCTGCCCTAATCTATTTATTTATTATTAGCTGCTCGTCCTTCTACTTAACTAGATATTCCGTTTTTCCTCTAGAACTATACTTCCCTAAAACGCGTTTAGGAGTTATTGCTAGTTGCTTAGACTATAGGTCTATCGGTACGGGGATATAGTCGTATAGTCTTACGAACGGGTCCTTTACTAGGTTAGGGGCTAGCTTAAGCTACGCGATCGATATTACCGGGTAGAACTTAGCTAATTTCGGCAGCTCTAGTTTATAGGCGAGCTTACCTATCCTTCTCTTAATCTTAAAAGGGCCTATAGCCTAATTGCTATATTTGCGATAGCTCTAACTATATACGCGATATCCGTAATATAGCCTAAGTATAGTATAGTCTCCCGGCTCGAAGAATATATACTAATGCTTAGTATCGTAGCGGTACTTTATATCTACCGCTACGAAGGCTATAGATTCCTCGGCTACGTCGCGAAAGTACTATCGTAGCGTTACGTAGTCTTTTAGCTACAATTCCTAGAGCCCGATAAAGGCGTCGGTATTTAAATCGAACCCGAAAAGTATCTTATCGGGCGAGACGCCGGTACTCGCATTCTTAATACTCCCGAGATAGGATATAAGGGAGGGAAGGACGTCCGTCTACTATATATCTAGATTTGCCGTAACAAAATACCGTATAGCGATCTTAACGGTCTAATTTGTACGCTTAGACTAGCTATCTATCTATAGGTAGTAAGCTATAGAGGCGAGGATCGATATACCTAGCAGCTTTATTATTATAGTAAAAAATTTAGATAGCTATTTAGGGTCCCGGTCGCAAATAAATACCTTAGCAACCCGCTAAGATCGTTCTTAGATAGACGTAAGGTATTAGGCTACCTACGTTTCTATAGTCTACTAGCATTTCCCGGGAAGTAGTAAAACTCGCTTAGATTTCTTATAGGTAACTATAAGGAGCGTATCGAAACCTTCGTTAGTAGGCGGGAGTCCTATAATCTAATCCGCTATTTAGACGTCTATAGGAAGTCGATACTTCGAGTCTATTAGGTTAAGCTAGCCGTAAGGCTTATACCGAGTCGATTAGTTCGCCTTATATATATTACACTAATCGATATATCGTTCTAAATATCGACGGTAGTTCCTAATATAGAAACTAGCGTTAACTCGATCGAGCGTACGCTAGAACCCCGCGTAGTACCTTAGGTTATATACTATCTTAAAGATCTCGTAAGTAAGAGCGAAAGGAATATATAATCGAGAGTAAAGTAAAACTAGGTCGACGTAGTAGATAAGGCCGTCCTCCCGAAAGAATCTAATACTATATAAGGACTTTAGGTCTATAGGAATATCGTCTAGCCTCTTAAGCGCGTTCTATATACTACGAGCGGCCGTATCCTCTAAAGAGCGGAGAGAAGGCGGTTTTAGGAGGTAGCCGGGCGTCGCCTTAGGATAGACCTATAGTTTCTCGCTACTATCTTTGCGCTAGGCGGCTTCGAGGTATACGGATCTTCGCTTAAGCTCTCTATCTCGCTCGCGTTTCTACTTCCTCCTCGCTTACCGGTTTAATATTCGATCTAGCTAAGGTTACTATTCCTATATATACGCTATCTCGATAGACTAAAGGACGGAGAGTAAACGTCTCTACGGACGGTCTTCTTAATAAGCCTATCTTAGCTAGGTCTTAAAGTTATCGGACAGCGATATAACCGTTTTAATATAATAGCTAGGTTCCCCTCGGAGACTATAGAAAAATATAGGGATCTTATCGTAGGCCTAGTATTTATATCTATCGAGTCGCGAAAGAAAATACTTAGTATAGTCGATCCCGGATAGGGATACTATATTAACTAACGCTATAGTAGGAAGAATAGGAACGCTTAGATAGAAGTTCGGAAGGGCTAAGGATCGCGGCCTAGGATCTAGGTAAGGGGGTATAGTACCGGTCTTTAGTATAGGCCGATTCTAGGTATCGTTCGTATATCGTCTAGATCTTTCTATAATATATACCTTTTCTACGCCGCTCCCGATATCTTCGATAGACGTAGGGTTTTGTAGCATTTCTAACATCGGCGCCCTTACTAATATCGCGGGAATCTCGTCGAGGCCGCTTATATTAAGGTTATATCGATTAGAAGAGCTCGTATCTTACAATCGGGAGAGTATATCGGGAGCGATATAATTCCTACCTAGCCTATAAATAATATCGAGGTTTGTAAACTAGGAAATATATACCGCGGCTTAGATAATTCGGCGGTTAAGGCTAGCCGTAGATACCGTCGTTGCGATCTATATCTTTTTCGCTATCGTAGTAACTATACTATAGTCGGTAACTACGATAGTCTTTAGCGCGGAATCTACTATATAAGAGGCCCTCTTAATTGCCTATACTATCCCGAACAATTCGAGTTCTATAGGCTAGTAGCGGGCTTCGGCCCCGGTAAGTATATAGCTAGTAAATCCTAAGACCTTAAGTCTATTACGCGGGAATTGCTTAGATCTCCGTAACTAGGTAGTACTATTAACGAAATCTGAAACTATATCGTCTCTACGAGTTACTAGTTCGGGCTCCTCGTATTCTATATCTAAGTCTCCGTAGACTTAGTAGTATATTATCCCGATTCCGAATTCCTTAGATATATTAACGTCGATATAGAGGGTAGACTTAGGGTTAAAATGCTAAAGAAACCCTCGGTACTCTTCCGACTATATCGACTATATAATTTCCTAAGCGGTATTTATTTCGTTAGTCTATTAGAGGCGCGCGCCCCGTATTTAAGCGCGTCGCTTGCCTCCTTTCGTTTAGGTAGCCTAATAATCCTTTATAGCCGCGACTTTCGCCTATTATAGCGGTAGGGTAATTCTTCCGTAGTATAGTACCGTAGACCTAAGGTAGCCTACTAGTCCGAGATATTGCTTAAGTTATTCGGCGTTAGTAGGTTTTTCTAATTCTCGTAGTACTACGAGTCGATCCGCCTACGTTACGAAGCCTTTTCCGTCTACTTCTCTATCTAGGATTTTTATAGAGGGGAAACCTAAGAACGCCTTTCCTAGCTCTAAACTAAACCGTATCTTATCTATTTTTTTAAATACGCGATTAAGCAAATCTCGGTAGGACTCTAGGTCTACCGAGCCGAGAACTATATCGTTAATATACCTATTCGCTACGTCGCCGAATTCCCGTAGGGTACGGTCGAGTAGTCTTTATACGTACTATACGCTATTATAGTAACCTATAGTAGCGACTTTTAGATATTCCTATCCCCGCGTAGTATTAACGGTAAATTTCTAGCGATCCTTTTCCGCGACTACGAACTAGTAGAATATAGATCTTATATCTATAATAGAAATGTACTTATAGCCGCGTAATTTCGCGATAATATCGTCCTAGAGTAGTAGCGGGTAAGTGTCCTTCTAGGATATACTATTAAGGCCTCGGATGTCGATTACTACGCGCGGCTTCCTATACGTAGTACTATCGTCGCGGAAAAGAGTTCTCTAAACTATAAAGACTAGCTATACTAGCGGCGATAGCTTTTTACTATAGGCTATTTTGCCTTAAGTATAAAGCTTATTAAACTGCTTATTTACCTCTATATTGTCCTTATTAGATATACGGTAGACCTTGCTACTAAACTTCTCGTTTTCCTAGCCCGATTTAAGTAGGAGCTCTAGCTATCTATCTTTAGGAAGATCGATCGTCGTACCTCGATCTATCTATAGTTAGGGGTATTTCTCTACGATAGACCTAATGTCTAAGGCTACCGCGGTATCTAGATTCGCTATATAGATCGTTACTCTAGCCGAGGTTATAACGGTAGCTATCCCCGTATCTACTAAGATCTTCGTAGTATCGGAAGGGTAGTCTAGGTCTATTAAGTCTATCTCGTCGTTTTCGCTAAGTCCGTAAATAGTAGGTTAAGATTTACGGATCCGCTAGAATTATAGGCCTACTCTAGCCTAATCGCGATTTACGGAGTCTTTAGCTAGAGGCGGGATTAACTAAAACTAGCCTATAGCGTCGCTTTGAAAAACTGCTAGTAACTATAGGTCTATCGGTTCGGATATATAGTAGAGCCTATTTATTAGTCGTAGATCTCGTCTAAGAGGCGCGCCGCTAATCTTACGCTCTATCGACCTAGGGTCGGTATCGAACTCGTCGATCTAGTAGAAGTTATCTAGCTATAGTTCCTATAATTCGCCTATACTTCGATATCGCTAAATAATTAAGTCGTTATCGTAGCTAAGGTTACGGACCTATACCGCTAGCATCTCTAGTCCGGCTATATAGGCGTATACTACCGCCGTATTAGGGAGGCCTAGTAGATTTAGCGCGAAGAGGAAGTCCCTATTTACGTCCTTTAGGGCGTCGGCTTTATCGATTTATACCTTAGCTATAACGGCTATATATAGTAGTACTCTTAGTCTATCTATAGACTTGATATTAGCGCGTAGGAAACGATTAGATTTTAGCGAATAGGCGATCGGTATAAGCGCGCCGTCGTTTCCTATTATCTTAATATATCTAGCGCCTATATAGATAATAAATCCTACGGGCGTTATAATATCTATCCCGAGGAGTATATTATAGGGTAAGTTTAGTATTACCCTTACTAGCTATTTAATATAGGCTAGAGCGGGTAACTAAGAATACCTAGTAAAGATAGGAAAGTATATCGACAAATTAATCTATTACTCGTACTATATACTTCTAGCTAAACTACGGAATTCTAGAGGTTGCTTAAGATACTAAATATCGTCCTACCCTAGTTATATAGTTAGCTACCCCCGGTCTATTATAGATGCTTTAGTACTAGTATCGAGGCAAACGCGCTTAAAATCCCCTTCCGGAGAAAGGGCGTAGTTCGCTTCGACGATATCGTAATATCTAAAGGTATAAGCTAGGTCTCCCGGAGGGAGTTTTACTAAGTAGGGTATGATTTGCAATTCCTATTAAGGGCGTTCTCGTATATAATAGACCTATAGTATAAGGTTATTAATAGTACCGAAGGAGCGCTTCCCTACGCGAGCCTTCCTATCGTCGATAGAGGAAGAAATCTTCGAGGTACTCGATAAAATTATATAGTACTACGCCTCTTCTACTAAGGGCGTAGCCTTAGCCGTTTAGGCGATATAGTAGACTTAGGGCTACTCCGTAACTAATATTATAGCATTCTAAGTATTTAACGCGTCTAGATTAATCGAGGACCTCCCGATAGTAGTCGCTACGCCCGCTAGGATATCTAGTAGCAAATCTAATATATAGATAGAGCTAGGCGTAGTCTACTATAGAGCGATCGTAGCGGAAGAATCTTCTATAGGAAAAGCTACGCCCGCTAGCGTAGGCGTATAATCCGCTATAGGGGGGCGCGATACCGATATAGACTAGAATATTTAGGCTTAGATATCTGTTAATAGACTAGAGGTTGCGGGCTATAGTGCTAGAAGTATAGGTATCGATATTTAGCTAGGCTATCCTACTATAATCGTTATTACTAGGTATAAAGATATTTACTTATCCGATAGTAAGCGACCCGGCGACTTAGGGAGTTCCGCTACCGCTAGAGATCCTAGAATTTCCGGTAGACTTGCGGTT